TTGGTAGCCTTTTCTTAGACTAATTATTATCTGATTTCGCTCAATAATTAAGCAATCTTGGTCAAGGCCTTTTGGTTGACTCCGTGAGTGGCTAATTCGGTAAGAGCAACAACGACTGGCTAAAGTGGATAATAGAAAGAAAGGATATACTTATAAGAGTTGGCTGTGTGAGGTGTTGTCAGTGAGTCTCTTGTGAACTGTTTCATACTTTGATTTAACTTAGACGAATGAAGCACCTAAGCTCAAATGTTGGATGAGTTTGGCAGCATCATCAATAGCATCAATAACATCATCGATGGCAGCAACCTTGGCAACAAAGGTTTCGTGTTATTAGTTTCTTGTGGCTTCTTCTCTAGCATAAGTTTATTCATTTGTTGCAATGTCTGAAATTGTGACTCTAATGTCTTCTTCAGAAACAGCCAAAGCTTCGATTGTGTCATCTCTCAATTAAGTGTTTGATGAGATTTGATTTTAGTGATACAAGATTTCCTTTTCCAAATCCTCAACGATCTATTACATGGTTAAATATTCTTACTCTGTTGTTTGTGGTTGTATCAAGTTCAAAAGCGTGATCATGGTCATTTTAATCTTATTATAATCCAGCAGCAACACCATTCAATAACATATTGACTTCATTGGCTGGTGTTTAAGCTTATAAGTGTGCCTTGATTGCTGACAACACAACATTTCCAAATGGATTAGAATCAATCTAAGCCAAGCTTGCATGTGTATCTACAAACTTGGAAGCTGCAAGAGCAAGAACCAATGTCAAGATGGCTAGTTTTTGCATATATTTAATTTAATGTTTTAAAAACGGATCGAAAAATGCTTATGTATGTAATTATTTTATAAATATTTATCCCCATTTTCATATAATATTACTAAAATCATATAATCAACTATTCATAGTATCCAATCAATCTAATTGTTGTACATTTGAGTCATCTTCCCTACACTAATTCCATTATTAATTGCATGTTATTTTGACTATCATATATCCCCCATTTTAGCAATTTCTGTATTAATGAACAAAAACTAAAATTTTCTATTTCTCTCATCCATTCCATAGGTTGATAATTTTATTGAATAATTAACAATTCCTATCTTAACATTTTCATCTAACTTAAACTTATTCTTTATTATTTAATATTTCAAATTACTATTATCTAATACGTGTTCTATAGATTATTTTACTTTGATTTGTTATTATTTAAGGATTACATCATTATTTTGTTTTGTAAAACCTCTTTAAAATCTTAGAAAATTTAATATAATAAATTAATCAAAAATTAATATAACCATTAAATTACTAATGATTTTATTTGTAAAATTTTAGTTAATTCATTTATTCTGCAATGCTTATGATAATTATTTTAATATTAGAGTGTGAAAGACAGGAGTTGGGATTGTTAGTATTTATAAAGTTGTTTAATTATTAATTAAAATCTTGCAAATATTCAAAAAATAATTTAATTTTTCTAATGTCAGCACCTTTTTATACCGTCAAAGTAAACTCATGACATTAATTAAAGGATGTACCAGCTTAAGATTTCATTCGTGCTTATGCAGAATACTTGAAAAAAAATAACAAGATCAAGATTCCAGAGTGGGCTTCAATTGTTAAGACAGGACTTGGAAAAGAGATCTCACCAATTGATTAAGATTGGATGTATGTTAGAGCTGCAGCACTTGCTCGTAAAATTTATGTTAGAGGCCATTGGGTATTATAATTAATTAATCACTTTTAGGGTGTTGGAAATCTCACTCACATGTTTGGCTCAGTTAATGATAATGGAAAGCACGAATCTGGATCTGGAAAAGTCATTAGATATTTACTCTAATAATTGGAAACAATTAAGGTTTTGAAGAAAGATAACAAATCCCTCTTAAAGAAAGGATCAAGAATTGTTACCAAAGAAGGATAATAAGATTTAAATAGAATTGCAACCCAAGTTGCCTTAGCTGCCAGAAAATGATTTATTATACATCACAGAAGTACATTAATAAATATACAGGATTATAGTCATAAATATATATTTATATATAAAATCAAATTTCATACTATTCACGTAAAAGAGTATCAATGTAATTTTCTATCATTTGCTTCAATCTGTCTTCTCTTTTTTCAACGCCAGGAAAACAAGGCAGATCGATTATCGAGTTATTCGATTTTTGAATCTACTCACTTCCATCCGATATGGTTAATTCCTTGTGATCCTATATATGATTCTATATAATGTTTATTCTAGGTTGCTTTAGCTTATAGTAAATATAAAATTTAATTCTATTTCTAATTTTTAAGTTTCCTTATTGATAGCCATACTCAACATCTTTGTCATCGATAATCACAATTTTGTCACCATCATTATCATAAAAACTAAACTTATGCTTTCAAAATTATACTATATCACTATGTCTTTCAACTCTATTCCTAACCTTTTTAGTTTCCATTTAAGATCTTGAATTGTAAAATTTTCAATATAAATCAAGAATGTTGAGCTTTAAGTTTATATTTTTATATCCATAATAAATTCTTTTAAGATAATATAATTTTCAATTTGTTTCAATACTATCGGCTTTATTTTAAGATTCTAGTGAGGGACTGTTGTAAATCAGCCAACTCATGGTTGTGTCTATAAATATATACTTCAATTCTTACCCGACAGTAAATGCTCCAATTTGTGTAGGTGGGATTGCATTCAATTTTGCACTCAATAATCTTATATCACTTTAGTGTCCTCCAAAACCCAATCTGCTCTGATTGTTACCCAAGAAAATAGATGATCTAGAGGCTAAATGATGAGGCTAGTAACTTGAAAATGATAATTCATTATTGAGTCTAGTGAATTTGGTGTTTTGGATTTGGAGCTCAAGTCCTAATTTTGAGTCCCAATTCTTGAATCTATCCAATCTAACTTTGGCTCTTTAAGGAGATTCATTGTAATTCCTATTTGATCTGATAGGAGACGTGCTTTTATGAATGCTACTAAATACAACATGAGCAGGGGTTAAAGCACTAAATTCAATAAAATTAATACTGGTATTCCCCAACTACTACTCCCTATAAGCCTTTGCTTTACTTGGGTGAGGAGTCTCTGAATAATCTCATTCTGACAGGAGACATATTGGTTGACTCTCTGGTTTTTGTAGTATAGTTAGAGTCACCGAGTTTGCTAATTGCAGTTGATAACAACCCAATTTGACTGGTTTTAGGCTTGTAAACTTTGCTGGATTCAACGCTTAAGATAGATTGAGTTAACATAATTTTATTTATGTGTAATAAAATTTATATTTCCCCCTTTAAAATGGGTCAAATATTATAAAAAAGTATTGTTTAGAATAATCAACTAGATATTAATACTAATTAACAGAAATCATGATGAACCAATTTGAAAATCACCATTAATCCCATTTTAACCTTTAAGGGAAAAAAAAGTGAAATAAAACCTTATATTAATAAATTCTTGCTAAAAATTGGAATATATTTCAGATTCTTAAAATCAAGATTTGTTTAAAAAGTAATCTTATTCGTTTGAGAAATTGGCTTTGCCTCCTATATGGCTAATAATATTTATTTAATGTTTAGTAGTCTATTCTAAAATTAGAATATAAGTTATCAAGCTTGATTATTTAAAAATTTTCTGTTTGAGTTAGTAATTTTTATAACCAAATTAATTCTAAGGTTTTCCCTATTCAAATCCATAAAATATTGTTAATTTGATGAAAATGTGTTTATTGTTGTCTACAAAAGAGTTTAAAATTTATTCGATTCATTTGAATTAAATTCAAAGTTTGCATTTTATTCCTATAAGTTCTACCTAGTTATAAGTATTAAGAAATTTTAAATTTTTATCTAATTTTATGGAAACTAAAAAAAATATTAGTTATTTTGAACACATATTTTAAAAGGCTTAAAGAAATGATGGAAACATAAATTATTATATTGTTTAAATAAAACAAAGTCTCTTAGTTTAAAGTTTTGATAAAAATATATATTAAAGAATATTATAACACTAAATTTAGATTCTCAGGTATTTGATTTAAATTGCAATGAAGGGAAAGTGGTTAGTCAATAACTAAAGTGTTGAGATGTTTAAGATTAATTCTATAGGAAATGAATTAAGAAAAGCAATTAACTCTAATTGATTCATTTTTTAAATTGAATATATTTGTATTATGGAAATCATTTTCTTCCAAGGCTGGTTTATGAGGCTAAGGATCTGACTTAGTCTTTGAACAATTAGATGACAACATCGATGATAGCGTTTTCCTCTATAGATTATTGTGATAATTGGTACCGGCTCTTCTGACGGTTTCGGAGGCATAGAATTCTCTTTTCTCTTCCAAATCAGCGGTGGCTCCAGCAACGGCGTTCAAGGAATCTTTCCAGAGTTTAAGGGCCTTGGCTTATTAGGCAAGAACGGCTGGGAGTTGCTATAAAAATATTAACATATGATGGTACAGTTTCTAATTTCTCAACAAGACCGGTTCTTCTTTCTTATTCTGAAGTCAACCAGGCAACTTCGGCATTAGTATCTGAAACGTATTTGGCAAGAGCGAATGCAGCATGGATTTCTTATTCTTAAAGGGTGGCAAGGGTTGATTCTAATTCACCTTGTAAATCTTATAAGATTTAGAGGACTTATTCTCCGGTTGTACCGTCTCTCTTGACTTCAGCAAGTGATTAGAATTTTTAGATGGCATCTTATTAGAAAAGATGGCTGTATGCTGATAATTTATCGGCGATTGATTAAGCCTTTTCAACAAGTTCGACTCCAGCATTGTTTGTGAGGAAACCAGCAACGTCTTATTCCAAGAGTGTGACGACTCCGATGGCATCGGCATGATCAGCGAGGGATTTAACAAAAAGTCCATTGGCCCAACATCTTTAGTCTTGGAGTTAATTGTTTCTTCTAACGATTTCAGCAAGTCTGGCTTCAGCCCAGGCCAACCATTAATATCCGTCCTTAATGAATTAATTGTTTTGCTTACTCTGACTTAAGCTTCAACATCGGTTCTGACAGCACCAAGAGCTTCCCATTATTACTTATTGAGTGAGGCAACGTTAGTCAAATCACCAATGACTTGGGAAAAGATTTCTACACATTAAATTACAATTTACCTTCGTCTGTATTGTTCTTTTTGTCAGCAGCAGCTTACACATTCACATTTTCTGTTTTCAAATCTCTCAAGAGATTGTAAACGGATTCAACGGCATCATTTCCTCTTGTGCCTGCTTGGAGAAGCACGGCGAATTTGTTTGTGTCAAGTGCAAACACAGCTGCTACGAGGCAAATTACAACGAATGTTTTCATATTTATTTTTAATAATACCAAAAACGGAATAAAATTTCTTGGTTTTAATGTTGGTATATATATAATTATTTTTATAAATCTAGACTATGCCAAAGTTTCATAACATAAATGCTCATTAAATCATTGTCATTCTTCACATCTTCAAAATCCATTCTTAAACATTTATTTGAATCAACTAAATTCAAAATTAAACAATTTCTTTATAAAATAATACTGTACCACTTAATATTAGAATCTTAAAGGTATAAATCAAGAATGTTACATACTCAAACCTTAAATGACATTGTTATCTGCAATTGGAATATTTCCATCTTCATCTAAGTGATCTACATCCTAATTTAATTCAATCAAATCTTTGCTAAAATATTATACATTAAATAAAGTATTTATTGACAAAATCATTATCTTTATGATAGGAAATATATGAAAATAGTTTACTAAGCAATTATTACATTTTCAACTTTTGACATTTTTAAAATAACAGAATCTCTAAAAATATTGATATAATTACAATATCAACACTAAATCATTCAAAATTATATTACAATTTAGTTATCTTAACTGCATAATTCATAATTTAGAGGTTATTAAAATAAAAAATATTTAGTGATGCAATTATTAGGATTGATATGAGGTTATATTCATTTTTTTTTAAATATCTTTTATACCTTTAATAATATGTAGCTTATAAGATATAGATTGTTAAAGCTAAAATAAAAATAATATTATAAAATAAAACTTAATATGATTAATAACTAATTTTGATCATTGCATTAAACATAGATACTTATAGAAGAGTAACTAATTTCAATAGAAATCCTTTTAAGATATATTAGTGTTATAATTATAAAATTATAAACAGATATTAACTCCATAAACAACTCTTTTATATTAGATAATAGACTATTGACTATTTAAACAATGCTGAAGGGAATCTAATATCATGATCAATTAAAAGATATTATATATAATTGGAAACCCAATTATCGTAGTCAAATTTATGTTCTAATACTAAGAGTAATAGTGAATTGATTTGATTTAAGAATATTGAATTATATTTCTATATGATCAATTTTACCCTTTACTATATTTTTTAATGCTCTCTTCTAAGGCACTCTTGCAACCACAATCTCCTCCCCATCTTTAATGTATTTCACTGCAATTAAAACTTGGCTTATGATATAATTTTAAATGTACTTTTTGCAATCTTTCATTAACTTCGTTATGCAACATGCATAGATATTACATGAAATCGACTCTAGTAGTTCCTTCGTATGGCAAAATGGTGGTCATATTCAGAAAATGTCCTGCACACTCCTTACAGGGGAAGAACTGTCCACTAACGTGGAAAAATAGCATTTTTGTCTTACAATAGATTCAAAAAGACATTGATTTTGAATGTGAATTCCTCATCAAAATCAACTGGAAGAGTGGCTGAAATCATGTGCAAGAGAGTCCACCCGGCTCGACCTAATTCTTCTCTGGTAATTCCATTGGTGAATTTCTTTTCTAATTAATTTTTTTGTTTAAAAGTAACCTTCTATGATATCAGTTTCATTTTGATCAAGTATTTTTAAGTGCTCTTCATCAGGCTATTTGATTTCCCAAGGCAAAGGAACTTAAACAGCTAACAAATCTGTGGCTTTTATGTATTAGACTTCTTGGGTTTATTATGGTATTTCATCATATTGATGGATTGTATTGATGAGGAACAGAGTGATAAAAAAGAGTGAGACACCAACTATCACGATGTATGGCTTTTACATTAAATTAAATAAAATATATATAAAAATGGAATACCCAGATGGGTACCTTCTACGTAAGAATTTTAACTAAGCAAGCTCTTTTTTCTTGGGACCCTAAACGAACTAGTACTAAATTGAAATTGTGCCAAGACCAATTATAAGTGATGGCTACTGATGGATCTGGATTTAAAAGTGCCATTGGTGATTAGGTATGAAGATTGCTACTTTAAGGAATTTACTCCAGGTTATAAATATTACTATGAGATTAAAATCTTGAAGGGCAGTTTAATTAAGATTGGCGTATGCACCAAGAATGGGTTGTTCTAAGATGTAAACTCAATGCTCCACCTAAGCAAGCTTTCAGTGATAACGAAGAAGGATGGGCAATCTATAATGGCGAACTGAGACACAATTCTAATTCCAGTGGCAATAAATATGGCAAATAATACAAGAAAGGAGACATTATCGGTGTTATGCTTAATATGATTGATGTACAAACAAATTAATTCAATTTTAAAAGGGCTAGTTATCTTTTTCAATAAATGGAGAGAATTAGGGAATTGCCTTTGAATGCAATGAGCTCAAAGAAGTTCCACTTTATGCCGCCATTGCTCCAATCTATAAGGAAGATGGAATCGAATTGCTTATGGCAGTCAGGGAAGATTGATTCTTAATTAATTTAATCATTATCCAGATGAAATAACATCATGTATTTCTCACATCATATTTTTTGCTCATTTTGTGTTTAAATACAATTTGAAATCAAATTTTTTCAAAATTTCATCAAAAAATCATTTATAATTAATATAATGTAATTATTATTCATAATTTCATCTTCCTTATGGATATTAATCTAGAATAACTCAAATATATTACAATTGCTAAATGTTTACTATTTTTTTTGATAATTATATGCAAAGGTATCTATGTCAGGGTAGATTTAATTATGCTAAATTTATGGATTTCCTATTGGTATCTATTTCTTGCTCTCTAATTCTTCTTTCTCTTTTTTCAAATCCAACATCCCAAGAAGATCTGTTTAATTGTTCGTTGGTTATTTTTATTATTAGGCTGAAATAAAATCGCCAAACACTAAATCATCCTACTTTGTTTATTAAACTTTTTACTAATTATAATTAAGCTATTATTAATTAACTTAAAACTATTACTATTGATGATTCATAGCATTATATTGTTATTAATTATAGTTTACTTATAAAGACTATTGATAATTTTATTAATAAAGATTCAAATTTGATTATTAATTTTAATGTTATTGTGGATAATATTACTGTGGTTATGAACTTTATTATTATTAGTATAGTTATTGGAGTTATTATTATTAATTTTATAATAGATCTTATCCAAAGAAATTATTTTATTATCTTTGCATCTATTGTTATTATTATATCTATTATTATTGTTATATCTATTATTATTAAACTTATTAATTAAATGTATCTAAGGGTAAAGCAACCTATTATTATGTTTGTTGTTGTGTAGAGGTTTAGGGTTTTACATTATCAAAAGACCCCCAATCATTATTATTCTACTTTTAGGATGGAGGAGGTTAAAGTGGCTAAATATGTTGAACTTAGGGTTACTGGTTTTATTAAGGTTCAAAATCAAATATATCAACTACATTTTACTTCTAAGTTTATTGTTATTATGGTTGGGTATTTTACGGTTTTGACTATTAAACTTATTATGGTTATTATTATGTAGGTTTTGATGCTGGAACATCCCATTTTTCATTTTGCTTGGCTAAATTTTGAATAGCTTCTTTGAATGTCGGTTAAATTACTTCAGCTTTAGGTACATCCCATTAAATAGAATCATTATTGTTATTATTATTATTATTATTATTTTTTGTTTCTGCTTTCTTATATTTCTCAAGACCACTATTATCCCAGATTCCATACTTTGATTCTAAATTTTATTGATATATGGTTTACAATAAGTTTATTAATCAGATTTAGTAGTAGTAGTATTTTATTCATTAGTATTATTTCGAGTGGCTTCATTTTTATAAGATTCATTTCCATATCCTTTGTATGAGTCATTCTTGTAGGCATCTCTTCCATAACCTTAATAATTTGTATTACTTCCTATGGCTCCAATTCCTCCTGCAGCTAAAATTTAATTAACAATATTGCCTGCCAAACGCTCTCGAATCCTTTTTGCATTCTCTCGTTCCTCTTCAATTTACTTCTCGTCGCAGAGTAAATCAACAAGTTATTTACTCTTATCTCGAACTAATAATATTGATTCAAATCTACTTGAAAGTCCTTTATCAGAACCCTATTCAATTAAAATGAAATCCGAGAAACTTCTTATTTTAAATATAGAATCTCTGAATTCTCCAACACAACGTGGTGCTCCATTTTTAGTCAAATACTCAATTAGATTGAGTGTCTAATAGTAAAGTAAGACATACTTTCAAAATTCTTCTCCATTCCCGATTGTCAGAATCAAGTCGCTTCCATATAAATTTCATTATGGTGTCACATTATGTGCTATATTTAATTGCTTGTCTTATACAATATAAATGATGCTTCTGAAATCTCTTATAATAATTTGGTGGGTGTGTTCCAATTTTCATTTGAGGTAGCTTCTGTTAAGATATCAGTTAATGGCGGTTTTGTGAGTTTATCTTTTCTATTGGTTTAAATTAAAATAAATACAATTAGAGAGCAGCTTCCTTTATAGCTTGTAGATTCATTTAATAAATTAATGTTTCCAAATCCGATTCCGTAATCCAAATAAAGAGGTATATCGTAACCTAGTCGAGTACAGCCCGTCAGTGTTACATTCAAGAGGAGAAGGCCAGACAAATAGAGAGAGAGAATCAATTGCTTTTTCAAAAAATACTAGGCATTACAATGAAACAGAGAAACAGTTCAACAACTCCAACAAAAACAACATTAAATTATAAAACCCGAAAGGATTTTCAATAGAAAATAATGGATGAAAACTAGAGACTATTAACTAGAATCAATTAGCAAACATCGTATTACAAGATGTAAAAATTGTAACCAAAATCATTATCTAAGCAAAGAGCAAATTCCTCTGTAAGTATTTAATAAAATTACATAGTATTTGCCAAGTAAGAAAACTTAGGAATTATATTAGAGCAATTTAGAGTAAGATGGTTAAGTTTACAAAATAAAGATTATGATAGATGGACAGTATAGTATTTTAATTTTGTTTAGATTATTTAAGATATTGGCCACGACAGAGGAACAATCATATACACGAGTATTGGAGATGATGAAAAGTGACGGTAATATATATGGTGTTTGATTTGAATAGGAATTCTATTGATGAAAAATGTTTTTTAGAATGATTATGAAAAATTGATGGGAAGTTTGTAGATTTCGAATAAGATAACAATAAAAGGGATTGAATTGATAGAGACTCATGGCAATTATGGTTGATAAATAACAATATATATAAAAAATTCAATTTTGTTCATCGCTATCAGTTTCCCACTCATCATTATCGTTGTTTTCCGGACCAGTAATTGGTCTGAAATGCTCTCGTTCTCCTCTTTGCTGAAGTTCCTCTTACATTTCCTCATACATTTATTCGTATATTTGCTTGTCTAATTCATCCTCCTCATAGTGGGAATCCTCATCAACCCAAGATAATTGCTCTTCTTAATTGAAATACAGATTTCCTTTTTCATCCATATGACATTCAGTTTTCAATTGAATTTACTGTTTTTACTCGTATTCTACATTCAGATCAGGATGGGAATCATCTTTATAAATGAGATCAGCCATGGTTCTATATGAAAAATTAGCAAGGATTTCTTGAGCTTATTCTCTGGAGAGTTGAGGATAGGGCTTTTTGAGATTAGTTGGAAGTTATGGTTTATCTTTTTTGAACCACTTGAACATTAAAATTATTTTAAGGCTAAGAATTATTAAAATTTTATAATATGTAGGGATGCAATAGATCATAAAAAATAGCCATCTGTACAGTTGGTTTGCCAGCTAGAGGGAAAACATATATATCTCGGAAATTGAATCGTTATTTCAATTGGCTAGGTTACAAGAGTAGAGTATTCATAAATGGTAATTACAGAAGAGAAATATGTGGCACTGAATGCAATTCTAAATTTTTTGATCCTCAAAACGAAGAAGTATAATGAACGACTAGTAAATTTAGGCTTAAAAAGCAAGGAGTGATTGTGCAAAAATGGCATTACAAGATTTAATACAATTTCTTAAGAATGGAGGAGATGTGGGGATATTGGATGGAACAAACATAACAAGAGAAAGAAGACATTAGATTGAAAGTGACTTAAAATCGTCTTTTAATGGAATTCAAACTCTGTGGATTGAATCCATATGTAATGATTCTAAAGTGATTTAAAATAATATCCGACTGACGAAGATCAACAATCCAGATTATTGCAACATGAACTCTGATGAAGCAACAATAGATTTCCTAAATAGAATCAAGATGTACGAGCAAATCTATGAAACTATAACCGACGATGAGGATCTCTCATACATCAAGACAATGAACGTCGGAGCAGACGTACTAAACATGTTTCCATGCTTAGATTATAGTTCATTAAGTCTATGGCTTTCTGTTGTCCAAGATTGTATCCTTCATAATGAATCTACACACCTATCCGAGACCAATCTACTTATCGAGACATGGAGAGAGCCAGTACAATGTTGATGACAGGGTATAGGAGGAGATTCCGATTTGTCAGAGTTAGGCGAGATGTACGCAGACAAGTTGGCAGACTTCTTCTTTTAGGAATTTCCCACAAAGGAAATTAAAAATGAGATCATATTCTTGACCTCAACTATGAGAAGAGCTGTTCACACATCTGATGTAGTAGCATCCAAATTAGAGATCTAGCCATTGCAACTTAAGACATTGGATGAAATCAATGTTGGAATTTGTGATGGAATGACTTACACTGAAATTGCATAGAAATTCCCTAGTGATTTCTAAGTAATCATTTGTTAATATAAATATTTATTAGGAAAGGAAAATCAATAAATTAGGTTATAGATACCCAAGGGGAGAATCATATTTAGATTTGATTAGTAGAATTGAACCTGTGATCTTTGAAATTGAAAGATCGAGACAACCAGTTATGATCATAGCTCATTAAGCCATTTTAAGATGCTTATATGCTTACTTTCATCAAAACGAGATTCCAGAAGTACCTACTTTGGATATACCTTTGCATTGTGTTATAAAATTGACTCCAGCTGCCTACTTTTGCGATGAAAAAAGAGTGTTGATCAAGCCTTAAACTGGAGAAATCTCAATCAAGGAAGAGTATGTGTAAGAATTTGTGAGATCAAAGAGCAAACAGAAGAGCTTTATTGATTTATGATTATATTCATCAAATGTTAATGGAGTGATCATTAAAAATAATATAAATTATTTATATTATATATATGAAAATAAATATTCGTTTTTCGATTTTTTAGCACAAAATAATCCTCAGACGTATGTCAATAATAATTACAATAAATGCTAAAACTAACTCTTTGTGTATTGTTGGTGCTTGGTGCAACAGCCATCAACGTCTAATCCTCCATCTGGACTAGTCGAGACTAAAAGGCTCTTGCTTAAATTCACTCATCTGGTTGGGGAAAGTTCATTTTGAATTATGCCGAACTCCACATGACAACCGGAGGTATTCTCTCTGAACTCAACAGCGAAATTGGAAAACTCGTAAACCCATATCACTAATAATTAAGGTCGACGAATTAGAAGAGGAATTAGCTGGAGTCCATCACGAATATAACAGAAGAACTGACGTTCATAACAGAGAAGTAGCAAGACTTGAATAAGAAATCCAAGACAAGGAAAGAGGTACCAATAGTTTCTGATCCTTTTTAGAACTCTTCAACGCTCACGATTTCTATGATAATGTCCTCATCCCATAAAGAGATAGATTTGCTGCCTAACTTGAATAATTATAAGAAAACATCGCCTAAAACAGAAGAACACTCCAAGAATCCACAGTCTAAAGAGAAAACGATCACGAGACCTTTGAAGCTTAAGTTGCAGAACACAATGATGCCATTGGTGCCATCGATGAATGCCTCTAATTATTGAGCACAATCGAAACCCCATCTCTTGCTTAAATCAAGAAGGTTTAAAAGAACCTCACCAAAATCCAAAACTCATTGAAAAAGCACAACTAATTCCAAATCTTTGTCAAAGTACTTTTGGAAATCACAGTTGAATCCAACTTCGCCGATCAAGGTGCTCTCAGAGACGTAACTTATTTTCTCATCTCCTAGATTATTGTTGCCTTCAATAACTTGAGAGTCGAATTAGTTGATTCTCTCAACTAAATCACAGCCGATGAAGCTTAGGCTGTTACCGACTTCAACGCCCAAGTTGTCTAATTGAACTAAGAACACGCTGAATTCTAAAGAGCTGTCGTTGTTAAGAATGCTGAAATTGAAGCCAACGCTAGTACTATTTACATATCTAATCCATTTAGCCAAAATTGAATAAACCCTTGACCTCATCGATGAACTCGATGCTGATTTAGCAACCCTCAACGGATAATTATAAGCTGAAAACGATGACTTTGCCTTTGCCACCGACGTCTTCAACTCAACCGTTGCAGAATACAACAAAGAAATCAATGCTGCCAACCAAGCCTTAGAATTGCTCAACTAACCAAGATTTTAAGATTATGTTAAATCATAACTCAAAGGAGCATGATCTATTCAATAATATCATTCAAAAGTTATCACCATTCTATCGAATTTTTATTTACTTTTATTCTTCCATTTTTGACACAATCACTCGTTGAAAATAGAACATCATCCCTATTTCTTACTATAATTAAATAATTGTATCACCCTCAATACTATATTATTTATATTAGAGGTCTACAAAATAGATAAAAATGTCACTTTTTTTTTGTTTTAATAAAGAAAAAAAGTAAAAAAATAAAAATGAGTTTAATAAGCAAAACTCAATCTCAAACAATCAATATTAGGTCTCTAATTATTAAATTATTAGAATTTTTAAATGAAATTTTGAAAACATTTTGTTGCTTTTAAATTTAATGCCTTAAAAATTTTTGTTAGAAATTAATTTAAAAAATCTACCTAACTTAGTATAATTATTGATAAGTGCTAAAATTGAATTGGAAATTTAAACTTTAAAATGATCTATGGTAGGCAAATTGAAAATCTCCTTTTTTTAATAAAGTTATTACAAGAAAAACACTAATTAGAATAAACTGAAGTAAAAATAAAATCAATTATATTTTTTATTAAATTTGTTGAATCTTTCTCTTTTTTATTTTAGGTGTTCAGACGGAAACTTTGGGTTGAATAGGTCCTATTAGTAAAAAATGAGATGACCTAATCTTATCTTGAGATTGAAAATAATAATGATTATTTCTAGCAATTTTGAAATTAAGTGAGATTTAGATACATAATTTATGATCTTGTGGTTGATAATCTAATTACTTTCGGAACATTTGTAATGTAATTAAAAAGTCCTAATATTTAAGAATAAAGATTTTCATTCACTGTTAATTTATAATCTTTTCTAGTTTCAGTTGATTATACATACAATAGGATATTTCAGAATAGCACTTGAACAACTCTATTGAACAAGAATCATTTTGCTCACCAGCAACGATTCTACATCTTAAATATCGATTGAGTTTATTTAACAGTGGTTTTTCTTAAAAGTAATCCTAATTTAATTTATAATAAACGCATTAAATAATAGAAATAATAACACTTTTCATTCGGGATTGTGTGCAATAATTCAAATTAAGATTTTCAATCCTAATCTTTTTAATACCTCCCTAAAGTGAAGAAAATTGAGTGCAAACTTATTTAAGAAGTAAAATTATGTAATATGTAGGACAATATTCAAGATCTTAAGATGTGCAAGATTTTTAATTTAAATATCTAGCAAGATTTAATGGAATTTAAATTTTCTTAATGTAAATTCATTGAACAATTTATTAATATTTACACAATAATATAAAGTCTTATTTTAATCAATGTAATGTAGGTAAAAAGCTTTCACTTAACAAGCAAGCAATCAGGATTAAACCAAAAAATGATGAAGAGTCTGATTAATTTTTTGGATTAATTAATGAGGCCATATCACAAAAGCGACCTAGAGCGAATAGTAGATCAAATAAACCTAAGAGGCTTTCAAAGAGGTAATTATTTGGTATAAGGCAAAAGGGAACAAAAGACTTAAAATAATTACATTACATCTTTGAAAGAAATTCAATTGACTCAAAATCAAAATGAAAGTTATTGCGAGGGAATAGATGAGGAGGTAAACATTAATAGGTCAGTTCTCAATTTCGAAGTAAAGATTATAAATAAAAATAGCTTATTGATGCTGTAGAACTTGAAAGTAGAATAGGTCGAAAGTAAGAACAAAGTAAAGTATATCGATCTTTTGAAGGCCTAATGAATGATGAATAAAACACCTCTCAATATTATAAGTTCAACCAAAAAAGTTAAGAAAACATCAGAGATCACTAAACTGAATATCTAAAGTCATAAGGCTAACAAGAAATTTTGAATGAATATCATGTACGATCAAAAAGAAACGTATACGAGGACAACTACAATTTAATATTGATGAACTCTCAAGGAATAGAAGCTATTTTGAATAACTTCCATAATTATTTTGATTCTTATCCCCTTTTGAAATTGAGAAAATACGTTGTCCTTCTATTGGAGTTGCTCTCTTAGATCTGCGAAATGATCATATCAAGTAGAATATATAGATATGTGATGCTTTTTCTCATTACGACAAACATAATCTTATTAATAACAAAATATTATGGCAATTTTTATGAGCAATATTAAGAATTTTTTGATACATAACAGGAGGGTATGAATAAAATAGTTATTTAGTGTTTTTTATAATATATGTTTTAGAAATATGCATCCGAGTGTCAGGTCACAATATAGTAAACTTTTTCTGTCAATTTTGGAACATTTTTGATTTGTTAAATGTAGTGATTTTGGGGTTAGTGACATATGGACTGATTTCATTTGACTTTTCGCCTTTAAGAGCAATAAGAGTATTGATTTTCTTAAGTTAATTATCCTCATAATTGCAATTAACTTTCAAAGCACTAATTCAATCATTAAGATATATGCTAGAAGCTTTGTTGATTGTCTTAATATTTTGTGTTCTTTTTGCTAATATAGGTCTTCATTAATTTGCAACTGCGTTTTACAATAAATGTGTTTACTTGGAAGATGGACTTATATTATCTGATTAGTATTGTGGATGGCTAGACTGTCCAATTTACTCAACCTGTATAAACATTCCAATAATATTTGCTCCAGATCCAATAACTAATTTTAATAACTTCATTAATTCATTCATTTCTATCATAAGAATCATTACAATGGATAATTGGACTGATTTGATGTATCCTACTCTTTACACTTAAAGTCCATTGACATGGATATATTTTGTATTTGTGATATTCATAGTTGGATTCTTTGCATTTAATTTGATTATTGCTATTTTGAAGACATATTATTCGCATATAGTTGCCAACTATTCATAGGATCAAGAGGATGTTAGAAAAGAGTAGGATGATCAAATTGAAATTAATTTGAGATTTATAAAGGATTTAGGACTCTATTAGAAATTAAAAGTGCTATAAAGAGCTAAACTTCACACTTAATAATAAGCTTAGGATTGCTCTTAATCCTAGATTATCAATAATTATACAATAAAACAGCCATTCTTACACTAATAAGGGGGAAATTCATCGATAATGAGTCCTTAAATATCAGCTAGAATTGTTGCAAAGAGCACTGCAAAGAAACTTCAAAGATTTGCTAAAAGTTAAATTGAAAAGACTTAAAAAAAGAAGTAGTATGCTCATGTACTTTCAGCTCGACAAAGAAGAGAAATGGAAGAGCTGAACAATGAAAAAAAGACCAATTTAATAGGTAAAATTAAGTCATCGTGCAAGTTGAGATACATAATATTACCGAAACGATCATTAATTTTGGAATAGACATTCTAATTTTAAAACTCAAATGAAGAGGAAATGGATATTCTACATTAATTATAAACACATGATGTTTTAGGTTGGAAAGTATCAGTTGTGTACAAAGATTATGTTTCTAACTCTTAAAGTGAAGTATTAGGATAAAAACAAGAGTACTTATTAAAGGAGAAAAAATTAGTTACAGAATTATAGAAGATTAGATCAAAAAAAATTCATTAATTCTATTTTGATGATGAAATCCTCAAGTAATACTAAAATACTTGTAACAAAATGATTAGAAGCAGTATCTTACCGATAAATAAAACCAAAAGATAAATAAGGGTATAATCTCAAACTTTTGACGAATTAAGAAACGATGAAATAGAAATACTTTCTCCAAAGAGACAATCATCTAAATCATCTAGTGTTGAAAGGAAATTCAGATTCCAAAGAAAAACTATGTTCGCAATAAAGAAATAGAAGAGCGATTTCTTTTTTGAGTTTCCAGAGTATTAGGAAGGAGAACCCTTTATTCTCTTAAATGGTGTCAAAAGGAATTATGAATCTGTTTCTATTCTAATCAATAGAACATTAGAAAATGAACAAGAGATTACAGATACAGAAGATTTGAATACTCTATTTTTTTAATATCTAAAATATCGTGTAAGAATTAAGTAATTATTTAATAGAGATTGGAAATTAAGAATAATGTAATATTTAAGCAAAACATTTCGTTACTTGATGTTATCAAGAATAAAAAACTAAGTCTGTTATCAATTTTTAGATCTTTAAACTCTAAAGAAATTCATATTTGGATGATAGGATTTACTGGGTTATGGAAGTCTTTCTAGTTAAAAATAAAAATGTGGTTAAACAACAGTTTCATCAATTTAATATTTGATTTTTCAAATTTGTTGAGTTTCTGTGTTTTATGTTCAATTGGGTTTTTAGATGATGAACTCATAGAGTAGATTAATTTGTATATGACCTTCTAATTAATCGCTTAGATTTCTTTAAAATTAATAAGCTAAGGCATAAGTAAAGTAATGCAAATTAATTTTAGTACTTTTTGGATATGAAGGAGACAATATTTTAGACTCAATGGTGATAATAACTTAGATTATTTATAATATAATCATATCCACTGATATTTCATTAAAAGATAATTATGGAAGTGAAATAAAGGCATTAAGAGCAACAAACGCAATTTTATTATATAGGATTATCAAATATAATTAATTTGTAACCAGGATTATGAGAATAGCAAAGATCACATTTAAGAAGTAATAAAATAATCTAATACCTTAGGTATTTGAGTTTAATGTTTTTAATGTTATCTATCATCTTGATAATTTCTATTTTGGGAATGTAATTCTTCATTGAGAATTTCCAAGAAAATGAGGGTTTATCATAATTACATTCGTTTAAGAGTTTTGCAAAGTCTTGGATGACCATATTTAACATCAGTACAAATGATGATGCTGTTGGTATGTTAAAAGTAGTTATCAAATATCAACAACCTTGGATTGGTATCCTATTCTATTTCATAACTGTATTTACAATAAATTATCTGATATATGGTCTTGTGATGGCAGTATTATTGGATGCTTTCTCATCTGAATTGGAGAGGGTTGTTGAAAATTAACAAGATCAATCCTTGATTCTGGCAAGGAAGGTGGGAATATAAGAGAATATTTAATTTGATTAACAAAACAACAATATTACACAAAATGAAGAGGAATTGTATTTGATCTATTGTTATTTTTAGAGTTTAGGATTAAAGCACCCAACCTACTAAATCCCATTCGTCGAAACATCATGCCAAAATCAATATTCGAGATTTGCCAGAGACATCGTAAAAACTATTTATGAAAAAGAGAAAAAGATATTGTAAACACTATTTTGAATATTATAGAACTCATCTATTACGAAGATACTAAATGCGCAGACTCTTGCTTTATTTTTTCATACAATAATAGGTTTAGAAAGATATGTTATAAAATTTCTAAAAGTTTACCCTTTAAACTCTTAAATGATGTTACCATTATTATATCAGTAGTATTTTAAATACTATCGGACTTTTAATTGTCAAATAACCAATAATTATTTGACTCCCATTTGGATAAATACTTCGAGATTACCTTACTTATTTAGAACATTGTGATTCTGACTATTTTCATTGTTGAAATCATAGCTAAAGGTTTTATCCTTAATCAAGGGACCATCCTGAGAGATTTTTGGAAACTGGTTAATATGACCTATACTACAGCATATTTCTTGAGTTTTATAAGTTCAGCTCCAATTTTAAAATAGGCGCATCATTTAAGTAAAATATTTGGTAACTTAGTTTTCTGCAGACCACTAATGATGGTGAATATGTTTGATAGTGTTTAAGGCGTAAAGAATGCCATGGTTAAAAGCTTAATTTAGATCATCAATATAGTGGCTGTAATTTTATTTGTGTTTATGGTTTTTAATGTGTTTGCAATGCATTTATACTAGAAGAAAATGGGGTATTGTGAGGATCTAATGAATTTTCATATCAGTTATTCTGAGTGCCAAAAGTAAAACAAACAATGGATCAATCATCCTTACAATTTCGATAATTTTGTAAATGGATTATTTACATTAACTATGATATCTTCATTAGATGCATGGGGAGAAATCATGTAAGTGTGTTACAATGCCAGCAATTCAAGTACAGGACCTTCTCCATTTAAAATTTAATGGGCAACTTATTTATTATTTGTGACTTTTATTTTCATAGGAGCTATGTTTTTTATGGGTTTTCTGACAGGTGTGTTATTTACTGAATTTTAAAAGCTTACAAAAAAAATAGAAAACAAAAACTTAACATAAGATCAATCTCAATTCATATAAATTTGCTCCATTGTTCTCAATTAAAAACCTGGTTATTCTCATGCTCCTCATTCCACTATTAGAAAATTGGCTTATAAGTTGGTCTTTAATAAATAGTAAAATATTTATACAATAATTTTAGTTACAAATATTTATACAATTGTATTTTGGTTACAAATAGTATTGTGCTGTGTTTTCTATTTGATATTCATTCATAATACACTAGAAATTTAGCTAATTAATTGTATTAATTGCACGCTATAATTTTCAACTTTGATTGCATAATAAAGTTAATGGCATATGGAGTCACTAGGTATATGTCTTCAAGGTGGAGATTGTTTGAATTAATCATAACAATTATCTCAATTGCAGATTTCGTGTATGATGTGAAAAAAAGGTGGTTTCATCTTTTTACAAATGGCTCATAGAATGAATTTATAATTTACATAGCCAAGGTCTTCTTGATCTGTAGAGATATAAAGATCTTGCTAATATTCTAAGAATTTAAAGGACTTTAGAGATTGATGCGAGTCTTGTTCTTTACATCCTCCATACTTCTCAAATTACTTTATATTTAATTAACCATACAAGCTACATATGCTCTGATAGGAACTCGTCTATTTGGTCATATCACAAAAGTAAATAATTATTTGTATACATTTTTAGGGGAGAGCCATTGATGAGTATTATCTTAACTTTAGGAATTTTATCAATGCAGCTTTGGTCCTATTTAAATGTACAACGGGAGATGATTGGAGAGCCCTAATTATTGATTGTAGTAGGTCCAATATGTATTGCCGAGATGATGTTCAATAATGTGGTTCTGGTTGGGCATATATATACTTTTTATCCTACTATTTACTGTCCAATATAATAGTCATGAACTTATTCGTATTAGCTTTGGTCGATCAATTTGAAAGTACTTATACACTTCTAAGATTTATAGGTTTTTTTAGTACTACGACGAATGTGATTTAAACTTTTGTTGAGAACATCGATCATTTCTGTAATTGTTGGTGTCGTTATACTTACGATACTAAGGGACTCAAAATGCACACAAGATATATCGGTAGATTTTTATTAGATTTGAATCAACCACTAGGGGCTTAGAAGGGAGACAACATATGGGATGCTGCGAAAGATGCATTCAATTTTAGGATTAGGGCGTAATCTATTATTACATTTTAGGGATAAAAGGAGTTATGTTAATTTCAATGAATTATTATATGAAACATTGAGATTTGCGTTCTTGGAAAAAGTGTTTAAGGATGGCACTTAGGCAGGGAAGGCTGAGATGAAATTATTTGATATGGCTATGAAGAGAAAGTTAAATGAGAAGATGAAGGAAAAATAGAGAAGTGGAGAATCTTAGGGGAATATTAAGTTATTTGATTCAATTGATGAATCTTTTGATTTCAAATACTCTTACTAGAATTTCAACATTTTACAGGAGTATTTACATTTGCTGATAATTTTTAAAACTTGGAAATCATACACAATTAATATATTTGAAAAGTCAAAAAGGGGACTTCAGAATTATACTGAATAATCGAGTGATGAGAGACACGAGTATATATAATCATTCAGCGTTCATACAAAGGATGGGTTATAGGTGTTGAATGAAGAGAAGCTGTATGCTTCTTAGGCTATTGATGAGTAAAACAAAGAGGAGATAATGCAGAACTTCAAAGAGTCAAATAAATACAGATTAACAAATTACAATTCATAGAATAGTTCTACTTTGCAAGGTGTTGTATATGAACCTGCAGGAACAAATCCTACTTCCATTATCAGAATGCAATCAACCTCTTTGGAACCATAAGGAGTTTAAAGATCTATTTTGAAGAAGAAATGTTAAACATTAACATTGAATGATGTCCTTTTGTATTAGAACAAATAAAAGCAAAATGAGAATAAATTAAACTGATCTTCAACTTTTATATTAATTTTAAATCATCATACATTTACTTTTTTGTTTAATTTTGAAGTATATTGTTATTATATATATAAAATAATAATTTGTATTCAAGATGGACACAGAGGAAGAATGCTTTTCTGGCGATGAAATTGACCAATTTAATTGTCCCAAACATTTACTTATCTATACAAGTAAATTGCTTTTGTTTATTAGTTAGATTATTGTACAACTACTCAATAATTGCTATGCTAAGAATGTTTGATCAAATGTAGCTTGAAAGTGTAAAATATCATTTCAATTGAAAAAGTATGATCATTTATAGAGGCTAGGCTTTGAATAACATAAGTTTATAAAATAAATAGCAATTGTAAAAAGTTCAAAAAATCATTAAAAACTACAATAATCTTGATGATCAAATTCAAAAAGAAAATGCTCAGATACATAAAATGTCCTAAGTCTAAATTTAGTCATTGAATTCAGTGTGCTCTTAAATTATGGAAATTGTTTAAATGAAATTCTAAGAACTTATTGAATAAGTTGAAGTTCATAAAATGAAGCATTAATAGATTTTACAGGATTCGAAAGTACCCTTAATTATTATTATAAAAGTGTATCATTGATGAATATAAGGGAAGAGGAATCTAATTAGAAAAAAACATTGTCAACTAGTAAAATACCTCTGGATATGAGCAATTAAAAAAGTTTCGAGAATATTACACCATCAACTGTAAGACAATCAAAGAACTTGAAAACGAATATGAGAGTTTATCCTAAGCCCCTAAAATTTAATATCAGCAACTCTAAATTAGAAATGCCTCCGATATTGTTAAATAAATCTCTAACATCTTGTGTACTTTGGAAAGAGACTCCGATTATAGAATCAAACGTGTATCATCCAAACTATTTTAATAACCTAACACTACAAGAGCGAGTCCATTCGCTAAAAAAGGTTTTACTTAACATAGTTCACCTCACTTTAGTTTACAATCATCTAAGTAGCAAATGAGGAAAACAGAAGTCAAATAAATTACTCTGGATATCCCAACAGATTTAAGTTCTATTTTAGACAAAGCATCTCCAGAATAATCAATTATTAATGATTTCTTTAGTAACAAGTAATCCTTAAGTGAGCATTCCATTTCATAGATGGAGATTCCTATCTAAAATCAAACATAATTTTACATTATAGGGGGATTGTTGAAGGGTTAAAGATAGAATCTCATTGAATTAGTTGACATATAATCAAAGCAATCTGCTTAACACGACTTCTTGGTATCGAATCGTTATGGATTTTAAATTGCCTATCATGGAAATCAAATTCTATTGATAGGAGGGAAATAGGAAGGAATTAGAACTGCCTTATGTGAGTCGTACGATCCAAATCTCAAGCAATCTAAAATCTCTTAACTTATACTTACTAAAGGAGTTAGTGGATTGGCATCAAAATAGATAGGAAATAAATTATATATTTCAGGAGGCAAAACAGATCAAGGAATCTAAGACATATTTCAACTCATCAATTTAGATACTTATCAGACTAAAAACTTGTAATCTGTTCCAATTAAGTGTTATAATCACACCTTGGTGTAAGGTAATGAGCCAAACTCTATGTATTTGTTTGATGAATAAGGTTGTTTCAAATATGATATGGCAATAAATCAATGGAAAAAAATCAAATCTCCTAGTTATCCTAGAAGAAGCCATATTTCTTTGACACTTCCAGATGGCATATGGATTTTCGGAGGAAGGTCGGGCAAAAAGTTTATTAAATAAATTGAGAAATACGATGAAACCGATTAATAGTTCTATTAAATGGGAGAATTAATATGTCCTATTGTTAAATCTGATGCAATCGTTAGTGATGACTATCAATTTGTATATTTAGTTGGAGGAAAGACTTAAGAAAATATTCCTAGTTCAAATATTTGGAGGTAGAACATTTCTATATATTTTTGTAGATACTCAATTTTGACCAATTAATGCGTGCTTTATAGTTAATTTACAAAGCCTAGGTATTCTCATAAATTGATCCCTAAAAAAGTTTGATTTTAATTAATAAGTTTCTATTTTAACTATTATAATTTAAATTCAAAAATAACCAATGCTAAAACCTATTCTATTTCCAATTAATGCAGAAGTCATCGATAGAGGTCATTATTATGAATTAAAAGACGATGTTATCAATCAATAATAAGATAAAAAATAAAAGCAAAAACTAATATTAAAAGAATTACTCGAATTTATTTTGAATAAGCAAATTTAACCCAGTTAAAGAGAAATAATCATAAAGGCATATCGAAGAGTCCTTTTAGAAAATAAGAAAGAATAATGGCTGAAGTTATGTAATTATTCAGATTCGTTCCTTAATCAATTCAAGCTAGACACAAAATTTATGGGGTCTGATGATGTAACTATCAATTAGGCTTTCTTAAAACTGAATCAAATAGTTAAGCATTTCATTCCAGAATATCTGGAATAACAATCAAAAGAATTAACAATTGATAATGAATTTATCGAAAATAATCTTAAAACAGTGCTATCATAATTGATTGAAGATCTTTAAAATTATCAAATCTATAAAAGTGATGTACATCATGGTTTGGAAGCTATGAAATATTATTAATAAGAAACCTACTCTGCAACCTTAAGTTTGATTTAAAGCCTAAACAATTACATTAAATATGTGTTATTATATGATGCTGATTGCCAATAGATGTCAATTGAAAATTCAGAAGTTATGCTCAATACATTTTAATAGACCTTCACTTAATGGTATGAAAAATCAAAAGCACGATTAAATGATAAACTAAATATTTTGAAAAAATAGGCAGAATAGGCACTTATGGAGAAAAAGAAATATGAGTTAGAATTGGAGATGCTAAAGGAGTATGAAAATAAATTGAAAGAAGATTAAAATCTCTAAGATGTGATTAATTAAAATAGGGAACTAAGGAATTAAATATAAGAGATTAAATAATAATTAAAAAGACAACATTGAAGATTATATAATATTTATTTAAGTTAGTTTATAATTGTAATCAAATATAGATAAATATATTATTGTTTCAAATCTAAGAGTGATCTTGTTTTTGGTTTAAGCAAAAATAGTTACTAAAATTGCTTTCATATTCATTTATCGATTGCTCAATTTCTTCTGGTTGATCTAAATTATTCAAGAGTAGCTAGATGTTGAATGATAAATTGAATTTAAACTATTGCAAGTGTTTACTTAGTAATTAAAAAATATTATTAGTGTTTGGTAATTTGATCTCAGGATTCTGAGCTGTGTGAAATTATTTAGTGACCAATTAAATTGATTTTTTTATGTGTTTTTCTAATTTTATAAAGATTTAAAATACTATATGTTTGGTTCTATAGGGATTGAAAGAACATTATAAAAAATTTAGGGAATTTCTAAACAAGAGCCATTTCATATATTGCTCCTTTTGAATAGCGCTTGGTATTAAATTAATACTAATACTATGAGCAAATTTTTCATTTAATTCGAAATTAATTGTTGTAATTAGATTACCTTTTAAGTTTATTAAAATAAAGACTCCTATTACTATTTTAGTTCCATGAGTTAAAAATAGAGCTACAAGTTTGTCTAATCCAAGAGGTCAAGACTTTCTTGGATTTACTTGTAAGGAGCTCTTTTGATGGTAGTTTCATTACTAAAATTGTTATTCTTATTGTAATAGAGCTTCCTGCCATCCTTGCTCTTTTTGACTTGGAATCCATATATGTTTAGAGATCTAATGGAATAATCATGAATACCTTCGGAAGCTATCGAAACTCTTAATTTTATAATGCTGAGGCAATATAATATTTTCTAAAGACTTTTAATCCAAGATAATGAAGCCGTCGTTTTCAGGAGTGCATTAGATAATGGAGGAATACTCATCATTCTAAAGAATAAATTATGGGCGATGATACTTCAAGAATAGATTTTAGAGTTTTAATGAAGCTTTTAGAGGCTTTCTATGTTCTTTTGTTCATTATAAAATTCAATTAATAATTCTGAGTTCTTAATATAATGCAACTCTGTTACATTTATAAGAAGGCAATAAATAATTTGATTTTTAAAATAATATTTATGAGCAAAGCATCACATAGTCCCAATGACTTGATCGAGTTTGAAAATCACAATAGAAATTCTTCATTTGGAAAGAGTATAATCGTAATTTGAATTTAGAGTTATTGTCGACTGTTCCAAATGTTCCTGCTTTTGGTTTCGGAACTTCAACAAGATATTAGGCTTCACAAGTATACAGAGAAAATAGATTAATGGAAAAAGGCAAACATAGTCCAGGCCCAATCTATAATCCAATAAAAAACTTCTCTTAATAAGCTGCCAGAGCTCCAAGTGCAAGAATGGGTACATCTACGAGGTAAAGCTTAAACACAAACCATTATGATCATTACAAAAGAAAAGATGTCGATGTATTTTAATTGATAATTTTAGTTTGAACCTTAAAAGGCTGAGCATCTTAGAAAATGGTCTGCAGGAACAGTCAGATTTGGATAAGAACAAAGATTCTAATAGAAAGAACTTACTAAGACTCCAGGTCCCAATTATGATCTAACAGAAAGAGCTCAAGGCCCAAAATATACTATGGGCAATAGAAGAGCTCATTCTGTTTCTTTTTCAACTCCAAATACAATTGGACCTGGAAGCTACAAACCAAAAAAGGATTTTTCAACAGAATTGCAAGAACCACCAAAATACTCATTCACTAAAGCTCAAAAATTACCATAATAAAAGAATATTGATAAAAATTAGACTTATTATGTGCAGTATAATAGTATTCTATGATTTTAGAGAAAGCGTTGGAGCACAAGTGGTATCTAATAAACCAAATAAACCAGCTTTCAGTTTTGGTAAAGGAATGAGAGAAGCTAAATTAGCAATGTACAAAAATGATTTTGTAAAAATTGGGGTTAATGTAAGGATTCCACATCCAAAATTTTGAATTAAAATGTTTCACAATAACTTTATTAGAATTTCAGCATCTTTAAATCTTTAAAGCATATTTGAACTTTGTAAGACTATCACAATTGCATCAAAATCATCTGTTTTATAATATCCACTAAAACACGGACCAGCATTTGAAGTAATTCCAGTTTTGATACCTTGCCATCCTTCTTTTTTCAAGAGCTTATTTGTATTTTTCCATTTATAATAAGTTCCTTATTTTCCTTCTTCAGTCATTGAATAAGTTTTAAAACATCTTGTATTGACAATTTCCATAAAATCTTTGATTTTAATGCAATCTTCAACTAATTTAAAAATATCTAATGCACATGAGACATTAAGAGCATCATTTAATCCATGAACTGAATTATAGTTAGTTTTATCCATTTTTAAGTTCTCAGCATGAGTATTCATCATCTAAAGAAATTAATTTCTTAATTGAAACTTATTTTTTTCTATTTCCAATTCACAATCAATAAAATGTCCATTACAATATCTTTGAATATTATCACAAGTTTTTAAAAATGCGATTGCATAACTCAATACTAATGCTGCATCATTCCCTGATGGTAACATCATTGCAAATAACAACTACTTGATATTCATTATCCCTCCTGCATTTAAAAAGGCACTAGTACCATCGATGCATTCAGCATGTCCAGGGATTTTTATTTTTATAGCTTCCATATCAATTCTTTTTTCTTCTAAGAATTTTAAAGTTGTATAGCAAGTCATCACTTTTGTAATTGATGCCACCTCACTTTTATATTGATCTTAGAATGCATATATTTTTTAAAACTTGGTTTCCCCTTTATTCCTTTTGAAAATAGCCCATTTCTTAGAACTAACCTTGTGTTTTAATTTAGAACCGCATGACATTGAAATCGATATGGACTCTATTTTACTACCTTAATTGACTATGCTCTTTTAACTAATCATACTTAAAGTTGTAGAATGTGGCTTTTTTGCAGGTTATTCTTTTCTTACAAAATACTCTAAAATTATATCTATGTATACTTGTTACTTCTCTTTATTAAATTTCTGCATATTTTTTTATTCTTTCTCGAATGACTTAGCCAGGTAAAATAGGAAAACTATTTACTTGTAGCGTTTGGATTTATTTTTTCTTTTTCTCCTCTTAAGCACATCGTTATAAAGCTTCTAAGTAAGTTTCAATTAAGGTGTATTCAGAATGATTCTCACTTCTTTTCTAATAATTGTATTACACTTACTCTTTACTACAAACCTTCATTTATATAGTATTTTAAGGGAGTCTACAAGGATTTATTATTATGAAGATTCGTTGCGGCACTTTTAAGACATCTACCTTTTAATTCAGGAAGAATCATTTAGGAATCATCCGAAGTAGATTAAGCACTTTTGCGATGAAATTTTTGCAATGATACCGATTATCCTTCCTTTTGATTCATATAATTTTTTTATTATATTATTAGCGCATTTCAAGAAAATAATAAATTTATTAGATCTTACTAAAAATAGTTCATGTTAAAATAATATTACTTACACGTGGTCTTTGAAATTCATCTTAGAATAGTAAATGGCAATAGTTTAAATATAATAATCATAAATTTTTAATCCCTAAACTATAAATCTTAAGATTTGTTAATATATTATTCATTATATTTCGTGCGAATAAGTTTAATTATTATTTATACTATGATTATCAAATAAATAATAACCTCAAGTAAATAAATATATGAAACGATATTTAATAATGCAATTAAATCGAACTTTTAAAATTCATAACCAAGATATGAATATCTAATGTTTATTAGCCATTTTGTTGTTTTATAAACAAAATTACATTGATATATTTATTAAGTCGAAGAAAATAATAATTCTAATTATTTTGATATTTGAAATAGTAAATACAAAATTAGTATTTTTTTAAGTATTAAGATTCGTATAGTTGTATTTGACGAACTTAAAAGATCATAAATCCTGATTTGATTTCCGTCATTTCTGATTTTTAAGAATATGTCTAAGTATTGAACTGAATTAATGTGTAGTATCTATTTTATCATTCGAAAAGTGACTTTATATTTTATTTATTCCTTGCCATGTTTTCCATATATTTAACATGCAATCTAACAGATTTCACTCAAAGAAAATTATCTATAATTTTTTAGTTAATAAGCAATCAATTTTCTAAACAACAGAACTCAGAACAACAGACTTACTAAAAATTATACGTTACGAGTATTGAAGGATTAATTAGATATAAGAAAATATTAACGTGATTTTCCTTTAAAATTTGTTGATATTTTTCGAATTGCCTCCATTTTTACATATTTTAAGTTTGTTATTAATATATATATAAATACTTAAGTGATTTAATAAAAAAGAATCCTTCCTAATTTGGTCATAAACCTTCAAAGCAAGCATGGGTCTGTATTAATAATAATTTATTTTCAATCTTAGGCTTTTGTAGATAATGAATAATCTAAATTTATGGATTTGAATAGATTGTCAATAATTTATGGTAAATTTTCACTTTGAACAAAGACTTATATTCTTTATTAGTTAAATATAATTTATATACTTTATTTTATATTGTAAAGCCTTGAGAATAGTTATACTTTGATAAAAAGTTAGATTTATGATATCTAAATAAATATATATATAAAATTAGCAGAATGCTTAAATTATTTGAACCATATTACAAGGAATTGATTTTCTTACTCTCATAGTTTTTAAAATTTGAATTTACTTAACCTTAGATTATATAAATCCTCCTCATAATTGTAAATTAGGTGTAACCAATTTCCTTTAACTTTTATCATATATATAACCCAGAAAAATAATTTGAACCAACACTTTAATCACTACTTATTTTAACACGGCCATACTTGTTTATAGTTAATTAACAATCAAAAACCATTGTTTTCAGTATATGCTTTGCCATTCAATAGATAATAATACTCATGACGATATACTTAATTATCTAGTCAAAAAGGCAATAGTATCATGAAATGCACACCTCAAATGTAATTCTCCGTTACATTTGTAATTATTATTATTTAGTTTCGTCAACATTTTTTTGCTGGCTGATAGAAATATGTATGATGAACATCACAGAAATATATGGAATCACTTTGGAGATAATAATGATCTTGGAAATCGCATCTATCATAATATTTTCTGATATTGTATTTTAAAGTGGATTGATATTAAGAGTGACAACTTAATTACCATTAAATAACAATTAAGTAAAATATTTCATAAAACCATTAAGAATATTTCAAATAATTATATTTTTTTTCTTAACTAACTAGAAATTGGGTCTAATATTACAAAATGTTCTGATCATCACAATACAAACACTGCATATTTATTAAATTTTAGAATTAAAAATATATGCAAAAACAAAGTGCGTTTTAACATCCCTAATTATTGCATCTTTTGGGATTATAATACCAATAGAATCCTTAATTGTGTAGAATAGAATAAAAGACAACTTATGGCTCTTGTTATCCCTCATATTGATATGCTTATTACATTTTATGCATAAAGGATAGTGCTTATCTTTACAAACTATGGATTTGAGAAGATTGAAATACCTTTTTTCATATGTTGAGAGTCTAGATGGGAATCATAATATGAACAAATTGCAGATGACACTTATTGTTTGTGAACATCAACAAAATTGCTCAAAATGTGAATGCATTTGTAAGAAGGAGATGAATATTAAATAAAAAATCCTATAACTCATAGAGATGAAGTTAGAGATCCTTTTGGATTCAAGAACTAAAAAGATAGAACAATTAACCCTAGATTTATCTTAGATATTATTTAGGAGAAGACAATTTGTGAAGGCATAATAAGTGATCTTTAGAGTGGCTTATTCTAAGGAAAATTATTAAAACAAGTACAACTCATTTAATCTCTCCTTGACTACTCTTTGCCTATTAGACTTTTTAAAATATTAAATTGAGAATGATGTACTTATTCAAATGATGGAAAGAATGATTCTAACTAATCCAAATAACAAATTAATTGCAGATTCTCTAAAATAGTTTTCCATTAATGAAAACAGCGATCAATACATACAGATGAAGTTAAAAAAGACAATCTTAGATAAAAGCCAATTTTACTATTATTTTATTGAGCATTCAAATAAATTTCAAGGAGATATCAATTACCCAATAAAAATTATAAGGTAATTATAATAATTTCGAATAGAATTGACTGAGAGATATCAAAAATTTCCAAGTATGTATTGAATTATTTAAATAGCCTCTAGCAATCAAAATGTTTTAAAGTTTTACTTATTAGAAGTTTTAAATGACTATATAGAAGCTTTTGATTTAAATAAAAACAAAGCATTAAATGATGAGAAATTTTAACTTTTTCATGATTCTGTCTATAATAAATTATTTGGATAGAATCCATCCTATATAGTTGCTGAAATCAATAAAGATCTAGACGTGATTATTGTAAGGCAATCTAAAAAGGCAATGAAGAAATTTTAAGCAATTTATGGATCTAAATGGAAGAATTCTCTTGATATTAGTGTTAATGACTTTATACCTGAGTATGTTTAGAGATAGCACAGAACCCTTATTGAGCAATTCTTTGATGAAGGAACAAATAAGTATTACTAGTAATAGAATCTTTCATTTCTTAAATTGTTTGATAAAATTATGTTGCCAATCGAGATGATGGTTGGTCTAAATTAAAGTAGTTCTCAAACTTTTTCATTCCTTATATTTTTTTATGAATAATTGGATTATAGATCATATTTGGTAGTCAATTAATCCTTCGATATTATTAATTGCAGTGAGAATATCAGCAATTAAATTTTAGGAAATAATTAATATTCTACAAGTTTCATTTCAACCAAAAATCTTGGAACCATTTTTAATATCATTCCTGAATTCGATTCAATGATCTAATCGAATGTCAAGAATTTCTTTAATCACAATATTCGCCTGTTAAGTTACAATGGCAAATAAGCAAGCCAAAGATTCTTAGACTATTTCAGTAATATTAATATTGAGAAGAGGTTTTCAGGTGAAAATTTGTGTTATATGATTACTTTAGATAATATTAGATCAAACAATAATAGAAATACAGATTCTAAATTGGATACTAGTATATTTTAAAAGTAACAAACGAGTGACTTATTGATGATTCACAAATTAGAGAGAATGAAAGAGGATATAGACGAGGATATTGAAAAAGCCTTCCCTTATTAGGATATTTTCGATATATCATTAATTAAAAAAGGAAACCCACTGAACTAAAGCGAGTCATAACATGTGGAGTCTAAACTTTATATAACTGATCTAATGGTTGAATAGGATCAAACCAATCCAATTCAATAACAATATAAGGTCAACTAAAAATTATTCAGTCCTAAAGAATCTATGAACGAGGAATTCATAACTAAAAAAAATTTTACATTTTAAAATGAAACCAGGGATTTTGCTTCAGGATCTTCTATTACAATGATTAAAAAATCCAAATTTTACAAAAAATTCGAAATCATTTATTCCCTTTGTAAGTCCTTGAAAAGTTCTTCAAAATTAATGAAAGCCAACATCAACTTTATTCTATTTATAGTATTAATTTAAATTTACATAATAATTGTAAGTATTTATAATTAAAATAGAACCTATCTTTGATATCAAATATCCGGGGCTTTATCTAGGACATCAAATTGCTTTCGGTAAGATACGATGTAACAGGACCATTAGAGTCCTTCTCAGTATCAAGGTTTACTTAGATTAACTACAGAGAAATGTTAGCTAGGAAGGCCATTAACGCTACCTATGCAGCCGAGTTATAAATCTTTCCCAAAAATTACTTAATGTAATCTTTTGATAAAATGAAAAAGAGTATGGGAGATGTACTACTAAGGAGTGAAATTGATTAGATTTCAAATATTACATATTTGCCAATTATGCTATATGTGAATACTAATAATACTGGACAGGAATATAATATAAGTAAAAGATCAATTATAATAATAACCTTAAATTATTAATATGATTTCAAATTACATTTAGATGGACAAGGAGGAGGCTTTGACAACCCTTATTATTATTTTACTTATAAGGATTATCAAATTGTAAAGTCTATGTTTGATCACTTGAATGTGGTTATTTTAGACATTACATTGGAGAGATCAGATTAAGAAAAGAAAAAATGGATGTTTGGGTATTTTCCATTTTTGGGTTTGAATTTTTTGATAACTTTATTTATAATTTTACAATAAATTAGACATAGCAATGAAAAAAGTGCTATAATGAAATACATATCTTCAATTGACTTAAATATTATAGAGTAGGAAAAATTAAGATTATCGTATTTACAATAAATAGTAGTTTAAGATATGGATGTTATTAAAGCATTTGTAATAGATATCGATTAAGTTGATAATTAATTAGAAAAGTCAAACATAAAATAAAAATAATTCTTTTCAAAAAAATCAAATACAAAACTTACTAATAATAAGCCCATTCTAGGACTTACACTTAGTATTGGTCACTTCTTACTGTTTACGGCATTTAGCATTTATTTATTTTTGACTTTCAGGATATATTTCTTAAAATATGAAAAAACAGCAGCATTTTATTAGTAATTATCTGATTTAGGTGTTGACATACCAGCTGTTTATGCTCAAAAAGAAATACTTTTTCGAGTGAAGCTTAGATATCCTTTTCTGAACTCAACTGATTTGAATTAAACTTATGCTGTTATTTTTAATGCTATAAATTCTATTAGTAGATATCAACAATAAAATCTGAATTTAAGTAGCACTGACTATTTATTTGATGATTATTTAATTGACTTTTTCACAACTTTAAACACTGGCAATTTATGTGAGTTTTAGAGTGACGAATTAAAATAGCAAACCTAATCATTTTGCCCTTAAGTGATGCAAGGGAATTTGGTACTTGGGTTTTAATAATCATTAATTTACATATTGAATTCTGTTCGAGTTCAATAGTCAGATACTTTAAATTTTACTGTTCAACCTACTTCAACGTTGTTGGAGCTAGAGGGATCAACGATTTTGACAAACATAATTGAAATAATGAAAGAGTCATTTTATAACAATTTAGTGGATTCAGCCTAAAATTTAATCTTAAATTAATAAGTAATATTGATAATCAATTATTATAGTTACTATGCATATTCTATTTGACTTTTGAGATCATTTTGGCTATTTTCTATTTTGCAAAGATTGATAAATATAATTATCAACAATTCTTATATTTAAAGCAGAGTGTGTACTTGTTTCCTCGCCACACATTAATTTTTGATGATTCCTTCTATAGGAATTTTAGGAGTATAGTTAATGAGGAGAATTTATTAGATTGATGTGATAGTATTTTATAATGATGTTTGTTTTTTCTAAATTAAATGTAAAAAATAATTGTTTATAATAAAAAATGGATAAAGAGTACTCTAATTAGTTGGATGGTAAAAATAATATGAAAATGAACCAAAACTACATTGTGGACCTGATTTCCAAAGCCAACCAAACTGTTAGATCACTAAATTTAAAATTAAAAAGGAAATAAATGAAAGACAAAATAGATAAAGAGTACTTTAACGTGTTGAATGGCTAAATAAATTTTGAGATCAATGATAAAGATTATATTGATTTGATTACAACAAAAGCTAATCAAACAGTTAGACCTTTGACCTTGAAGTTAAGAATGAAATAAATGAAAGATAAAATGGAGGAAGAAATTATTGTAAACTTGTTTATTGATTAGTAGATTTCCAAAATGAAACATGAAAGCAATTAACAACAATAAAACAATGATGATTATTACAAAAATATCTTCTTTTTGCATAAAAAGAGGAGAAGTAAATTAAACAATAAATCTATGTATCATAACAGCGAAGCACAAAGTCCTTTAACCCAAAGAAACTTCACTCAATACTCACCTAAAAGATAGGCATAATAATTTAATAAAACAATGTTGCCCTCCTCTCCAATTATATAGACTCATAGGACAAAAGTGCAAAAATATTAGGATTATTTAAAACTCAATCATTAGATCATGAAGCATAAGGGGTAGTTGAATGAACAGATTTTGAATCTCTTAGAAGAAAAAGTGTAAGTAATTAATTAAATTAGTCACATAGCAAAATCATTTAAATAATCATGCGCTAAGTTGGGAGTCGAATCGTATGAATAAACTTTGAAAACAATTCAAGTTCTCAAATAAAACATTACCTAAAAGGTCATAAAGGAATGTAATACTGTATATGAGGAAAGACAGAATCACAAGTTTAGCATTCTTGAAAAAACCTATGCAGTAAATAAAAATATTATTTAAAGTATTTTTTAAAGGTCTTGGATGTAATTTAATAAATGGATGATTAAATCTACTAATATATGTTGAATTATAAATTCAAAAATCAATTGCATGATCAGAGCTCTATCATTGAAGATATAAATTAGATGAGAGATGATGCATATAATGAAAAAGTTCGAACTTTCAGTAAATATCATGACATAGATCAGGAGAAGAAGAGAGATAGGTAAAAACTTAACAAAATGAAAGTTTATTTTTGATTTATTAATTTTAATTATAACAACTTTAATTTATGAACTTTTAAGCCAGCAAAAAGAGGGCTAACAGTTAGATAGAGTCACAACAGAGTTAAATTGCTGAATTATAAGCTACATCATTTGCACTCTAACAAAAGGTTGACGATCTATAAAAAGAAATAAAAGAATTGCAATCTCAAAATCACAAACTAAATCACCACATCAAAATTCTTAAAGATTAAAATGACGATTTGAAGTTTACTTAGTAAAAAGAAGGTAATTATCTTAATTTAAGCAACAGCAACTTTTATGATTGAAGTCGAACACTTAAGAACAGACAATCAAAGACTTATAACCTTATTAGGTAGTTAAAACAAAGATTTGAGATTTCTCAGCTCTTTAGAAACACAAAACTCAGACCTCCCTGAATGTTTATTGTGGGTTCCTCAAAAGGCTTTTGAAATAGCCCATCAATTTCGAGAAAAATATAAAGATAGCGATTATTTAGGTGATAAGTAAATTTAACTGCTTCTTTTTGAATTGAATAAAGTATGGGCTGTTAGCCAATTTGAATAGTAAAAATTATAAAATGTATTTTATTTGAGATAGAATTTTAGTCTATTAATAATTTAGAAAAGCAAAAGATACAGAGCAAAACTAATGTCCCTTATTCAGAATTCTAATTGAGTTAATAGGTGGAAAGATTAAAAAAATAAATAAAAGATTTGAAAAAAGAGAATCTTGATCTTTATGCTAATCGTCCAGAAAGAGGAACAAGAAGCATTAGAATTGCATCAGCAAACAACACTCGAAAATGATAGTAAATATATATATAAATTAATTTATCATAATCTAATATATTGATAAAATTGTAATTATATTAAATCAGACTTTACATTAGCATCTAGTAAATATGATAAGTCTATCTGTTTATGTGATAAAAGGGCAGTTCGAAGAATCACAATATATTAGGTTGAGTAATAGAATTAATTCGAATAACGAGGGTAATTTAAATACTCAGTTTATAATCAAACTAATAAAGAATTACATAAGGAATAAGATTTCTCATATTTTGAAGTGCTTAATTTATTAAAAAGGGATGGAAAGAATGTATAATAATAATATCAATTAAGTTTAATTATTTTGCTCCTACATATTTTACTTAAAGTGTTGAATCGGTTTAGTCAATAAAATTAAGAGAATTTATAAGTCTAATGAATATAACTTAATTGACTTCATAACTATCATGCTGTCTCTACATACTTTATTAAAGCAAGTAAATTTGAAAGAAAATTGATCCAAATAAAAATGAATTACTTAAAATACTTGATAATCCTGATAAAAATTGGAATGATAATTAATGAATGTGATAGTTATGAATTTTAATCAGTTTTTCTTTAAATGCTTGAATTGCCCAATAAGTAATTTATCAGTATCTAAAAAAGCGAGCACTTAGGCTCTAGAAATAGCTTTCCTTAACAACTAATCTAAACTGATAATCTTAGAGACTAAATCTATTCTGTAAGTTATGATTACGCATTGCCTCAAAATTCTTATCAAATAGTTCTTGGAATTTAATAAGATTTAAATTATTGTGAATTTAAAATGGGAACATAAAAGCGATTCTCTTAGTAAATAAGTATATCTATTTCAACTTACTTAAGTGAATGTAGTTTATATCTATCTATATATATATAAATCTATTTCGAGATGTGCTAACTACTCAATATATATTATGAGTATTATGGTTTAATTTTTAAATAAAAAAATAACAAAGATTTTAATTAATGAAGGGCCAAGCTGATTAAAAGAAGGAAGCAACAAAAACAGTCAAGAAAGTTAAGACAACCAATAAAAGTGCACCAGTGAGGTAGAGTTGAATACTAAATGTAGATTATGGGCTAAGGCTGCATTCACAGGTTTCAGAAGATCAAAGGTTTAATAAAATGAGAATTAAGCATTGCTCAAAATTCAACATGTGGAAGATGTTGCTTCAAGCAGATTCTACTGGGGAAAGAGAGTTGCATACATTTATAAGGCCCACACACTTAAGAGCAACACAAAATTCAGAGTATGAATTAATTTAATTCAGACTATTTGGGGTCGTATTAGTAGATCACATGGATCAAATGGAGTTGTGATTGCTCATTTTGGCAAAAATCTTCCACCAAGAGCTATCGGATCAACCCTCAGAGTATTCCTCTATCCAAACAGAGCTTGAAAATACACACATACAATACAAAATAATACAGTAATCAATTTTAATTATTTCAATTTCGAAAAGAAATACCCTAATGCTCCTGATTTTCTAATTCATTCTTCTTTAGTTTCTATAATTATATCCTTTAAACTTTGAATGTCTGAAATATATTATGAATATTTTGTTATTATTTTTTGTGAATAACATTTCAAATTTCACACCCTGATCAACATTTAAAATATGGAGAAAGTGACTTGTATTATTTTAAGGGAATTGAGAGCATAAATGATAATAAGAACTAAATATTTCAATTTAAAAACTATGATTTGAATCATTAATTCATAGAGATATTTCAAGAAGGCGTTGAATTTCAAAAAGGCACTTTAATTCATTAATAGGAGACGTATTCAACTTGCTAATATTAAACTAAGTTTGTATCTAAATGAAATAAAAGAAATAAGTTAACTATTTATACATTGATGTAAAATTAAGAATTAACACTTATACATAATAGTATTATAATGAAAAGGGTTAGTAAATAATTATTAATTGATTCATCCTTTATGGCTTATATTAAAAGGATATCAATATTATTGCGATTTACTTTTGAGAATGATTATAAATACTCTTATTATTGTTTATGATTGAAAAATGAAATAAAATAAATAAATATCCTGAATCATTTTTATTTTCTACTGTTTATTTTTAACCTTTTGTGCAATCTGGCTAATTTTCCAAGTCTTTTTGTTTTTTTCTTCTTAATGTTTTTTTTTAAATTATTTATCGGCTTTTGCTTTTGTTCAATTTCTTAAATTTCATCTTTGTCTAATTCATCAACTGGTTTTTTTTTCATTGCCTTTTTTATTTCTTCTATAATTTTTTCATGTTTTTATTAATTTGATTTTTTTGCAGTAAGAAGTGTTTAAATTTTCTTTCCTTGCTAATTCAATTCCTTCTCTTCTACATTCTTAACATGAACTGCAGATTTAACAATAGGATTTACAATAACTTCTCCTATTTGCTTAAATAAAAATTCCTAATCAAGTCTGGTGAATTAGATATTTTAATTGCTATTTTTAAATTTATTCAGGTTGCTTAATGCAAATTCATAGAATGCCTTCTCTCTTTGTATGTCGTCATTGTAATCTATATTTTACACATTTCCATTGACGATAATAAAGGGGTCTGTTTGTTAACTCTACAATGATTTGATCTTGTTATTAAATTTCTATTCAATGCCCTCTGACACTGCTCCTTAATTTTTTATCATTATTTAAAATATTATAAAACTTATTTTATAAATGAACTAAAAAGAACAAATAAACTTCATTTCTTAGTCTTCTTGACTGGTTTAACATCAGATTCATCATCATCCTCCTCATCATCATCGAATTCATCATCGTCTTCTTCATCTCCCTCTTTGCCTCCCAATTCATCAGATTCATCTCCTTCATCTTCACCACTCTAATCAATTGATAGAAATTAGTATTACAGAGAGTTCAATTTCCTATCCCTCCTTATCCTTGTTATCCAAAATTTACAAAGATGGAATGAGCTCAAAAATCTTATTGAAGTATCCAGGAAGTTGTGTAATTGGATTGTCAGCTAAATCCAACTGTTGTAATTACTTAAGTTATTTCAATGGCTCCACTTCCTATGAATTAATGGTGATATCTTACTTCAAATTTTTAAATTTTATTATCTGCAAGACTTAAACATGCTAATTTCTTGAAATTTTTGCTGATGTAAGATATAGCTGATCCTTCTAATTGATTTGACTCCAAAATTAGATTTTCCAAATTATTCAGTTTAGGGAATCCCTCTAAGTTTTTGAGTTAACATTCAACAAGACTCAAACTAATCAGATTCTAATGTTATTGAATAAGATTTGCTGATTGATTATCAAATTGAACGATTGCGATTCCCTCAATATCTAAATCTTCTAATTCTCCATTCTAAGCCTCCTATTAGGCAATTATTTCTTTTTTTATTTAATCAAGAGTGGCAGCCATTTATTAAAATATTTATTAATAAAGTCATATTTAATTAGCTTTCAAGTTAAATAATTAGAATCTCAAACTCCCGCATTTGTGGTGTAGAATATTTATATACATCTATAAAGCCTAGCCAAATCCTATAGACTATCCTATTTTCCATATGTTGCACTCCAGCACCCATAGAAACTATTTAATAATAAAGCTTCTATTAATTTTTTATAAGGGTGACAGATAAAATGTTTACTCAAATCATTATAATTCGCATTAAATTATCTGATTTGATTATTAATATTAGATCTAATAAGTGTGTTTACAAAGTATATTCTTAAAACACAAAACCTCATTTTAAAGAGAATACTTTTTTTTACTAAGATTAAAAATTTAGATTCGAGTTTAAAAAATAAATAAAATTTAAATTAATTAAAATAAATCCTAAGTCATTTGAAACTAATACAATTGCTTAAATAATATTTATATATTTAATATTTGAGTCCACATTCATTCCTTTGGTATTTGAAGATCTTTCTTGTTTTTAATATATTTTATATATTAATATATTTGGATAATTGAATTATTTAATTTAAGGAATCATCCTTAATTGAAACCAAATTTCTTCATCATTACTAAACCCTAAAATACTATGACAATATATCCATATTTTAATTGATTTCATCTGGCTCTTGGAAATTATTAAAGAATGGCTTTAATATAATTTAATCAATACATGTCTTAGAGCTTCATGACAAGAAATTCTATTGGCTGGATTCAATTATAATAATTTCTTTAATAAATCCAAACCATCTTAAGTTATACATGTATTTGTGAATTTCAAATCCAATTTCTGTTCCAATTAACTTTAAAATATAGAATTCTAAAACTTAATCATAATGAGATACAGATAAAACTTATGCATTATCCTAATTCAAAGATATGTTTTCGCATATCAATTTCATCTGTTAAATCTCACTGTCTCCAGCAAATAAAGGGGCCCTTAGCACCATTTGTGCAAATATGCATCCAATCGACCAAACATCTATCGCTGTTGTATAACCAGTAGATTTAAGCAATAATTCTGGTGGCCTGTACCAAAGTGTGATCACTTCATATGTGTAGGATCCAGGTACTTGTTGGAAAGATCGAGCCATTCCAAAATCTCCGATTTTAACTTTCCCTGAGGAATTAATTTTCTAAATACCTTCCTTACTAATTAATATGTTCTGGGGCTTCAAGTCTCTGTGCATGCATTTCTTTTTATGGCATTCATTCATCCCTTTGAGGATGCCATATAAAATTTCCTATTCACATTACATTTACGTCTTACTTAAATCTTATTGATCTCCAATCTATTTTATTTCAGATATGCATCCAAATCGACGTCATAGAATTCCATCACCAATCTAATGCACCCCTAAACATATTCAATTTCAATCAACCTATTTTCATATATAGTTCTTACTTCACGATATTTTCACATTGTACTGTCTGCAATATCGATGTTTCCCTCAAAGCTACAGCAGATATCCCTTAATCTTACTACTATCATATAAATTTTAATAGAGAACTTGCTTTTTAATCTTCTTAATTGCAACAATCTTTCCCGTTTATGTATTGATAGCCTTATAAACATCTCCATAAACTCCAGATCCGACCTTGCCTTGCAATTAATATTTTGAAATCTGTGACATTATTAAAAACTTTAATATTTTACAAAGCTCATTATTAATTTTACAATTCTTTCTTATAAATTATTCAAAAGCGAAAGGGAGATCTCTAATATAATTATTTTATAATATATGAATAGAATTTAACGTCAAATGCAAAATTCAGCCTGAATATTTCAAGATACAGAGAATAAAAACTTTGTATTTTTAAGATTGCTTAAATAATATATAATCTATCAATGGATTATTTATCATATCAGCTTATTACTTGAGAATATCCTGTCGCATTCTCAAGCAAGACATCAAAAAACTCCTTTAAATTTAAATAAAATAGTAAATAAAAACTTAGGTAAATAATATAATAAAGACAATCAGTCTTACTTTAATTTAGATTCTTCATTATGCTGTTTCTAATTTTGCTAGTCTTTAACATTAACTTCTTTTTATTTATTCTATTAGGAGTCAAACTTTTCTGACCAGGCACCTGTCATTGCTTTCACTAATTCTGGAGATCGCAAAATATCAATCAACTCAAAATACAATAAATTTTCTCTAAATTATATAACATGAAATAGTGTACTTTCTGTAGTTTTATAGCTATCTGGCTACAGATACAGCCTAACATATTGACAATAGATCATCCGGTTAAACCATTTATGCAAACTCAAACATAAACACTTGCGAAGAGAACGTGCTTCTAATGAACTTAGCTATAAGAAGTATGACTGTTGTGTAAATAGTGATAACACTTAATCCATATGTTAAGAAAGAGTAATTATCACAGATTACAAAATATAATAATCCATCAGCCAAAGTTAGATTCGATGAGTTCGAAAATAAGCTACTATTTCCAGCATATTGAAATTCCCAATTAGAAACTCCTTAAAGAGGATTTGTGTTACCATAAGAACAGTTAATATTTAAGAAAACATCCTATGCAGTCGGAATATCCTTCCCATAAATAGGAGTAGTGTTATAATTTGTTGCAGAACTTTAGTAAATTCTTAGAGCTTCTATGTAGAAATTAGGTAACATGACTCCTGAAGTATTGCAAGCCATGGCGGCATTCCTAATGTATTTGAGTTGATCCATGCCTAATCCTACTGTCCCATTTTCTCCGTTTATTAGAGGATTATAGGGATATGAAAATTTATATATAGATGGCAGGATAAATTAGAAGCGTCTCCGAAACGTAAATGTCACATTAAACAAGAAATTGTATTTTTCTTCCAGAGATATGGTTTGATTCAATTCTCTAATCAATTGATTATAAAGCGGAAGCGAGACTTGCCATTTCTAATTTGAAAAGTCTGATAATTGAAATCTTTGGATTCCCCCTGAATTATCTATTTATGATTAAGTTATTTTTTATTATTTGGTTAGAGCTGTGATCTCAGAGTAATCTATTAAAATAGGTAATTCTAATCCAAATAATTGACTGGATTCATAAAATTAAACGTTTAAGTTAGTGTCCACATTAACTAAATTAATTGCGAAACTTCCACTGACAATAGGATTGCTCTGTGCAGATGGATTGAGGGCAGAAAACAAAATCAAAGGACCTAAGATACAAATTAAAATAAAAACAACAAAGAAAAAGTAAATTAATTTGCTTATCTTCGATATTTCTAGGCCTAATTGTCGTTTCATTACCTTTTGTGAGGACATTTTAGTGAAAAACATTTATCTTTAAATATCCTCTAGAATAAACCATTAATAGATATCAAGTGATGTATATAAACAAGTCCAATCCAACAACACCTTTAAATCATATAAAAATGGAATTGAATATAAGATTAATGCAAAATAGTAGCTAAGTGAATTATAGACATACAAAAATTGATTTCTAACCTTCAATTCTCTATATCCATATCTAAGTTAAAGGGCTGATAAATAAAAATAGGCACAAAATAACAGAAAATACATTACGATAGACGTATTATAGTCTTTATAGTCATTGATATTTCTGTTCCAAAGTTGCAACAAATAGCAGTAAACAAAAAAGAATACCAAAGTTAGAATCACTACTTGTAATACATACTTTTAAACAAATTATGTTTTGTATTTATCTTTGAACACTGCTCTTTCTTGAGCATTGATGTATTTTTAATCTCCTCTTAATTCAATATATCTCTCAACCATCATAAATAACATTTGAAACACTAATGCCAATACTAATTAAGCGGGTACTTAATTATACTTCAAATACCCTTCTATATTCTATTATTCTCCAGTCATGAAATTGAAAAAGAATAACATATACAAGAATAGGATGACTTATATTGAAGCAATAGATAAGTAAAGATCTACACCAGGTCTTGCATACTCATAAGACATAATTTTCTCGAAAAATCCTGGTTTGTATTTATCACTTAGGATATCAGGATTTGCTGCGATTTTTCTCTCTAAATCATTCCCAATTTATAACATTATACTCTCAGGTTCAACTTCCATTCCTGATTTCTCCAAAAAAGACCTTCCTTATAATTGATTTTCTATTTCTATTCTCTCAATTTCTGGATTCTCTATTCTACCTATCTCTGACTTGGATCTTGATCTTTGTATTTCTTATTCTTACACTATCTCTTCTACCATATCTTTATTAAAGTTGTTGAGTTTTAATCTGATGTAACCTTAAAAGATATTCTCAATCAGAGTGAATGGGTAATCAAAAATGCCAAAGGACTTTTGCAAGAATACTTGAAATGTAATCAACCAAATTGTAAATATTTCATAAAACAACCCAAATGTATTACTGTTATCTAAAATGTAATACCATGGAATATACTACTCAGGTTAATTTGACTTATTGTATACCACTCCATACATTGAGTCTACAAATATCATTAAAAGGATAAAGAAGTATAATGAGTAGGAAATCATCCAAAATATCTTAGAGTTGACATCTATCAATCCCCAAACAAACATGGTTATTGGCAAGAGCATTCCAAATAGAGCATAGTTCTTGAAATAATAACAAATTATTATGATGTTGGTTATTGTATCCCAATTGATTATGCAATATTTAAATAGATCCTGTAGAAATAAACTAAATAAGTTAATTGTTTTCATTGATATTAACTTATTGATTGGATATTTCTATTTAGTTTACTCCAAAACTATTCTCTCCTATTCATCTATAATATGAACAAATCTAAGCTCCTTGCTTAACTAGTAATTCAATTACTATTAGTTCATATACTTATTATATTGTTATCCCTTAATAGGTTTATACAATTTCTTATACTTCTCCATGGCTTTTTAAATAATCTTATCCAAAACCATGTCATTTAATTTATCCTTATTTTTACTAATTTCCTGATAAAATCGTCTATAAATTTTCTCAAGAGTTTTCACCTCCTCTTCATAAGTTTTAGTATCATTCATCAGATGATTCTCAATTGTTATGAAAATGTGTCTCTGCAATCGTTTATTCTGTTAAAGTATGTAATCCATCAAAATGTGAAATGGCATGAATTTGATGGATTAATTATCATTCCTCATCCAAATGATCATTTTTATGTATACTTTCCGAAGATATGATTAATGATCTGGTATTTAAACTTCTGGTTCAGTCATGAAGCTAGCAGTCAATTATGGATATTATTATTATTGAATGGTAATTGACTTTTCTTTTACTAATGATTTCATCTATATTTCCCTAACTCTTCGCTTCCAAACTATCATCTTCTATTCAATCGTATCTGATATCTGATTCAACAGGTTTTTCTCTTCCTACAATTGCAATATTTTCTTGTACTAAATGTAATTGTAATTGTAGGCCAGACCTCTTGAAACCATCTTAGCTCTTAAGGTTAATTTAGATTAGTAGTTGTCTTACGTAGTTCTCATATGATTGGATGTCTATAAATCAAAATGCAATGAGATGAAAAAGATTAAGAATATCTGTCCATCTATCTTTAAATTAAATGCCTCCATGCAATAAAACTCCAAGCCGCTCCCTTCATCCACTCTAACTTAAGAAGCATTAACGCATTATTCCAAGAAGGTTGGAATCTTCAAAAATGTAAATAAAGCAATGATTATGGCAGATAAGGTGAAAATCGCCTGATAGAAGGCTTTTATTTTTCTTCGCTCAGTATAAGCATATGGCCATTTAAAATGGAATTCTGCAGCGTATAAAAACCCAATGACTATAAGTAATTAAAGAAGGTTAAATATGGATCGATTCATTTCACACAATAACAATACAAATCCAAAGAGAATCAAATGATAATTCATCGATATTGTTTGTATCAATACATGTCGAAAACTATAATTCTTCTGTCTCCATAAGTTATAAGTAATAATAATCTGACTGTCTCTGTGATTACTTAGTACTTTTTTGCAAATTATAAATTCATTCTTCATTTTAATAGATTGCTTAAAGATTTGATTGCAAAACCACTCTAGCATTAAAAAATACAAATAAATAAAAGACACTATGAGACAATTGAACACGATGACAATGTTTAGCAATTTATTGGTCTCACAATTCATATCTTAAAAGGCACTTTATTCGAGTTATTCACAATCCATGATTTCTGTGCTTTCAAAACCTAAAAAGGCCAACCAATAATCAGATAAGTTTGTTTTAGCCATAATATTAAAATCTTAAGGCGAGAGAATAAAATTGTCAAACTTAGGAATATCATTTTCTGAAGGCGTCCAATTCAATAGGTAAAGGAAATACTAAAATAGGATTGAGAATATTGCAATTGAATTCAACATTTTAGTATTTTTGACTGTAGCACTCATTTAAAATAAGATAACTGATATGGTCAAGTAGAATAAGGAAAATATCGTATTAACAAGCAAAGTATTCGATAGGTAAAGTAAAATAAGGAATCTTTAGAAGATTTTGAATAATGATTCATTGAGTAAAATCTTTACAAATCTACTTTTATTTGTAAAGTAATTCAAAATTATTACTTCTCTGTCAAATGAATTGTATTCACTATGACTTTTAACAAAAACAACAAAATCGTATTTTTTATCAAATATTTCTTTGCTCTCTTCATATGATTAATTTTGAATCCTTGATTCCTCAATTTTATTCATTTCTTAGGTTTCTTGTAGATTTTCTATACTTTTAGTTAAGTCATCTTCTAATATCTTTGTGCAAGCAGTATCAATAACATTAACAAACAGAAGAAACAAATAAAACCATGAAACCTACCACATATTTGATTCAGTTTGAACATAATTACTCTAATTGCAATCATTATTATTTGATTCATAACCACAATAGCATTAATTTGTAATTTGATATTATCTTGAATATGTTCCAAAAAGAAAAAAGCTAAGCACTGTATAATCAACCCATAATGGAGATCTGACATTTTCTGTGAATGATTCAGTTGATAGAAATTAAGACAAGTAAGACAGGAAAATACAAAAGGCAGTGAAATAAAAGGAATATAACCAAATCTTTCTTTTCAGTTTGATTCTAGTGGTTAAACGCAACAATTTAATTTCGTCATTCAATCTGCTAATCTTTTTAGGTTCATCTATATGAGATATATCTGAAGCGAACTGAAGATACAATTGCTTCAATAGATAAATTTCTAAATCATGATTAAATCTTACATGTTTGGAGTTTTGACAAGCTTTTTTTCTCTTCTAGAATATCCAAAATGGTATTATGCACTCGGTAGAAATAACTTAGATATAAGGATAGCAATATGAATGCAGCTATTGATCTTAGATAAAGTACACAAGATATGACAATGTATATTGTAATTAAATCAGTATTTAGATGAGCAATTCCAATCAATATCAATTTAAGCCATTGATATTAATCTAATATCTTCAAATCTAGAACATTCTATGAACTAGATTCACCCAAATTTTTATTGTGTTAGCTTATTTGCAAGTTCTTAAATTTTGACAATTAATTCAACGCAAATGCACCGAACAAGATATTTAGTGTGTCAGCCAAATATTCCATTCTTAAATTATCTGTAGAGTAGGCATATAGACCAGCTTCCTGATAATATAATTAGAGATTCTCATAGAATTTTTAAAATATGGTTGATTTATTTTCCAAATCTGGAACACAACTAATCTAATAAATTTAAGGATAAATTACAAAAAAGAAAATAGATATCTATATGAAAAAGCGATCAGCAAAAAATACATGTACACATACCACAAGGCTCTTAATTTAATGTAATTGATTTAGGAATTTATTGACTTCACATGATACAAGAAAACGATTCCTATATATAAGAGTAATAAATTATTTAGATAGCTGTAGGGAGTGAACAATAAGAAGCAGATATTGACTACATAGGCTGTCCATATCAATGAATGGCCATAAATTGTTTCCAAAATTCCAAAATGATATCTGAAGTTAGGTAGATTGCCTTTCACACTCTCAACTTAGGAGATTGTGGCTATTAATCTCTAAAATATGATTTTTGTTTTACATTTGAATATCGATCATAAATAGCAGTGTTAAATCCATAATATTGAATTATCGTCAGATAAAACAATAGCCAATTCGAAACTAATTACTTATTGAGCATATTGAGGCCGATTATTTAGACCGCAAAATAACTCTCCTAAACTCCAAATAAGATGTAGAGATATTTTATCAAAGTCAGGAAACTCATATAAACCAAAAGAATTATCCAATATTTTTGTTGAAAAGGTACTCGTTTCCCCCTATAATCGCATTTACTTGACTAATTAACAATGAAAATTATCAATAGGAGAATCATAATAAACGATATGATACTTATTTCATTAAATCCAACCCAATACAACAATATAATTATGATTAAAAAGTCAATTCTGAAGAAAAAGGCTAAAAAAATGTTAAACCATTTAGGCATATCTTCAATTTCATTAGATTTAACTTGAATTTATTTTTCTTTTTCCTCTTGCTCTTCTATTTATTTGATGAACAAAAAAAATAAACACAAAGTGCAATTCATCAAAATTGAATTCACAGCCGATTTATCCTAATAAAAGAATCCAAGTTTTTAACAAACTGTCATTGGTAACTCATCTATAGCTTTGTATGCACTAGAAGGACAAAATTAATAGAAATTATTAGGTCTATCTAATCCAGTTATGTTGCTGTAGTAGAAAGTAAAAAAATTGATCAATAATGAAGGAATATTACAAAATAAAGTAGCAATTCGAATTATCCTAAAATTTAATGTAAATCCTGTTAAAATAAGCCAACACACCAACAAAATGGAAAAATAGGTCTATTGGAGGATGACTATGCATAGAGACAAGATTTGTAAAACAATTAATGAAATAATTGGTTTATCAATGGTATTTTTTATGTTTTCCAGAGAATCATACCAAGCCTTTTCTATTTTATGAAAATAAATTGAAGAATTAGCTTATTAATCCAGAAAGAATTCAGAAATTCTATTTGGTTTAGGATTGTCCTTTGATTTATCCTATTCATCACTAATTTGATCTGATAAATCCTTCTCTTCTTATAAATCAATTTCTTCAGAATCTGATAATTCATCTTCTCCACTTTTTTTCTTTAATTTAGGGGAATCATTAATGTCAACTGAAATGTTGTCCAATTAACTTTTAATCAAGACTTAAAATTATTTAAAATCTTCGTATTATTAGGAGATTTCAGCAATGGTGTGATTAAACTGATCTTTTAGATTCTGCGTCTTAATCTTTTCACTAACGATGCAAAGCATATTTAGCACAAAAATCGAGAAGATAATAAATAGAATGGCTTGGGCTTCATAATTCGAAAAGTATCCAAATAACTAAAACCCAGTAAACTATAAAGTGAATGATGCTGCTTAATTATTTTAAAGAATAACCTTCTTTATTGGTGTACTGATGAAGTACATAACCACTAATATTACCATGAGTACGATTTTCAAAATTATAAAATAAACTTTTTCTACTAATTGATTCTAATACATTCTCAACAGCAATACCAATTAAAATCCCCACATTATAAGGCCAATCAGAGATTTGGTACAACAAGTCAAAATAATCAGATTAAGCAACATCATAAGCTAAGTATAAATTTGCGTATTCTTACAATAAAGAATTTGGTCAATATAGGACTATCCTTTAATTCATGGAATTCTTGTTTGATTTGTGCATTCCTGAAAGTGAGAATAATTAAGGCCAAAGCCAACATAATGCAATTGGGTGCAAATGCTAGACCTTGTTCTGCAGAGGAAACAGTGATCTTGCCTTTGATAACTGTGAAATAGACCTCAAGTCCACTGAAGTTTTCAATTGACATCATATCATAACCCTTGCAATATTAGATTAAAATTTACTCCATTCTTTGCTATGGGATACAAAACAAGTTTAACAATTAAAGAGAATGCAGAAACGACAACAAAACTTTACCAAATTGGTTTCTTGAAATCATGAAGAACCAACCAATATTGGGTTATGAATGTATTTTCAGATTGCTCTTAATTTTAATTGGTATTATGAAACTATTCTTATTAGGATGCGAATTCAGTTAATGTGTACAGTTTGCCATCTTTAACTTGAACACCCTTGTAGCTACTAATGTATGAGTAATTCAATATTAGGAGTAGACATATCAAATAAAATGTGGAGTAATAGGACTGTATCAATATGCAATAAGTTAATAATCCAAGCATTCCAATTATGTCTAAGGCTTAAACTATTTTTCTGTATTTTTTTGATTAAGTGTGATGTTCAGATATTAGAGATTCGTGAGAGTCTGCTTTTTGAATTTTTGGATACGAATCCCTTTCCATTAATAAATCATCGCTTTCTGATTGAAGTTGCGAGTCATTCTCTCTCTTGGGAGTAGGTATTTCAATTTCATTTATCGACGATTCTGAATTATGCATTTAATAAACTAATAATATTTTTAAACAAAAAAATAGCATGGTAAATCTCAAGGTTTTTTCTAAGATGTCTTTAGCCATTCCTCCTCAGGCATTTTAAATATATATAAGTTGTTAGCTTCTCTATCTAGGAATTTATAAACTAAAGAAAATTACATAGAATTTCAGGTTCTGGCAAATCATTCGGATTAGTAACAGAAAATTCATCTTTAAATAACAAAGGATCATAATGTTGAATCTTTGAAATTAAGTCAGGTCTTTCTATTTGATATAATTCTAACACATACATAGTTATAAAAATGCCGTCTATAAATAACCCCATATATGTCTAGCTTAAGGATTAATCATAAGTGCACTTAAGTACAACCTAGCAGCATCTAAATATTCTCCCTTGTAAGAATAGGCAAATGCCAAATTGACCCAAACTCTCACATAATTAGGTCTAAGATCCAATGCTCTATGGTAACAAAACATAGCTTAATCTGCTTCACCAAGATGTGCCAGAGTGGCTCCTAATTTGTTCCAAATCTAATAATTTTTTGGTTCAATTTGAAGAGCCTTCTTAAAGATCTCAACTGATTTTTAATAGTTTCTTTCAATGAAATATAGTACAGCTATTCCATTCAATAATTCAACATCATTAGGTCCTTATTAATGAGCTGCTTCAAATACTTGAATCATTCTTGCATTCATGCATTTTATTTAATCTAAAGTATAATCATAGATATTGGTATTGTCAGGCACTATGCTATCATCTACAGGCACCGTGTAATTTGGATTCTTGATTAGCCATTATTTTAAAAAGGACATTGCTTTGACTTCATCCAAAATATTTGTGCAAGATATACCTAAGGCACTCAAAGTATCTAGTTCATTTGGGTTTTATTTCATAGCATTCAAGAAGGCAGCCACAGCTCTTTGATCTTGGTCATTTTCTTGATGTAATCTACCCAGGATTCTCCAAGCATTAGAATCTGCCGGATTCTTTTGGATATGAGCTTCCAAAGCCAAAATTGCTTCTGTATTTTAACCTTAATGCACTAAATTTAATGCTGCTTGTAGAGGATAATCCATAGCCAAATACTTATTATTTTCTTAAAACCTGTAAGTATCATTTGAGTCTTTATAGAGTTCAAATTCCTATAAATCAGATGCTGCTTACCAGGCTTCAGAGAACATTTTATCAATATCTGTTCCTTACTCCATTTCTTTAAGTATTTATTAATAAGTATCTTCAAGCTTCTTCTAAAATTAACCTTCGTTTTGTAATTCACTATCATATTTTTCTAATTTTTCATCCCACATCTTTGAAAATTTCTCTTCAACTTCTGATAAATCAGATTACTTTTATTCTACATTTTTAGTAGCCTAATCCCATCCTTCTTCCAATGTCTAAATTCTCTCCAAAGCTGATTATTCCACTTTGTCCCCTTTCTATGTGAGCAATTCATTGCCCACTAGTTTTAAGTTTCCATTCTAAATATCCTTCATAAACCTCAAAAATTTAGACTATTAAAATCTTGGGTCAGGATCTTTTTCTAAAGCTTACACCAAATCATCTGCATATTTTTATGATTTTTCACTCTAAGCCTATAAATCCTCAGCATTTTCATAAGCCTCCTAAAATTAATATTCTTAAGCCATTTAATCAGCTTAATATTAAATTTCTGCTTGTTGCCATTAAAAATCCATCATCATCTATTGCTGCATCATTGCTTATTCATAATTCCTTTACTCTTCCACAAACATCTTTTCCATCATCTACCTTTATTCAATATTTGCTTAATCATATTATTTAGCCATAACATCCCATTATTAGTTCATACTCTCAAATAATCGTTAGCGTTCCTACAACTTCTATTGCACCATTGGGTCCTGTTAGACATTTATCTACTATTATATCTATCTAAGATTCTTATATTGACTATATACTATTGTTAAGTTTATCCGAATAGCATCCTATCCATGAATTACTTGAATGGATTTTAACTCATCTACTAAGTTCCATCTGCAGTGCAAGCACCACCCGTATATATATTTCTCAAGGCCATTATTAATTATATGATAAATAATTTATTGACTTATTTTTATTTAAAAGTACTTCAGCAATCAGTTTCAATCTCAGCCTCTGCTTTTCTTTTTCATCGATAGTAAAATTAAAATATTATGTAGATGAAAGGCCAATTTTCTAATAGTAGGATTATATATAGAATAAAATTGTTAATTAAGATTTGGAAGTTTTATCATTGATAAATTTTAATAATAAAATTATCCTTAACTCTCATAAGATTTGCATGTGTGAAAATTAGCTTTAGTGGCTAGTTTTGAATAATAGACCCAAGTCAAAAGAATAATGTTAAAATGATAAAATAGAATTGCTTACCAAAAATTTGTGAACAAATATGAAAATTACTTTAGCAAAATTCCATAGAACAGTTACCTTAAAGTATTCTATAAATTGTATACTGATACTTTGAATGAATGTTATGAAATATTTTTATTTCTAATTCAATATTTTAATTTATATAATGAACTAGGAGGAAACTTTGAACATAAATTAAATTAAATTCAATTAGCTTCTTTTGGATGCTCACAATCAGTTCTAATTAAGAGACATGAATTAAGCAATACGATTATATGAAGAAGCTCTAAATTGTCAAGAAGCAGGGAGAGGTAATATCAAAGATCAATTATTAGACATTGATAGAATGGCTATAATCTTGGCTAATTTAGGGATAATCTATTTTCATAATTGCGATTATAAATAAGCAACAGAAAAGCTACTTTAAGCATTTAATATGACAGACAGAAAAAATGATTTCAAATGCGCATTATTAATTAAAATTTTAGTAACATAGTTTTGAAATCAATTATAGGGAAATTTAGCTATTATTAAATTGATAACAACTGAATTTTAAGAATGCAAAGATTATAATGATTAGGCAATTCAATTAATAATATAGGCGTAAATTTTTTTCTTAGTTTAGTTAATTTCCATTGTAATATCAGCTATTTAAGGAGCTAATGTATATCTATTATAGGTTTTAATCATTTGAAGCTATGGGAGATGGCAATTTTGAAAATTTGGAATAAAAGTGTACTGAAATACATATTATACTATAGATGATGGGTAGAGTTTGGCTTGTTTCTACTCTTCTATGGGATTGAACCGAGAACTCTGTGGAGATATGACCCTTGCCTTTAGGTATCATCAAAAGGCTTTGAAATTATGGTAGGAATAGAAAGAAAATGGGTTTACTGTTATTACATTGAGAAGAATGTTGACAATAGCTTAAAATGAAAGAATGGATTGTAAGGATTACGTATAATAATTGCAAAAATGTATGCAATCTCCAGAATTAAGAGGAATAAGTCCAGAAATATTATTTAAAGATTGTGAGAAAAAATTATAATGTGCTCGAGAAGTAAATATTAAAATGACTATAGATAACAACATCATTGTAAAAATTAGAACAGCAACTGAATTATCAAAAGAATTAGTAATTATTATCATAACCATTAACGGTTAAATAGCAAGATGAATTTTGGAAACTAGCTTTAAAATTAAGACTCAAACGAGCAATACAATTTTGTTATAATTAAATGACCTAATAAGACGCAGAGAATGCCTCTCTATTATCCTAATCAATTGCATAACTTGAACATTCGTTGAAATTATTGGATCAACAATAACCATATGAAAACTATTTATAAAATTTACCATTTACAAAGGAATCAGTTAATATTATAAAATCTCACTTGATGAAATTCAATAGAATTTGCTTAAGAATATAACTAGAACCCTTCTTAAATTATCTCTATTAATTAAAGCAAGAAGAATATTAAGACCAATAAAATTATCAATAACCATAGTTCAAATAAAAGCTTCAATCTAATTAAATGTATAACTAGCAAGTTAAGAATTCTAATACTTTAGCTTAATAAAAGTAATTTGACTAAACGAATTCTTAACACAATTCATTGTAAAGTTAAGTTAATTATGATTATCAAAATTAACAGGATTTTTAATCATATCACTCAACGAATGATTAATAAAATTATATGGTTAGAGGCTAAAATCCAACTTCATATTAAAATAATCAGTTTTAACAATTTAATAACCCTTTGTCGAGTAATTTCTCTCAAAAGAATAAAATTGAACAGAATGACTTTCAATAGCAAAAGTAGCAGACTTAGCCTACATATGAATAGTAACCATTCAAGAATAGTGGTCAATTTGGATCATAAACTATGGGTTTTGCTGGAAATAATCAATAAAAAACATCGAATTAATAGTAATTATCATCATCATAGTAATAATAATAATAAGCAAATCTAAAACTTTCAAAATCTTAATTGAATTAACCATAAGTCAAATAAGGTTAAATGATGGCTGCTTCTATTACAAAATCATAAAAATTAAAAAATGTAAGTCTTCTTAATGCTGCCTATAGAACCGTCATGTTGGGCGATTAATTAACTAAATGTAATAAGTCTTCCAATGGAAGAATAGAAAGATTTTTTATTTTAGCTAATGATGGTACCTTTAGATGGGCTTAGAATAGCAAACATATAAATGACCCAAAATCAGTGAATTCCTATTCAGTTTCAGATATTAGAGGATTACTTTATGGGAAAGCAACAGATGTTCTTAGAAAGTCTTATAATGATAAATTAGAACCTTGGCTCTGCTTTTCTTTGGTGATGAAAACTAGGTCAATGGATTTTTACACTTAGGAATTACAAGTAAGTATTTTGATTTGATTCCAGATAAATGCTTGGGTTATGGCTATGTCAGAAGAGATAAAAAGAAGGAATCCTTCAGCATTTGTGATTACTCCAGGGAAGATGTTATGGAGAAAAATAAAATTAATATTGCATTGGTATTTCGTGGATAAGAAAAAAAAGGACAAGAAAAAGAAATTACCTCCTAGTACTTTTGTACATTTATTGTATTTATACGCAAGAAATCAATGCAGATTACCTTAAATATAATGATTAATTAAATTATTTTATTATATAATTTTTTCAATTACCATGGTATTAAGAAAAATTCCAGGAAAAGGAGTCATGAATAAAATTGGATCTTTTGGATTGGTAGTACTATCTGGATTGATTCATATTGGTGAAACATAATTGGATAAAATTAGAAATATAGATGTGAAATAGATGCAACAATAAATTTATAAAGTGATTCCATTCTAAAAAACTGATCTCTCAATAAGCCGAAAAGCAACCATATATTCAGAATACTTGAAATCCAGAAATTAGATGAATAAATGATTAAGAAATTATATCAATATTAAAATTATTTTAGTCATTCATATTTTGCATTAAAAATTGATTAGGAAATATACAAAAATTACACTATATAATTGTTTAAACATTTTTCTTAAGATTTATAATCATTTATAAAAAGCTAAGCCTTAAAAATACTATTGATTTGTTAAATCTTCAACTTCAAAAACAGTATTATTTTGATCTTACTTCTAACTCTTCGTTGTAAATAACACTAAAGTTAGTATTATTGGTATGAAATAGGTAAATAGCTTAATAGTAGTATGCACTAATGAATTGAGTTCATCGGAGAAGTTGTACTCTCCATTTCCAAAATGGGGTATAATTCTACAATCGGAAGACAACATATAGATAAAATTAACGATCAACAAAACTAGCGATCCGAAGAAACTGATGTAGCACAATATTCTTGATATTTAAAGTGATAAATACTTTAACTAGAAGAAATGAGACTTTTATCGCTTGGTTTACTATTCATTCTTGAGTAAATTCTAAAGGTTTAACAAAAATCGTTTGTATAATTTTTCAACAATTACGAGGAAGAGTATTTATGTAATCAGGCTAATGGACCTAAAAACAGTAAATGAAATCTCTAATCTAATTGTAAATATAATAACTTACATTTGCACATTTGTTTCTAGGAAGCAGCTTCTATTATGGATATGATGAACGTAGTAATATCTAGTATAATTAGAGTTACAAAGATTGTTTGAATTATTTTTAAATTTTATCTCTTACTGGGGCCTTACACTAATTTTTTTCCAAAATAGTAAATCAAAAAGGCTTGATAGACTTAATAAAATAGTTCCTGAAGAAAATAAATTGTTCTATGAGTTCTTGTTAGATTGAATACAAAATAAACTAACATTACTCAAATCTTACAAATGAGAGACAATATTATTAGTATTATTATTCGTGTCGAATTGCTACACACATTTTTACATTATTTTCTAAAGATTAAACAAATTGCAAATCCTAAACAAATCAAGCATATTATTTCTAAACTCCAAGATCTAGAATAATGAATATATTCTAATATTACAAATAGCACTATAAGAATTAAAAGTCGTTAAAGCATTAAATTGCTGTTGTCATAGAGTGTATTCTGTTTATAATTTCTTCTTAAAAAATAAATATTATATTTATTTATAATGTTGGAACAATATTATTAGTCACCAAATTCATTCCATATATACATATACATTCTTGTCCATTCTACATCTGGTAGGGTAAATTATGTGTTTTTGTAAATATCAAATGACTGAGTGAATCCATGCAATTTAATGGGGGAAGTGAATAAAGTGTGGATTATTTTTAGGACTCTTTTTTGATAAAATTATATTTATGAAAAAAAATATATTGCTGTTTGGATTGGCTTTTGCTGGAGGTTTTACATATGAAAGATACTACCCATATATAAAGGCTTTCATTAGTGATAAAGGTCAAAAAAATGATGATCACAGCTTCAAATCAATGTTGGAACAAGGAAACTATATACAACCAAAGGTGATTGATATCATGCACTCTTCTCCAGATAAGCATTTCTTACACAACTTCATTGCTCAACACAACGAGGCTCTGAATGTGTTTAAAATATATTATCCAAACAAATTAGAACAAAAAATATATAGCGACAATCTAGAATCTGAAGATAAAATTCATCTACACTTTGTTTTTAATGCTGCCGACCATCTCTAAGGACATAGTTCCATAGTTCATGGAGGATTATTGGCAACATTAATAGATAATGCATTTGGATAATTGAGTTACCTGGCAAGTGGGCAGATTCCTACCGCAACAGCAAATTTGAATATAAATTACAGAAAACCTGTAAAAACCAACCATGATTACATGATCACAGCAGAAATCGATAAGATTGAAGGCAGAAAGGTGTTCCTCAAGGCCACGATCTATGATCAGGATAAGACCATATGTACTGAGGCTACGGGTTTGTTTTTGACGGTTTAATGGGGAGGACAAATGTGGAAGAATGCCTTAGATAAAATCAAGGAGGTATCACAAATTGACGAGAAACTAGTTAAAATAGATCAAAAGAAAAAAGAGTGATAAAAATATTAACCCATAGTTTATAATAATCGCCATCTAATTTCTTATTCTAATGACTTTTAGTAAGGTATATAGAACAATGAATGAGGATGAAAAATAAATAATATAATAAATGAATATATAATAATTGATCGAACTATTTGCGAAGCGATATAATGGGCTTCAACCTCAATTTTTAGTTAAGGCCCCTGGAAGAGTCAATGTAAATCTAATTGTAAATGCTAGTTAATTGGTGAACACATCGATTATATGGGATATGGAGTATTGCCATTTGCTTTGGAACAATCTTGTTTTATGTTATTTGCCATAGAGGGAGATGACATATAGATTCAGCATGCTGATGATTAATAGTTTAAGCAATTTAGTCTTTCGGTGAATCCAAAGGAGGAATATAATGAAATCTAAAATTATGTGAAATATGTGCTTGCTGGATATAGAGCAGGGATTTAATATGGGAATGCGAATCAAGGAATCAAAATATTGATAAGTGGCGACGTTCCATTTTCTTCAGGATTATCTTCATCATCGTCTTTGGTTGTGGCCTCCTCTTTAATGAGTTTGTAAGTGAGTGGAAAAACCCAATAAGATATCGATAGACATTAGTTTGTGGATTAAATTATTAAGTTTGAAAGAGAGGCTGGGACTGCATGTGGTGGGATGGATTAGACCATATCAGTTTTTGGATAGGAAGGATCTGCTTTATACATTGAATTCGATCCTCTAAGGTTGACTTAAGTTAATTTGCCAAAGGGATATTCATTCATCATAGCTAATTCATTGACAGAATCAACCAAGTTGGAGACACTCGGAAAACATTATAACAAGAGAGTAGTTGAATGCAGGATTGGTATAAAATTGATAGAATTGACTTTGAATCTTGGAACTAGTTTTCGAACTTTGAAATAACTGTAGGATCATTTGCAATTATCCCTTGATTCTATGGAAGAACTCTGCAAATTCATTCCAAAAGGAGAAATCAGTCTCGAACAATTAGAGTATTTAAATCTGCCAAATCTGTTAGTTGATATTCCTTACTTTGAGTTAGTATTGAATCAGAATAAGAGTGTAAACCCTTATGACAGATTGACTCACGTGGTTAAGGAAGCCCAAAGAGTAGTCAAATTCAAGAACATTTGTGATTCAAAATTGTCGGATGATGCTAAGGCAATATTGTTAGGTTAGTTGATGAATCAGAGTTAGAAATCTTGTAAGGAACTGTATGAGTGTTCATCTGATAACATTGATAAATTGACAACTTTGTGTATTAAAAATGGAGCTTTGGGAAGTAGATTAACTGGAGCAGGATGGGGAGGCTGCACAGTCAGTTTGGTCAAAGAGTCCGAAGTTAAGAGTTTCAAGAATAAGGTATTTCTTCATAATAATTATGATAGATTATTGAGTTCTTCTACAATCACATTGAAAATAAAGATCATATTTTTTCAACTTAACCATCTCAAGGAGCATCGATCATAAAACTATGATTTTATTTATTCAATGGATATATTATTTGGTTTTAATTTTATATATGAAACTCAATTTTCTAGCAATTTTCTCTTTAGTTGTCCCAATTTGGATGAGATTAGATCAACAGCAACTGCTACTACTCTCTTTTATTTAATTCTATTTATTATCATAAAATTAATACCTATTAGCTGTGTCTGTTTCATACTCATTATTTTTGAGTCTGCAATCTGTTTCTCTGTTGTCTAATTCTTTGGTTTTGGTGACTATTTTTTAATCAACTTCAAATTTCTCATTAGATGCTTATTAAATTCTAGTTGACAAGGATTCGACAAGTCCTAAACGAGATAACGATGATAATGTACACCTTCCATATATGTTCTATCTTGACTGGCCTAAACTAATTAGTCTGACAATAAGGTCTTGAGTAAATCAAAGTTTCCCTATCTCAGAGCCTCTGCTTAATCTTCTCTGATTCTTTCAGATTGAATATAGTTTTCTATTTATTTCAAAATTGATAACACCTTTCTTGTAAGTACTTCTGCTTGAGATGGTTCGTCTTAGGCCTTAGCAGCTAAGCGACTCATCATTTCAATCATGGCTCTATAACCTTCTAAATGGATCTGAGATAGATATACACACTTACATGATGCTTTAATTTATTCACTTTTGAAGCAACTTGAGAGAATGATGTAAATTGCACTCCTTAATCTTCTACATCATCCATCTCTGTTTAATCGTACTTGAAACTATAATTCTCCTGCAAGAAAGAGGGTTCTGGTTTGTCAAATCTTTTGCGATTTTTTACAAGTACATCTAAATAGCTGTTGAAATATCCTTTGACTTGATTGACACCAAAAAGGGCTTGTTCCAAATTGTCCAATATGACTTAATAGGTCAATGTTTCTGTCTCTCTCTTATGTGTTTAATAATTGAGCTCTGTCTTCAGATCATTAATTTCATTATTTTTTCTCTCAAGACTTGCCACTGCTGAAACCTTTTAAGGATTCAAACTGTCCAATTCACTTTTCAATGTCAATGAATTGACAGTACTCTAATTAATTTAATCCTTCAATGTATTTATGTCAATATCACAGTTTTATGTTATTCTAGCAATTCTTTTATCATCTCTTTCTTATTCATTCTCTAAGGTTGTTTCCAGACCCTAGATCATATTAATTAGGTTTGAAATCACTGGATCACCTGTTTACAATTCCATCAAAATTGTTTGTAATATTGTCTAACCAAAATTGGAGTTCTATAATTCTTCAACCTACTGATCAAAATCAGAAGCCATATTCCCCACGACTAGAAGCATTAGTATTACAATAGAAAACTTCATTTAGAATAATAAATATTATTAGAAATCCGTTTTTATTGCTTTTATATTGTGTCAATTATATTTGATTCAGAATCTGAGGCGTTGTATGTAGCTTTTTGTTTCCATATCGAATCTGGTCTCAAAGATATCAATGCATTCTACAATAATTTCTAATTAAGCATTTCTTTTATATTTAATTAAATTACCTTTATTCAGTTTGTTGTCTGTGTGCCTTATCAGTATCACTGCAAGTCTAATCCCAATCGGCCTATTCAGTAGATTTATTGAAAATAATCTTAAATTAAAAATAATAATTACAGAATCTTGAATTGAGATGTCATTCTTGATTTCTAATATTTTTTATCCAATTCTCTCATTAGCTGCATTTAAATCAGCCACACTGCCAGACAACCTCCTATTAGCCAAAAGTAACCTCTCTTTCTATGTTAAAAAGTCTAATTCTCTTGCATCATCTGCTTTCATTTCCTCTTTTTGAACCTAAAAGATGCTGTCAACAAGAGTATCTATGATCTTCACAACCTTTTAAGCAGCATTCTCTTGTGTACTTTCTTCTTACAAAACAGTCAAAAGCACATTAACCATACTGTGGAAACCTTTCTTATTTGGGAAATATTTTAAGAAGTTTTGATGATGATTCTTAAGTTCAGCAAAACTATTCTTTTTCAAAGCACCAATTCCTTAAGATAAGATTTTCTTTGCCTCTTAAAGGGCTGAGACTAATCCTACCAACTCATCTCTTCTTTATTCAAATTCTTGCTAATATTATTTTATAATTAATTACTCTTTAAACATTTCTAGCTTCTTATAATACTGAAATTCTATCCAAGTTTCTCTACTCCTCTCCTTATTTATCAAATAGCTATTGTTTCTTATCATTTTATTCCTATTGTAGTAAAGGTAGTCTTTCCTCTGATGTAGCCTTACGTTCCTTGGCAATAGTTAATACAGCAGCTGCAGCACTTGAAGCATCTTAACATGTTTTCAATTGTCCAGTTATTTCCTCATCCTCTACTCTTTATTCATTGTTTAGATCATCCTTCATTTATTTCAAGAGATGAACAACTGTGTCAGCTGGATGCTCTTGAGATAATTACACTTAAAGGGTTTAAATGATAGTCTTTCCAAAATCACTATTCCTTAATTAAGCAAAAAAGCCTTCGTCTCTAGCCAATGTAGCTCCAATCAAGAAAACCAACAAAATGATCTTCATTTAATTAAAATATTCAAAAAACGAATACACATCACTCATATCATAGATATCGACGACTCTTTCCTAGGCTATTGTATATCTTACCCTTCTGATTCATCCACTTCAGATGGCTCCTATGAATCTGCTTCCTCGTCCTCCATTTGGTCTTCGTCCTCCTAATCATCCTCTCCTTCCTCCTAGTATTCTTCTTCGTCATCAGGATTCTCCTAAAAGTTTGGCTATATTTTATAACTCTCATTATGATACAATTAATAAATCTGAAGGCAGAGTCTTATGAACTTTAGAGGGACTAACATTCAAATCACTCTTGCTACCCTAAGACAATAAAACTGATATGCTTTTTGAAGCCTTCTCGAGAGTTTGTATCGTTTTACTATCAGCTACAATTGCACTTTTGGTTTTAGATAAAGATAAGGATTTCTTTGCAGAAATCTGCTGTTAAAAATTCATCTGCAATTACTACAGAGAACCTGTTAAATTTATCAACTGCTGTTTCAATTTTCTATTCTTATCAACTGCCTCCTCGTTCTCTGCTTCCAAAATTACACTTTACTTTTTAACTCTATAATTTTCAGATTCCAAGTTCTTTATTTTCTCTCTCAATTTTTTTATCTTTTGTTCTAGTGATTTCTATCGATATTTAATTATTTTACATTGTTATTCTCCAAAATCTATTAAAATTTATCAGAACTTTAAGGAGAATCAGATACTAATTTCAAATTCCTAATAAATTTGCATAGCTAAAATGTATTTATCGTGGATGAATAGTCAGGAATTGTGGGATGAACACATAACACTAAGGAAATTTGTAATTATGGCCATCTCAGGATCTGTGTCAATTCCTTTCCTTTGTCCTTCATGGCTAGAGTTTCATTTAAGCCTTCCTCTGCATTTGAAAACTGCTTTTGATTCAAATTTTAATTGGATGTAAACACTATAAACTTATTTGATTGAGTTTCCTTGTTAAATTACAACTCAGTCTCTACATACAGTTTTCTTACTTTGACATACTTCTTACTATTATCCTTTATTGTCATTTTGAGTTTGTTGAGAATGATTAACCTCAATTTTGAAATCGACAATTCAATCTCTCTTAATTTGTTTTCATTGTCTCTCTTGCTTTGCTCTTTATTGAATAGTATTTCACTATCATTAGGATGCTTGGCAGAACCATTAAATAATTCTTCATATACAATCTTCACTATCAATTATTAATAATCTTCATTCTATTAGAAGATTTCAAACTGTTGTTTTATTTAACCGATTAAAGTATCTAAGTATTGTATTAGGAAATGCTTCTTATTTGTTCTTGAGGCCCCAAAGATCAAACATAATTAATTGGATAGCAGTAGCCCTTTGCCCTAATGGATACTGTGCTATCTATCCAATTATTGGAGTGAGTATTAGAGATCTTGACTTACAACATCAAAATGATAAGTGTCGAAATAAGATTGCTCTAATCCTGATTTAAGCTATTTTATTACTTTGATGTTCTCGTACTTCCCTTTAATGATATCGACATACGGAGACTTAAAGTTTTGAGACCCCTTTATAAAGAGCAAGCTCGACACATCTTTTGGATGATCTTTTGTGGATTTGAGTATAGCACTAGGATTGAGTAACTTTTGAGGTGTACTATACTGAACAATAGACTTATCAAGTTTGGATGGTGAGGAAATCCTTTGACGTAATTATCTGATCTCATTCTTCAATTTCACATTTTCTTATTATAATTTTGATAGTGTTTTATCATAATATTTCACTTGGTTATTTTGAATTTATTTAAGTAGATTACCATTCTCTTTTTGCAATTGTTTTATTTGTTGCGATTACTCTTTGCTATTATTCTACAAAGATTGGAATGCCTCGATGGTAATTCCTAACTATTAAAATTGAGAGAATTAGGAGATTTAGTTTTGTAAATCAAAGTTTTGCTGTTACAAATACTCAATATTCTTTTCTTGGTATTGAATTTGTTCCTCTAAACTCTTGAATTACAGCATTTTTATGTTAAATAAATTTAATATTATTTCACTACAAACAAACAAATTACATTTCGAAATATTGAATCCACATTACCTCATACTTCATTTCTAAATTGTTCAACTATTATCAATGATTATCAATATAGTGAAAATTTGATGTTTTTGTATTCAAATAAGGAAGGAAAAGAGCTCTTATTGAAACCTATCATTTAATCAATTTCTTGGTTAGAATGAGGCCAATTTAGTTTTCCTATTTACCAGAAATTGAAGGAAAATAATTATTTTAGCTATAACTCCAAAAAATAACGTTATATGTTAATTTGTCTAATAGTTATTGGAAAAGTAATCTTAAAAGCGAATCATAACATAGTTTAATATGAATATTGTAATTCTTCATAGAATTTGAATAAACCTCTTAAATAAAGATTTCCAAATTCAAACTAGATTCTTAAAATGATTCAATAGTTTTGCTACACGCATAATTGGATTAAAAATAGCTAGAACTAAGGGATGAACTTGGATTTGTTAAATTAATTGAAATTAGCAATTTATATGTAGTGTAATGAAATAAATCGTAAATAAATTTATTTTAGAAAATATCATTTTAATATGCTCCTTTCGACATCAAAACTTACAACATCAAAATTATCCAGATCATAAATATCAAGTCCCCAAAGATCAACGGTCAATTATCTAAGTTAAGACTTGGATTCACCATCAAGACAAAGAATCAAGTTATTATCTGATAAGTGGAATCACATTCAGAATGGAATTGATAAAGATAAATTGGAAAAGAGAGAAGTACTAGAGGAGAGAATTAAAATTATCGAGGATGTCTTATCATAGGAAAAACCAAAGGATGAGTAGAAATTTAAGGTACTTAAAGATTAAGTGCTAAAATTGTAAGATCAAGCACATAATTAAAAATCTGAAAGAGAGGTATAAATATCTAAGTAACTATAGGCATTTGATGATAAAAAGGAGAAAGATTTTAGAATTTTATCTGACAATGTTGCTCTTTCGTTTGAGTAAGAAAAGAATGCTAGAGGATAAGCAGAAACCAAGTTGTAAAAGCAAATTGATGAAAGATTTGCGTAAATTACCTTAACAATCACCAGAAACACACATCAATATGAAGATAGAAGTCAAGCAAAAATTGCAGAGGTCTTGTAATAAATTCAGGTAGTAAAAAATCAATTAGACCAAGAGAGACAATCAAGGTATGTTATTTGTATATCAATACATTAGAGAAGAATCAGCAGAATCCTTGTCTGAATAGATCGACTCAGAGATTAATAAGTTTTCAGATTAATTATTAATTGAAAAGAAGGTTAGAGAAGAAACACAGGGAAAGATATTTAGAATGATTGAAGATGTTCATGGCAAATTGCAACAAGATATCAATTTTGAAAGAAGAGAGAGAGAAGCTACAACCGAAGCCTTGCTAAAATTATTGGAAGATGCATGCATCAAAATAGATAAAAATTTTAGATCATTTTGATTTATTATTAATAATATATTTATATATTAATTAATATTCACATTCATATTATTCTTAAAATGAACAAGGAATAACTAATCAGATAAATATCCAAAATTATTAAAACTAAAATAGTAGACAGATAGGGTTAAAACATATATGAATTAGAGGCTAAAATGGGAAAATTTAAAGTTATAGGTATATAGACAAACGACTATTTGGAATCTATCAAAGGTATGGAACAGCTCGATAGCAATAATTTGAGATATTAATTTGAATCTAAAATAGACTTAAAGTAGTATAATAATGCTTATGATTATTTTAAATAAAAGGAAAATTAAGTGTTCGTAAAAAGAATAGACTTTGTATTGGATAAACAGCAACGAAATTCATTTCAGATAATCAATAATCAAGTATCTGGTATATTGATTGAGAAATAACGGAGTTAAAAAGAACATATTGATATAGTAGATAATAAGATTCAATTTCGAATATCTTTGAATTAAGAAAAAATACTATCAACAAATCTTAAAGAATTGCTTGATCAAATGTCTAATAGAAAAAAATATGCAAATTTTATAAGATTAAAGTAGACTTTATTAGTAAAAGAAAACTATTTTGAATTCGCACTTTCAAATGTTGGTTCTCTAAAGAAATACTCTGATCTTGATTTTCAAAAGATTCTTGATTAGATTTCTGCATCATAAAGTTCAAACATACAAAAAAATTTAGAATAGATTTTCAAAGAGTAGAATTTGAGAGATTACGAACTAGAAATAGAATTAGAATAAATTTAAGATTTAAATGATGAGTAAATTTAGAATTTATCAAAATCATTTTTAAATTAAATTTATACTTTGTGGAGTGTTATCAATTTCAAACAGAATGAAGATGTATAATCTGAAAAAAAAACAAAAATAGAATGAACATTTATATCATAAATTGATTATTTACAATTAACAACTATTTAATCGATTATTCAAAGCTTCTAAGAAGTAGAAAACATTTTGGATGAAATAACATTTAAATGAACCAGAAAGAATATATTTGAATTTATTCTAAACTTGCATCATGCCCGATTAATATTTAGGATATCTAAAATTAAATTCAGCTGAAACTTCAGCCAAATCCAATTATGAATGGATTTTCAAAGCATTCTAACAATATATATCATTAAAAATCAAGTAAACTAATTGAGATATAATGCAGCAAAAAATGACATATCAAACCAGATTGAAATGATGATGATAACCATAATTATAAGCAATATCGAAAGAAACTGATCTCGAAAGAGAGAAATTAGACTATTAAATTTGAATAACCTGCAAATATAAGTAAAAAAGGAGGTTTATTAAAATCCAAATACAATAATTGATTAGAGGATATCTCATTTCTTACAAGAATCTTAAAATAGAACTAATAATTTTACAAGTTGATGAAAAAATAAAATGATTATAACCTATTTTATATAATATTTGAATAATAAAAATAAAAAAAATAATGAGTGTGAATAAAAATCAACTAGTTAAAAATGAAGTTGTAGCAAGTCTATTAGTAGAATAATCAAAAGCTGTTGCTAAATACGCTATAAAAAAAAAAAGCCAAGTTTATGGGATATCCTTCACAGTCTTTGTGGATAAAGTACAAAAAACCTACTCCACAGAATATGGTTTAAAAACCATTCAAGATCTAATCAATCTTGTGAATAAAACAAAAGTTGAATAAACAAAAGGCTTATATCCTAAAGGCGATTAACCAAATTAACCCTAACCTTCCCCTAACTTTCTTGCTTTCGAAAGTCCTGAAAGTCAAAACATGCTTAGCCACTCTATTTTACTTAAAGACGTAAAAACTGTTTACATGAGAGATATATCCTCAGGTAACAATTTAAATTAATCATTAGAGAATATGGCCTATATCCATGTTTTTGGGAAAAAAAATGTTTGCACATATTATATCAATAAGTCTCAAATCACAGTAGACGAAGTAACATATGATATCTGAGATTAGTTAATTTAACAATTTAATTAAGACCCAGCTAACAAAAACTGCATGATCGATGTAAAAACAGATAAATATGGCATCGGAAGTCGACTTGAACCAGGAATGTAAATAAATGAAAACATTATGAAATCCTAAGTCGGTAATTATGTCGAGGACGGAGAAGGATTGATTAGAATATTGCCATATTGATCATATATCATATTTTTAGTATAATGACAGAATGAGTTTAACAAGATTTTATTAAATTCTATTATATAAAAATCTTTATATCCAATGAGTAAGTTATATATTAATAACTTATATGATGTAGTATTATTACTTTTAAATATACATACATATTATTGTGATATTAGTGTATAAATCCAAGTTTTATTTGATGAAAATCATAATGCTTCACAACTTTAGTCTAAAAAATACCAATATGTAAATAACAATAGTTATCAAATGCGAGACAAGTTTTAACATGTTATCAGCAAATATTACATTTATAGCATATTAAACAACATTAGTTATTGGATTAATTATTTTCTAAACAAATTCTAAATAATTAATTTTTAATCTGTTTAGAACAGTTTCTTATCTATTTGTAAATGCATATTATAAAATGATAAATTTTATAAGTCATTATTTGCTACTTGGCCCTGGTACACAATTTAAAATGTGAATTTTATCCCAAGTATCACAAGTCTCAGACTTCCATTGTTTTAAGCATTTACCCTAATTTTATAGTAGTAGATCATACTGATCTGCAACAAACTTATGTTTCATATCCACAAACAACACCTCCAGCACTTTGACATTTATTCGTGCAATCTAAACTCCATGGAGCAAATTAATATTCATATCTTAAATTGCTTTATGCATGTAGCTAATCACAAATAACTAAACCTAAGAGCAAAATGAAAACACAAAATTTCATAATTATTAATAATAAAAACGATAATATACTTTTTATAATATAGAGAGATAATATAAATTACTCTTGTAATTACTTTAATATAAGAATTGAATAAAAAATCTACTTATACTAAGAATTAATTTGAATTTCTTGAATAATTGCTAAAAAGATACTCAAATGGTATTTATCTGAAATTTAATTTAAGTGTGCTAAATCAGAATACTTAAATACAACTGAATCTTTCGCCAGGATCTAAAATGTTGAAAAAATCACTACAATTAAAAGTATCAGTCTTTAAGTATTTTTAATCTCTATCTCACTAAAATTAGAGACTAAAATTAGAAAAGTAATTGAAAATCAAACAAAATTGATAGAAATTCTTAAGATAGTTAAGTTGAAAATGATACATGGATATAAAATAGAATCAAAGAAATAAATTTAAAGACCTAATTATGTAATTATGTGTAATGATTAAAAGTAATTTGTTTAATTTTATATAAATTTGATTAAGGAAATGAATTATAAACCTATATCAGATTAGCAATCAGTAGATATTGTGGAAGACGATGGTGAATTAGATGTTGTTAATATAAAATAGAATAAGAGATTGAATACATATAATAGCAAGTTAATCATTGTATGGATTATGATTCTCATAATCTTATTTGGAGGAATTTTGATATATGTATCGAATTAGGCAAAAGAGTAAAAGAAAGTAATTCCAAAAGAGGAAACAAAAGTAAATATTACAAGTAAGAAATATCTCTATTTAAAGTACCAAAAGTGTAAGACAATAAAAAAGATGACTCTAATTTTGATGGGCCTAAATTGATTGATATACAGGATGAAAGAAAAAAAGATGAAGATACTGATCATAATGAGGATAAAGAAATATAAGAAGAATAATTAAGTAAAGAGGAGGATATTCCTCAGCAAAATGTAAATAAGAGTGAATTAAATCAAACTATTGTAAATGAATCATAAATAAAAAATCAAACAGTGAATGGAACTGAGCCTCATGCAAATAAAGATACACACAAGGATATTTAATAAAATAGAAGGAATGATGAAGTACTGTGTGAGAAAGGATACTACATGGATAAAAATTTAAAGGCATGTAAATAATGTGAGGAGAAATGTTCTGAATGTATGCACATTACAGGAACTTGCTATCGGTGTGAGGAGGAGGTAATTATTATATTAATTAAGAGTATTACCTTAACATATATGGAAAATGTATAAACATTTGTGAATAGAATCAGAAGAAACAACCCAATTTACTAATTTCAGAAGAAAATAAGAATTAGACAATCCCATTCTGTTTTGGGAAAAATCATAGCTCTTCTTTTTATATGGGAGTATAGAAATCGAAGAGCACACATTTTGTGTTGCCCTATTTGATAATTCACCCAGCAAAATCAGTTTCTTAGGTTTATCACAATGATTTCCCAATTGTTTACTATTTTAATAAAGATCTGTTCAATTTTGAGGAAAATATCAAACTCTCAGACATCGCTTAAGAAGCACAGGAGAGATTATTGATAGTCATAATTGTAGGTAGTCATACTTTGTACGATTATACTTTATTCAACTCATTCTTATTCTAAAATGCAATTGAAAACATAGAACAAATTGTGAAAGCTAAGAGTACTACATTCCGATCATATTTTGGATAGGAATACAATGGTTATGGAGCGATTAGAGAATATATTTCTTAATACAGAAATAATACAATTGATTTGATAATTTCTGATGATCCTTCTGAATTGCTACAGTAATTAGATTCATTCTAAATTTAGTGAGGAAGTAGAGTTGAATTAGTTGGTAACATAAGAAAGACATATGACAGACTACAATTTTGAATCACTCTCAGGAGCTAAATCAGACAAATCTGTTTTAATTGTAATGCAATATACAATGAAAGATGAGAATCATCATAATAACTAATGTGATAGATTTAAATATGTTTCATTCGTGCATTGTCAAATAAGAGAAGTTTAGATAAGTCACATTCAAAAAATGAAATAAAACTTTGAATTTATATCTTAATTTGTTGTTTAGTTAAATTTGGAATGAAATTATATTAAAAATAAAATATTAAATCTCTTTTTTATTATTGTTAACATGGATAGATGAGTAAGGAATCTTTCTAAATTAGCTGCATAAATGAAGACTTAATTAATTAAATAGAGAGTATGATATTATAGTAATCCAAATTACTTAGAATTTCAGCATTATTTTAGTTCTCTAAATATAGTAATAATAATTTTACACTATAGGATTAAAATTGCAGTATAGATTTATTATTTATAACACTTGATTCCATATAAATCTAAATATTTAGGTTAGTTATCAATTTATTGTTTATTACATAACTAATAATTTTAATAAATAAATGCAAGCAGAAAAGTCTCTTCCCAGATCGAGAACTTTTGGTAGTGGAAAATAGTAATTTACTATGTTATTTAAGAGATTAGCTTACAACAGGTAAATCGAAAAAAACTACCTATGAAAATTGTTTAAATTGCTGCGGAAATTTTTGGGGTACATGCAGAGCTTGGATTCCTTGCTGTTTTTGTTGTCCATATCCTTATTAGCAAATTAGCTAAGGATATGTCGGATTGTTGCAAGAATTTGGACGTTTTGAAAGACAATTGCCACCTGGTATGCATTTTGTTAATCAGTAACTTAATTCAATATACGTAGGTGTTCAGGCTAAATTGCAATGGTAGATATGAAGACACAGTAAAATTGAATTATAAATTTAAGTTCTGGACAAGTTAACAGATCAGTTATCCTGACGAAAGATAATATTACTTCAGAGATTGACACAGTTTTATATTATAGAATAGTTGATCCAATCAAATGCATTTATAGATTGAACAATCTTGATGGAGCAATGCTTGAAGTTACTCAATCAGTCATGCGTACAGTCTGTGGAGAACACACTCTTTAGGAGATGTTAGTTGATCGTATTCAAATATCTCATGAGATTGAAGAATATGTGGAAGCCATTGTGAATGAGTGGGGTATTATTCATGGTTAACAATAACAGGTGTCTACGTAGAGAAGTTGTTTATTAAAGATCAAAGATTAAGTGAGGACTTGAGATAAGCATTGGCATTGGCAGGAACAACAAAAAAGATGACTGAGGCTAAGATCATATCTGCTTAAGCTGATGTAGAGGCTGCCAAGTTCCAGCGAGAAACCTCCGACATATTATCAAGTCAAGCAGCTATGTAAATCAGAATGCTTGAAACTCTTTCATTGATTGCTAAAGGTGCAAGTAAAAAGGTTGTGATGATGGGATTATGAAATTATTCTAATATAATTTATTAACTTCATTTTATGGTTTATGATGAAAATCCAAGAGCCTTCTCTAAATTCTTGATTGTTTACACCACCTCTTGTTTCCCTTAATCATACTGAGAAAACACTCCTATAAAGGTTGACACTATCATATCATGGAAATAACATCCAAATCGTTGCATATGACTAACTACTAGTTTTTCATCAATGTCTTAAAAGGAATCAAAAGTGAAAAAATTAATAAAATCCTCTAATTCAGAGTTGATCACAGGTTGAAAATCTCCCCCATTGAATTTCTAGAATTCTCCTTCTTCTACCATTTCGCAATAATAATACAGTTTTAAATCTAATATACATCAATATTACTTGCAGGCTTCAACATAAATTATCTTTAGATTCCATAATTATTAAATTCATCATAAATTGGTTATCTTTTTCTTAATCTTTCTAACAAAGCTGAACACAACATATTATTCATAGATTATTGAATTGCCTCTTATTTCTTCTGATATCCTTGTGATAAGGTTTCTAGTTTTGGTTCTCTCCTTAGCAAATATTTGGATTTTAAGGATTGATCATCAGCAGTCTATACTTCAATAATATACCCAACTTGAAGATCGGCTTCTACATTTGGTTTGAGTGAGACCAATGCTTACATTTTACCTATGCTATCAATCTGCAACCCCTCATTTGCTAAAAAGAATAATTTTTTATCCAGAATCTTATTCATATGTTTTCCAATTTTAATCTCGAATACTTCAAACTCTTGCTTCTCATATTGAATTTATGGATTTGATTTCCAATTTGAGATTTTATAGTTTTGTGACAATAATTGCTCCATAAGTCCTGTAATTTTGAGTTTTCTTTATTGTTTGTCAGAAAACATTGTTTGCACCTAAGAAGTTATAGCTTCATAGTTGTTTATGGTTTTTTTGTAAATCCACGTTTATTCCTTGAAATCATTCAATAAGCCATCTTTCTCATCCAAAACCATTTTCAACTATTCCTGCAATTGCTTTGGAATTTCGGAGGACTTAGCGAGAGCTTCTTAAAATTACAGATTCTACTCTTATAATAGCTGCTCATATTATTTAATCTTCTATTGCGATGCTTCCTCTGACTATTTAGAGAGGGAAAGTTGCTTTTATAAAGATGTCAATTGCTATTGCAAGGTGCTGTTCTCTATTGTCAATTAATTGACTTGTTATTATAGTGTACTTATTCTGAGTTACAATGTAGTTGTATCCTAAAAACTCCCAGATTGCCTCATTAATAAATTATAATAATAGAATTTATAATAACTATTATTTATTGTAAAGTAATCATAATTAGGATGCTAACTTTGGTGACTTTTATAAGAATTATTATTATAATTTCTTTCTCTATTCTTGTAATTTTCTACTCTACTGTTCAAGTTGGCTTATTTTAAATTCAGATTATATCAATTATTCTTGTAAATTTTGATACTATGTTGCTAGCTTATCGTTTGAGAATTCGTTGTTGTTCTCCTTCTCTCTTTAATTATTCAAAGGAGTTGAAAAACCCATGTCTGTATGAATTCTATTTGATTAAATATATTGGTTATTGACAACACTCTACCTTTGTTGTGATAACACATTCGGAGTGAGGGTTCTTGATTGCACTGCTTGATGCTTGGTGGGTGTCTAACTTTGACGTTAATTGTAAGGAATTTTTTATGGCGTCATTGTGAAGGTTTGGGGTTATTAAGAATATTTGATGACATTGGGACTTACAGAAACCTTATTCTTGATTAATCTTATTGGTGAAACATTGGAGCCTTATTAATCAATGTTCTATGACACTCTTCTAGTAGATTGCAATTAACTCGATTTATCCAATGGAATAATGATCGACTATTAGGTCTATACAGGCATTCTAATTGTAGGTTAAATTATTCTCTAAATACAATCATTATCATACCTAAGTATACTAATACATTTCAATATTCCAGTTAACAGATAAATAATTAAAAATATTTATGTTTATTTGAATTAAAATTGAGCATAATTATGTTTATAAGAAATTAAATTTAAAGCTTATTTAGATACAAATAAATATATTGATTTAGATTTGGACGAAAAAAAAAATTGATTTATAAACTAATATCATTATAGAATGGAAGTTTTCTACTTCTAATTTAAATTGCGTCGAGCACTTCCACTTCTGCTTCTAGGTTGAGTTAATATAGTTTCTAAAAATACAAATTATCTAATACATTAAATAGTTTTTTATTGCACTTGGGAATTTGATGAATTCTTTTTGGAGGCATTTTAACTAATTAAATTTCCTTTCTTATCTTTAATAATTATTTATTACTGAATGATATCATTAATGGAAGAGATTGAATTATGTTTGCCATGAAATGATTTTTAGTATTCTTGTTGTTGTTGTTAAATTTATTATTACAATTATTACTATTGAGGATTCTACCCATATTGAAGGATATTAAAGTAATTTTATTTCAAAGATCCTTGAGATTGAGTTGGGTAATCAGTGCTTTCTTAGAGTTAACTACTTAATTTATGTTCTGAATAGGAACTAGTTTTATTGGTTTCCTTACTATTAGGCTTTGTTTTAATGAGTGCTTTAATTTATTAGCTATTCTTATGAAATTTCTAAATTTCTTGATCCCCTTGATCATATTCTAAAGTCTTTTTGAATTAATCATTTTCTAATTATTGAATTCGCTGCTTATAATAAGTGATATCAGACTGCAATTTCATGTTTTCTTCATAATATTTTTGATTTTCTCTCTTCAGATTCTAATGGACAATATTGACACATGCATTACATTCATAACCTTCTTGGTTGTTTCAAGTAACTCATTTCTGGTTGCCTCACTTTCATCTAATTTGGTTTGGATTGATTCTGTATACAATTTCAATTGCTATTCAAGCTAATTTGAAGATTAAATGTAATATCTACTCTTATGTGATTTCTAATCTCGCCCTCATATTTGATGAGTGTTTGTTCAAGCTTCTCGTATTCATCTTCGGTTCTTAGACTTTTAAAAGAGGAATTTGGATCCAAATTCTTCTCCAACTTTCTTAGATGATTAATATGTTTACTGGACTTTTTTGTCAATTTTCAAGATCAGATTGGTGAAGACGACTTTGATTATGTTGGCTAATTGAGTTAGGTTCTCATAATCCTTCAATTCCTTCTCGATTTCATTCAGATCACTTTTTGTTTCAATGTACTTCTCCAATTAAATTAAGATTCTCTCCAACAAATCTTTCAAAGAAGACTCTATTTCTCGGTCGGAATACGAATTCAGACTTGTTTCACTCATCGACTGTTTATTAATTATATTAAAAATACTATTAATAATTTTGATTACATAATCAAATTCAAGATGAAATATCATGTATTTACCAATAATTCCACTAGTTTTATTTGTTAATTTATAAATGGCAAAAAACTGATGCTTATTTATTTAAATAAATTGATAAATTTGCAGTTACACAATTACTCCGTCGCATTAATTCTCAAATGATGACATTTTAATAGGGATACATCAGTTTATAAATGTATTTAAGTTGAATACAATAAATAAATCAATAAATAATGAAACATTTTTCATAAAATTCATAGAATTAGTAACTCGTCACCAAGACCTTCAATGACATCCCATTCACTATTTACAATCGATATTAGGGCATTAAATTATTGGGAGCAGGATCATATGGAACAGTTTTGTTAGCTTTGGATACCCAAACCAACACCAAAGTTGCAATTAAAAAACTCAACCCATTGGAGGATATTATAGATGCCAAGAGAATGCTGAGAGAAATACGAATATTAAGAGCTATGGCTCATCCCAATATTGTTGCAATCAAAGCTGCCATCTACGATAATGTTTCATAAGAGAGTGACTATTTCGGCACTGTCTATTTGGTATAAGAATATTTTTAGGCCGATCTTCACAGAGTTCTTAAAAACCCAAAAGATCTCTCCGATGATCATGTGCAATTCATCATGTATTCTAACCAATCCTATTTTAGGTATCAATTAACCAAGGCAGTGGCATATCTACATTCAGCATCCATCATACACAGAGATATCAAGCCATCCAATATATTAGCCAAAGATGACTGCTCCATAAGTCTCTGTGATTTTGGCCTCTCCCGATAAATCGAAGAATATGAAGAAGAAGATAATAAAAAAGCATAAAATTTCACAGAATATGTTGTCACAAGTATAGACCATCTAAATCATCCATAGGATACTACAGAGCACCAGAGATTATGGTTTCCTCTTAGCAATACTCATTTCCCATTGACATTTGGTCATTGGGCTGCACTTTCGCCGAAATGCTAAACGAAGGAAAGGTAAATCCTTATATTAAGACTATCAGGTTCTCTTCAAAGGCAAGACCTATGTTTAAATGGTAAAAATGATCTTCGAAATACTTGGCAAGCCAATTCAAGAAGACCTGGATCAATTCATTAAGAATAAAAATGCTATGGAGTTTGTCCAGTCCCTACCAAGTGTTCCACCACAATCAATCAAGAAATTAATTGATTATTCCAATCCTCTAGCAATTGATTTATTGGATAAAATGCTTGTGATCAATCCTCATAAAAGAATCACTGCTCAAGAAGTAAGATAAATGATTAAATCAGGCATTAAATCATCCTTATTTTAAAGAAATTAGAGAAAAAACTGAGGAAGCACCTTATAAAGGGAATGCAGACTTTACATTCGAAAATGATGACACTATTAGTTTTGAATAAATGAGAATTATGATTCTCGAAGAACTAAATAAATTAGGGGAAAAGATAGATATTCCTGGAGAGATGGATAGATTAAGATAACTCAGAGAGAAAAGGAGAGCTCAAAAATTAAAAAAATGATTATTTTTTTATTCATTATAAGATTTTAAGGCATATATATATATTAATTAGTAAATTAATCAAATGTTCATTGCATTTTGAGCTAGTTGATGTTATCATAAACAATAATTATCTCATAAATCAAATCCATTTAACTTATTTTTATTTATATTCAATCTTTCTTTTATAAGTTTGAAACTTTTCTAAGAAGATATGTTTCTATGAGTTTCATAAAAATGAGTTAATTAATATATATATGTCATAAATTATTTAGGAGATAATCTCAAAACAAAAGATTAAAGAGCACATTCTCACAGAAGTAGTTGGACACACCTTAGAAATTACATTCAATCGTCCAGAATTCCACAATGCTTTCACAGTTGGAATGTATGTGATGTTTCAAGAATATGTATTATAAGCTGATAAAGATCCAAATGTATTATGTTAAATTAAGTCTAGATATATTTAATATTAGTCAAAAGCAATGGAAAATCATTTAGTTCAGGTAATGATTTGAGAAATTTTGATGCATGGCCAGGATTGAATGATGAAGTATATAACCTTAGTATCATAGGATAGAAAATAAGCATCTCTAGGCTTAACCAATATGCTAAGAGACTTTACAAGTTCCTTTCTAAACTTAACTAAACCAATTATTGCTTGTTGTTAAGGAGGAGTTATTGGATTTATTTTCCCATTGTTATCCTTATTTGATTAAGTGTATGTCACAGAAGATGCTTACTTCTTTGCACCAATGTTATTGTTTGGATAAGTATTTTATTACATGTTCATTTTAGGGTGTTGAGATGTTCTCTAGTTATACTTTTCCAAGACTATTTGGATAAGGAAAGACTTTTAGTTTATTATTCAGAGGATAAAAACTATCAGCCAAAGAAGCAATCCATTTTGGATATGCTTAAGAAATATTTAAAACATAAGATGAAATGATTAAGCAAGCAAGATAGATTTGTTAGTAATTGGAATAACAAGATCAAACTGCTATCTTTCATGGAAAAAAATTAATTAAAAGAGCAGTATATGATGTATATCATATGCTTTATATATATTCTAGCAACTGAAAACATCAAATGAATAAGAATTGTAAAATTTACATAGAATATGGTCAGGAGACAAGCTGGTTGAAAACGTATTTAATTATATGCAGAGACTTAAAGCCAAATTATGATAAATTTCGATATACATTATCTAATTATATGTTAATTTTTTTAATTCAAGGGATATATCGTGATAAGAGATTCCTTATTAATAGCCTATTTCAAAATGAAATATCTACTATAGTCTTATGGTAAATAATACTATGTGGCAGCCAAGAAGTATGGACACAAATAGTACTATTCTTTTTGTTTTAAAAGGATTTAATTATATCCTTTTAATATACTTTTTCAATAAATAAATAAATTCAATTATAATAAAGACTATCATATCAAATCAATATAATAAATTCACTATTTTCGTGGACTCTACCGGGAATGTTTTAAATATGTGATTTTTTCTTTTAATGTTTTTGCTTTCTTTATCATAGAATCATCATCATCTAATTATGGAGTCATGTTTGAGATAGCTTATTCACAAAATTATTCAGCCAATTCTTGTTTTCCTAAATTAAAATATACAGTAGCAATATTATATTAAGTTGATCCAAGAGATTAGTACTAGTTTTTTTCTCTTACATCAGCCTCCTAAAGGCTTAATACTTTTAAGTAGATTTCCAAAGCCAATTAATAATTTTTTAATTTAAAATGCAGCGCAGCGATATGCAAGTTAATGTAAATTACCCATTTAGGATCAGTTTTATGTTGAATTTCTTTTTTTAGAGAAATAGAATCTTCATAAGCATCAATGGCTAACTAAGATTCTTCATAGAAACGATAACAGTCTCCAAGTAATTCATAAAAGATTGATTCATAAAAGATTAGTTTAGAATGATAATTTACTAACACTTCTAATTATATTTTCTCCATACAAGTTTTTATAATTTAAATTGCAAAGGAAAATTCTTTGCCTGAAATTAATCCTTAGGCTAATTTTTAATAATCAATTAACATTTCTGTAATAGGAGCACCTAAATTTGTTTTTAATTCTATTAATTTTTAAAATAAATTGATATCTTAATTATTTAAATTATTATTAAGAATTTCTTCTGTTTCTTTGATCTCTTCTAAAATTTATTCGTTTTCTCTTTTAATTTATTAGTATGCAGATTCAATCTCTTCATAATTTAAATCAGATTCTGTTTAGTTAATCATTTGTAAAAAGTATGTTTTAGCCTTTTCAAAGTCTTATTCTTAAATGTAATGTTCATAAATCTCGCCAAGTAGTATTTTGTTCTGCTTTTCATAAATTTGAATCTTTTCTTAGAACCAAATGGAAGTTGCTCTGTCTTCATTTAATTAAGGCTTAATTTTTTGCTAGAATAAAGAATATTAAAATTACAAATAGTAATTTAAGTTCCTCCTTTGATAGCATGTTTTCCTGTTCAAGCATTGTAATCAAAGTTAACTTGTCTTCAATTTTGACTACTGCTTTGAGTTGTCTCTTAATGCTCTTCAGAATTTCAATTTATTAGGTTTGTAATTTCAAATTCTCTTTGAGAGAGGAGCGATTTATTTTTTTGATATTCAATTAAATTTTTTAATAATTTTTTAATTCTACATCGTACACCATCATAGTCAATAAACTTGATATCAAATTTATTCATACCTTTCATTATAGAGACTATTTTAAGGAGATATTCTCTTCGTTAAATTTTCTAAAATTCTGTATTAATTTTCATCCTTAATTGGACGACAACTATTAAAAGTTTCTTCATCTATATCTTGCTAGGTCTTCCTCCAAGTAACAGTTACTTCTTTACGAAGGTTAAGGGCTTCTTTAATTTTAGGGAGTAAAAGTAATAATTGCTCTTAATTTTCTAAAATCTTTATTTCGACTAGATTAGCCATTTTAATTATAATTTATTATAAAAAATATGGGTGTGTGTTCAGGAGTATGTTAATAGCAGGCTAAAAATATTGTAAATGAATCTGCAATAATTACAGAGACCATCAAATAAGCACTTTAGGAAGATATCATAACAAATAAAGAAATGTATTAAGAAGAGAGATAGTTGCATATGGAGACAGGGGCAATATATGAAGGTGATTTGATAAATGGAATTCGAAGTGGAAAGGGCAGACAAGTATGGCCTGATGGTATAAATATGATAATGTAGGTTCATACTACGAAGGGGATTTTGTGAATGATATGGCAGATGGAAAGGGATTATTAGTGAATGCGGAAGGAAGTGTCTATGATGGTGAATGGTTGGAAGACAAAGCAAGCGGTTTTGGAAAGTACTAGAGTCATGATGGCTTATACTACGAAGGACAATGGCTAGAGGACAAATAACATGGAATTGGGAAAGAGATCAATTCAAAAAGTTTAATGATAAACTAATTTTCTTAGATGAGTGTTACGAGGGCGAATTTTTTAGAGGAGTTAAATAAGGAACAGGGAAGTTGACTATCAATGACGGAGAGTTTTATGAAGGCGAGTTTTAAAATGGGATGATGCATGGTCAAGGTAAGAAATTGAAATAGTAAAAAAGCAAAGGAACTTACACTTGGAGAAACAAAAAATCGTACATAGGAGAATGGAAAGAGGGGAAGATAGATGGATTTGGAATAATGAAATGGGATGATGGAAGATATTACGAAGGGAATTTTTTAAATGGAAAATAACATGGAGAAGGCACCTTTGTTTGGAAAGGGAAGAAGTATATAGGTGCATGGATAAATGGTTATTAAGAAGGGGAAGGAACTTATTATAATAAAAAAGGTGAAAGTAGGATAGGAATCTGGAAGAATGGAAAGAGAGTAGAATGGCTTGACGATAATAGTAGCAGTAATAGCATAGAATAAACATTTTGAATATATATTGATATTATAAATTATATTATTTATTACTATAGTAATATAAAGTGTGGTTATTACAAAGGTGTAGATTGTTTGAATTATTGATTATCTTTGAGTTGATCTGAGCTTTTGTATATATTAATGGAAAATTATAACACTTTGAAAAAAGAAATTAAAAGTAAAAAGTTTAATTTCATTTAAAATGCAAAACGATATTAAATAATAAAGGCTTTGAATTCTGAGTTGCCTATAGTGAAATGAACAATCATTAATTCCTTAGTTCATAAGTCATGAATATAGAGTATAATTACAAATAAATAATTTTGATATTAAAATAAAACTAAATATTTAATTATTAATTATTAACGAGTTTTTATTTCTTCAAATGCTACGAAAAGACAGTTCTTACAGGGAGATATCCTTAACAGACTCTATAGAGCAAAAATCATTTTTAAACTTAGCCAGAAAGCCCTCTAATGGTGATTTTAAAGGCAAAACACCCTTAGGCGTCAAGGGCAAAGATAATAAGGAGAATTCTTCTGCAAGAATTCATTCAGATACACCCACCCAAGACTTTTTCTTTAAAAGAGAAGTCATAAAATCAGAGAAATAACTACCCAATGAGAAAATGGCAATCTACAATGATGCATCAAGATTTCAATCATCTAAAACGTATATGGAATGCAGGATTGAGTAATTAGAATAACGTAAGAAGACCTAAAGTCCATAGCTACTGTCAATGACTCCCGTTCAGAATAAATAGATCAGTCAAGAAAGATATAATCATCTTCAATAACCATAATAATAATAACAATCAGTTTAAAGTTCAATGAATTTAACTAGAAAGGCTTCAGTTGTGCCTTCCAGAGGTTTGTCAGCCTTGACTACCCCAACTCCAAAGGAAGGAGATTTTAATATCTATAAGTAACAAAGTAGTATACCAACATCATACTTGGATTCAGTTGTAACTCAAAGAAATAATAAAAATTACACCGCTCCAGAGTAATAGTAATAATAATAGTAACAGTAGTAATAATAATAGTAGTAATAATATTAATCCCAATAACAATATTAATCACAATAACAATATTAATCATAATAATAATATTAATAATAATAATAACAATAATAACAATAGTAGGAGTATAAGAATTCAGGCCTAAAATTATATTACATTACTTCACTAATCAAAGCCTTTAAAATGAAAGGTCCAAATTCAGCAAAGGAACATCTAATCCATAACATGCAGGTACTATTTCATCCAACAATTTAAGGGAATCATTATCGCTAAGAAGCTTAAAGTGCCTCCAGTGAAAAAGGCTATAATGTTGCCAGCAACTGACAAAAAGACTCTTTTATTTGATCTGGATGAAACATTAGTCCATTGTAACTCGAATAGTTTTATACCTGGTGATGTTTTACTCAACATAAATCATGAAGGGGAGAAGATGGAGGTATATAAACAATATAAAATTTAGGCTTCATTGAATATTAGACCTTATACTTCTCATTTATTGTAGACGTTAAGTAGAAATTTCGAATTGATTGTATTTACTGCTTCCTAATCACATTATGCTAATGCAGTGATAGATTATTTGGATCCGTAGAAAAAGTGGATCAGTCACAGATTCTATAGAGAACATTGCATACCCACAGATGATGGACATTTTATAAAAGATCTTCGTATTTTTACAACCAGAAAACTAAGCGATATGTTGCTAATTGATAATGCTCCTCATTCTTATCTGTATTAGATTTAAAATGGTGTACCTATCATTCCATACATAGACAATAAATCAGATGAAGTAATTATATTTGTAAGAATTTAGGAATTGAAATCGTTATTGTAGTATTTGATGTAATTTAAGAACGTTAAGGATGTGAGAGAATTGAATATGCAGCAAATGAAATTGCATCGTTTTTCAGAATATGATGACCCTTAAGAACTATTAAAATGTGAATTTAATGAATACTAATTATAATCCGTTTTATTATGATTAAATCACTTTTTATATGTGCCTTGCTTTTAGGATTGAGTGCAGCATCCCTTTCAGAAGAAGGTGAAGTTATAGCCAAATTGACATAATTGGAACAAAGTGAATTTGGTCGTTATTTGATTCACACTATATAACTGGAGATGGAAACATCAGATAGTTTAGATCACTTAATCAATGTACTTGAAAAACTAGAAGGACGTTACTAAGACGATTAGAAGGAGGATGATGCAAACAATAGACTCTATTAGGATTAATGTGACTCAGACATTGGTTAACTTGATAAAGACATTGCTAATAGCTAATATTCAATTCTACAACTAGAGGCAAAACTAGAAGGTAATCTCATTCCTGCCAGATCAATCCAATAAGGTGTTGAAAAGGCTAAATTGGCAGAAATTAAATGTAATATTTTACCTTTTTATGTTTAGAATACAAATAAGAGATATAAGAACTCGATGAAGAGAGACAAGAACAAAATGAAGTGTATGAAGCTAAGATTGCTGAACATTTTGAAGCCTCTAAAATCATCAGAGAAGCTTAAGCCATTATTAAGGATGGACTCTAAAGACCCTCTCTTGCAGAAGTCAAGAAGAGTGGCAAAAATGCTATCAGAATTGCCCCCAATATTTTAGCTTAAGTAAGTTCAAGTTTAGGCGGATCAATTGATAAAATCAGATAAACTCATAGATTCACTAAAGCTTATGCAAGTATTTTCAAAGTGTTGTTAACCATCATGAATAAGTCCGAATCTACAGCTGATGAAGGATCTGTTGAAAAGTATATATAATTATTATTAAACCCTTTAGAATAATTCAACTCTGCAGTGATTTATTAGCCAAGATTGATGACAGTACTAGCTTAGAAAGATTTGCAGAAGACAAAAGAGTTTAAGCCTATGAGAAACACAAGCATTTATTGAACAGAGATTTATAATCTGCTGAATCCATTTTAGCCAACACATAAGCAACTTTATAAAGGTTACTCTTATTATAATTTATTTAGTTTGAATGACTCCATTTAACAAGCTTAAAACTCCATTGCTACAATCTAATAAAGATTGGACTATTACTAAGACACTAGACAATAGAGATATACTGAATGTGAAGAGGCTGCTTATGATTATCAACAAGCAAGAAGTGCTAGAGATAACAATAAGCAATTAGTATCCGACTTAATTGGTTTGGTCAATAAGCATCTTAGAGTTCTTAGAGAACAATTAGCACTCAGAGTTGCAGCTGGTGATAACATATGAAATGCAATTAGATTCTATACATATTTATTAATGTGACTTCTATTTTGAGATTAGAAATATCAACCCATTCAACTCAAGTCATCTCCTCAAAACTTCTTATTCAAATTACAATATTAATATTATATATTTATAAATGATAAATTAAGATAGTGCAGATCTTGAAATCTAACAAGAAGGATTTGATTTTTAAAAGTTATTTGAAAATAAATACTCTAATTAAGAATCTCGAAAGGAAGAAGTCCATAAATCTCATTAGCCTCAACCCTAATAGCATTGTTAAGGAGATACTTTGCAAGCCTTAGTCAAGAACATTAAGATAGAAAAATAAGTTGCAGGTAGGAACAAAAAAACTAAAAAGATTAAATGGAATGAGAAGAACACTAAAATATTCAAAGATCTCTATTAATAATACTCAGGTAATTTAGATTAAATCCTTTTATACTTTTAACAAAATGATGAATTAAATACAAAAATTGATATTAAATAAATTAAAGTAAATTAATCTAATTATAATTACTAGAATAAATTTAAAATAGAGAAGAAAAAAAAAAGCCTGACTTTGTTAACTTAGTCTCAAAGAATATCAAAAGATCTTAATTACTAACTAAAGTTAGACCAAATAAATTGATTTTAATCTAACTATATGTTTAATTTAGTATTTTCAGGCCTATTATTAAAGGGTATAATTTATTCTTTTTCATTAAACTTAATAATGAATATAATGTAGAAAAAGAGGGAAGAATTTTCCATCAACATAAGAAAACAAAAAAGAGAAGAAGTGTTTAAATGTAAGAGAATCTCAAAAACACAATACTTGCCATTTTCTAATACTACAACCAATTTATCAGAAATTTACTATATTGCATATCACTAAAAATAATGTCCAAATGATGTTTAACTTAATGAAACTATATAAAAGATTTAGAAAATATCAGAATTAGCAGATACTTTTAATGAAAAGGATTGTGATAAGAATTATCAAACATCATCTGATGTTGAAATAATATTTGACATTATCAACTAAGGATATCCAGTATTAGATGTATATTAATTATATTATTATAAGAGAGCCTGTTTACAAATATTATTATCGTTTACATTGCCAAATCATTAGACGTGCAAACCTATATTAAAATATATACCTGATTTGTTGAAGTTATTTAATGATACATAGTATGATGAGCTTAAATAAACTGTTCTGTTTATATTTTCAAACTTAGCAGCAGACTGTTATTAATGCAGGGATGCAATTTTAATTTATGAAATACCTTAAGCAATATTCAAAGCAATCTATTAAACCAAAAATGAATTAATGGACGATCTAGCCTAAATTATTATCAATATTTCAAGAACTCAACCTCTCATGTCAAATTTTAATTAAATTTAAATGATTAAATTATGTTGGGAGTTATTTCCTCATTTATTAAGCAATGAATCAATCGTAGGAATTTTGTAACTAATATATAAAATTTGTTTGAAAGATAAAAATTTATTAGATCTGAATTTCTTAAATAATCTCTGTTCGAATAAATTGCATTCAGATCTTTACTTAAATGAAATATTATCATTAATAAAGATAATGTCTTGTTTTGACAGAAATCGATATGAACCAATCGAAAACAACGTCTTAAATTTCCTGATTCTTAAGGTAAATTAAACTTTGATTACTGGAAAATAAGATAAATATTAGTAAAAGCCAATCAACAAAGTGTTGAGTATTTTTACAAATATGATTGTTGAAAACCCAAAAATAATTTATAATATTCTTAATACTAACATTGTGTAGCTATTTTAATTTAATGAATAATTATAAGAAGCTAATTAGGAGATTTATGGTAGAATTTATTATTATTCCTTTTATTATTAGATCATTAGCGGGTTAAATTAAAATGAATTAAAATAAATGTTTTAATTATTCTAACCGATATAACAATTGATTAGTTTATTGGATAAAAATATGGATAATTCAGATATTACCATTGATATTTTAAGAATAGTAGAGGGGATATTACAAAAAAACATTGAAGCAATACCTGTATTCATCTAGTAAAATGGAGAACAATTCTTAGCTGAATTATCCTAACATGAAGATGAGGAGATATATAATTTATGCGAAAATATTTTCGAAATAATCAAGTGACTTTTATTTATAATTTTCATTTTTTATAGTAATCAATGATTTTAAGATAGAGCAGAATGAACAAAATGAGAAATTTCCATTCTCGAATTTTCGAAATTAAATTATGATGCTTTAGAATTTTTAGCAGAAACAATTTGTTTTTGATCCCATTCTAATTTACGATTGATTAAATCTTCACTAACTTATATTTTTAATTCTTATTAATCGAAAATCTATTCAGATTATTTGCAGTTTTAGAGTTTTTGAATCAAGTTTTACTCAACTTTCTCAAGTGAATTGACCTTGAATGACAATTCTTATTCGATATTCTTAATCGAAATTTCATGTTGAAGAATTGTTTACAAATGTAAATTGATGTTGTCAATCTATTTATGATAATAATCTATATTAAACTAAAAACTTACTCTCTTTCTGATTTGTATTTTAGGTGTAATACTTTAATCTAGATAGATACTATTCAATCTCCTTAGACTTCAACTCAATGAGATATTCTTTTTCTTTGATGCCTTTTTCTCTCATTAATAGTGTATTTTTTTCAATATTCAATTAATTTGATTATTCCTCTAATTATTGTTGAAGTAAAATAAACTGTTATTCTCGATCTTTTACTTTTTATTCAAAAGATTACACTTTTTCCCGAAATTATTGTTCTTGCGAATGCAATTAAATGAGCTTTTCTTCAATTAAGTTAGTTAGTATTCTCATTTCCTTCTCACCACTTCTTAATTGCTTAAATTTAAAAAAAACTTACATTTGCTCTGTCTTCTAAAGTCTTATGTTCTCTCTCTATGGACTGCCTTGTTCTATCGAGTTCTTCACATTTCCATTTATATTTTTCTTGAATCCTAATGAGTTCTAGTTAATTTGGATTAGATTGAATATTATTCTGAGTAGTTAATTCATATTAAGTAGCAAATCTCATTCCAATTTTTTAAATGAGATCAGGAAGTGTTTATCTTTGACTCATTAAGGAAGATTTAAACAGTAATGAACTTTATGATTTTCTCATATATTTAACAGATCAATTAATTAAATTATAAACCAATTCATGGACGGCACTGCTATTACATAGCTGAAATCTTAACTATAGAAATTGTAAGAAGAGAAAGAAGAATTATCAAATGATCTTTAAGAAGAACGAGTTGTTGTTGCTCAAATGTAATAAGAATTAGCATCTCTAAAATAAAAATAATAAATTCAAGGAGGCCAATTAAGAGATAAAGAATTGGCAATCCAAGATTTTAATCGGATGATCAAAGAAAGCGAGACTATTTTGAAAAAACTAATAGAAACATCTAATAATTTTCTAAAGACCTTGGAAGGTGAGACAAATAAGCTAAAGAATTAAAAAAAGTGAAAAAAAATCAAAACATTTATTGAAGCATTCTTATTTTAATTATCAATAATTTTCTCTGGGAGTAGGATTGCATTTCATTCAATGACCCTTTTTTATAATTTGAATGTATTAAATATCTTAGATTTCAAACTTACAATTAATTGAAATAATTATAAATTCTACATTTTCACAATAGTTTTATAAAAAGTTTCTATAAATGAATTATATTTTTTCTAATTTAATATAATATCTCTAAAATATTTATATTGAGGATCATAAATAAACTAATCGAATATTGACTATTTTGATAACTACTAAAATTTTGATCTAGTATAACTAAATTTTAATAAAATGCAGTTAGTATCAAAAGTTATATTATTAAATTTGCTTTAAGTCTAATCTATAATAATTGAATAGATAATTTTATAATTATCTAAGAATTCCTCTAAAAATATTAAAATGTTCGAAATTAGCAGACCACGAAAACAAAGATAAGGCGAACAATTGTAAAAATAAGACCTCCTCACAGAATAATACAATTTATTTTATTAATTGGTTAAATACTTAAATTTATTTTAATTTTTAATATATTAGAACTCATATAATAATATGCTTAGATGCAATAATATATTGTAGTATTTTGTATAAAAATAGATTAATTCAACTTAAAGATTTTATCAAAAGTTCTTGAAAGAACTATTCTTTTAAAAGAGTTACTAAAATATCTATTTTAAGAGAATTTATCTATACAAAGTTTAATCTTCAGTACTAACCCACATTTTTTTCTATGAAAAACTTCTTAAAAGAAGAGGTTTCAATAATGAATTATTTTAACGAAAATCTTCTAAGTCTTAACTAGGAAGAAGTAAGATTGATTCTTTAATTAAAGAACAATCTATTTCTTGATATTGAAAACTGTATTTAATATCTTCAATTTATTGGCAAATTTAATTTTTTCTTTCTGATCTTTTGCTCTATAACTCTTTCAAATCTAAGAATTGATATGTAAGTGATGAAAAGACATCTGTTTGCTTTTAACGTTTAAAGCTCATTTTAAATAATTCTGAATTTAAATTATTTCCAATTTTTCTTATATGAATATTAATCACTTCAATCAAATTTAATAAAGGAGCTGATATATATCTTATTAAGCTAGTGGTTAATATTACTAAGAATATTGAGATTCCTAAATAAATTTATAATTCTTTGATCATTTCTATCTTCATTTTATTCACTTAATCTTGAATTTTTTAACCAATTTCTAATTCGTAAGTCACATTTTTGAAACTTGAAAATATTTTATAATATTACACTATTAAAATTAGATTTTCTTTTTCAAAGCTGACTGCATTCACAAAGACAGTTCTGTTGTAAAGTTTGTTCTCAAGATAGAAAGAGGTTTCTTATGATGTTTTCAATTTAGAATGTATTTATATTAGTTCCCAATCTGTTTAGTTAAATCCCGTATAGCTTTGATTAGTTATTGTTGTAAGTAAATTTATTTAAGAAATTGTAGGTAAAGTACTCAAAAGTACTTCCCCATTGGAAGTGACTAAAAAAATGCTCAAAGGTATATTTTGGATGTTCGTATCGGATACCTCCAATAATTAGGTTGTCATTCCAAATAAAGTTTAATTAATAATCAAGGAATAGGTTAAGGCATAATATGGCATGAAATTTCGAGCTGAGAGGTAGGTTGGAGAGTAATAATATTCTTAACTGGGTTAAATTTAATATTAGGCAATATGGTTCTAATACCTGAAATATTATTGAAGCTTACCAAGTTCTACTGCTTGGAATGAAATTTTTGTACTTATACATTTTTGGGAACAGAGCAAATATTTAATTATTTGGCACATCAATAAATGATATCTTATTTTATTCTCCTCCGGTAAATAATTAAGTGAAAGGAGTTAGTAATGAAAGAGTTTTATTGAGTAACATTCCTTGGCTGTCATATTATTTTGTTTATAATGTTTAGCAAATGATGTCCGAATTATAAACAATATAATCTTCTTTTATTGCCTCTTCTTCAATACAATCCTAAAACTAGTTTATATGGATCTAGAAATCTGATTGGAATTGTATAAATTGATATACCATCTATTGAGAGTGCTATAAATTTAGAATTGCTATAAATTATTGCGTCAATCTTTACTTTAGTAATTTTTCTACTTAATGTAAAGACGTAGCTTTGTAGAGATGTTATTTACAGCTGTTTTTTCCTATTTCAATGATAATGCTTATTCAAATTCCTAGATGTATGAGAAAAATATTGCTTATTAAACATATGCTGTCGCTAGTGTTGCAAGCACAACAAATAAGATAATAAAAAAGTTGAGTATTATTATCTAGTTACTCATTCTGAGATTTTTAAACCATAAAATTAGTTTCCTGATCATGAATCAATTAAAACTTAATTAGCAAGATTTAATAATAAAAAAATTCCATCAATTAAGTTATAATATATTTAAGGCATTTAAATCTATTTTATTTAAGAATATGTAATCAATAAATAATCAAAATATTGAATTTTCTTTTAAAGTTGGCATTTTCAAGTTGATTAAGCTATAGGAATTCAGAAAATAAATTACATAGGAAGGTACTAAGTTTTAGAATAAAATACACATTCGCAAGAGATGAATAATTAGTAACTTTATAAAACTTTTTATACTGAAAAAATGAAACAACTCTTAATTATCATTTCAATTAGAATTGAATCCAAAGACTTCTAAATCAGAGAAAGTTATGTATAAGAATCCATCTTCTGAATCCTTCTTCTTCTCATAAATATCTGCCAATTTAATATCTAAGCATAACTTTCAATTAATTATACCTTCAGGTAACAATTGATTTCCAATATGAAAGTATAGAGATTACTTAGGGGAAATCTATAAAGTGCTTTTTATTGTATCACGGAATTGAATCATCCGAAAGCCTTTAGTGACTAAATATCAATATTTTAAGGTAGAAAGTACAATTGTTTATTCAAATGTTAGATCTTAGATTTTGGATGTTTCTCTAATATCACCGGTATCATATCAGGATAATGACTTAATTTATCCTTAAGAATCGCTTGTCTCTCTTGCACAGTGTGTTATTCTCTAAAGCTTTTTTGTTTTGTTTTAGTTTGAAACATCTGACTATTACTTTTTTTATAATTTTTATTATTAATATACATAAAATAAAATACATCAACGCTTATATTTTTTTCCATCAAATGCTCCTTGGATTTAAGAAAAGGTGGCTTATTTGTCCCATTCCAATAAGATGTAATTCTAATTGCTGATATTCAAGCAATTCAAGATCACATAATTGTGATAAATCAATGCATAATTGTCAACGATATCCAATTTTTATCCAGAATCCTTCTTCTCTGGTTAGAGCATCTTATTGAATTCTTACTCCTTCACTTCTTTAGGTGGTACTCCTCTTTGATGAAATCTAATGAAATGATTACTATTTTAATTAAATAAGCAATTCTTACTTAGTAAATAATAACATTCTTTTGCTATCTTTATTATCAGTGATTGCCCCTCTTATTGGATCCTTTAAAAGAGAAACATTAAGAGGAGAATGCATCATATGTTCTTTAGAATAAGAATTCATTTGCCACAATTATTCTTTGAAATCGTAATTGTAAATTGCAAAAATGTGAGAAGCATAAGTGACAAGTATTTTCATACATTTGCCATTGATTATTAAGATATTAGTTACGTAATTTTGATTAGATCTACAGTCAATTTACTCAACAGTATTGTTAACGACATTTACAGAAATGAACTTTTGTAAGTAAGGGTAGGTGATAATTAGTGTTCTTTTATTAACAAATTTCATTAATTTTGGCTATCCATGAATTAATTAAGCTATAAATTGAGATTGTCCATTAAATTTATGTTTAAATAGTTTATCATCTTTGTCAATACTATAAAATGCATTTTAAGTGTGATCAAACTCCATACTTTTGAAATGTGGATACACTTTATATTTTTTAAATTGTTTATCAACTTCATTCATGAGAACAGTTTAATCACTCTAACCATAACACAATAAATTTTTAGTCAATTTTATAAAATGAGCTGGTTTCTAGAGTTTGAATTCACACCAATAGATAGGATCAGATTCAATATCGTAAGATAACAAATCTATAGAATCATATTTATTAATTGCAATGTATTAATGATTGCAAATAAATTATTCACTTCTAGGAATAGTGAAAATATGAGTAAACTAATTCTATTGAAGTAACTAACCATTGCCATCTAATTTATAATAACAAATATCAGTATTCAGACCTCCAGATATAAGGATATTATTCTTAATGATTTCAAAAGCATAAACATCATGGGACTGTCCTCTTATTTATTAGGTTATTTAGTATTGTGATCCATTGTATGATAAACAAACAATTTTGCTATCCACTCCACTCACATAAACATTATTTAGATTTGGATGTAAAGTAAGAATATCTGACATGTGTGTTTGTATTTGTTGGATTTCAGTGTTAAATTAAGTCTCATAAATAATAACACTTCCATTTGATGATCCAATAAATAGATTATTATTGCAAATACATAATTTCCAAGGAATAATAACATTTGCTTTGGCAATTTTAGAACTGCTGATATTGAGTTGCCATGTTTGTTATTGCAATAGTGTCTTTTAAGTTAATTATCTGATAGATCCATTAGAGAAAGAAGCATAAACATATTCTTTATTAATAGCAATTGATAAACATTGGCAATCTAATTATTGTGATTGTTGAATCTGATATATTTTATTGTTTTAATAATCGAATTTTCTGATGGAACCATCACTGCAGGCACATAAAAAGTATGTGTCAATGGTGGGTATGGATTCATAGATATTAATATTATCTGGCAATTAAAAATTATTTAAAGGTTTATAATCGTGAATATTAAACAATGAAATTTGACCACTTAAATATGCACAAATGAAATCTAGATATATTATGTATATATGTACGTTCTTCATCAATCCAAAATAGTGAACGAATTTAACTATTGATGGAACAACAAATTGAAATTTGAGTGTATGTTGGATAAGAATAGATTTCAATCACTCCATTTTCTTTACCAACCAGCAATAATTGCTAATTAGGATTATTTGAAAGAGCAGTGATAGTGGATGGCAAATATGGAATTTGTTTATGATGCAAAGAAACATGAGCCTTTTCATATTACTTTTTAATCTGTGGTTGCTCTATTTACATTATTTTAATTTATATAAAATATGTATTTCATGGTATTAACGATTCATTTAGCAGTTGTTATTCTTCTGTTTTAGACTCTTCTTAATTGTCTGTAGCATTTTCTTCAACTAGCAATTGATATGGAGGTAATGCTGGAGGATGTAAAATATAACTGACTTCCATGTATTAGAGTACAGTGTCACCGCCTCAAATAGAATTAAAATGATTACGTGTTCCATATGCACAATGAAAAGTAGATGATTTCTTATCAACATATTCACCTCCAACTTTAACGTAGAAATTACCAGCTCTACTATGAACATCAAATCCTGTGATTCCCTAGGCCAATACATTCTAATGAGATTCGAAAATAAAAGTAGAAGGAACTTCTCTCTCAAATCTTTGCACTCTTAATTTCATTCTATTTTCAGTATCCAAAAATTAATTAAAGTAATTGTCTGAACTACCCAAAGTTCCCATTATAGTAGAATAATCTGAAGAAATAAAGTAAGCTATTCTAAGAGTGTTAATATGACATCTATCTCTTGTCAATAATCTTACTGGAGTGGCACTTCCTGTTGGTTTCCCCAATTAGATTTATATAGTTGTTGTTAATGAGTCGTAAACTTCAATTTCAGCACCTACAATGAACGCCACTACTCTTGGTGTTGGATATTTCAAATAATATTGAACCATGAAATCTTGGAATCTAGTTCCAAAACCTTGTCTCAATCTAATCAAATCTTCAAATTGATAATTAACGTATTGAACTTCTGCTTCTGAATCTACAAAAGCCACCCATCTTATCCTTAACACCGGAATAATTGCTGGACCATTAATTAAATAGTTGATATAGAACCCTTTTACAGTCACATCAGAAACAAAAGTTTGATAATTGATATTCCTATTTTTATTCCACTCTATTTCTTCGTGCATCAATAAAACTTAAGGGCGTCTATTCAAATAGCCATTATACTAACCTGCTGAATTATCTGGGAAATTGCACTCTTGTGAACATTTGCAAGGGATAGACAGGTTCAACAAATTTATTTTGTCTATTGATGGTTCTATCAATCCCAGATTGCCATTCTGTATAACCATCATAGCCTAACTGCCCCAAAACACTTACACATAAAATTCCTGCGATTATAAACATTAATATTAAAAAAACGATATGTAACTATTATTTATTTTATTAAAACCATCCTCAATTTTTTATACTACCATTCCAAATAGATAACGATTCTGCAATTCTCTCAACCTCTATCATTCTATCTTACTTAAATATATCAAAAATGCCTCATTTTCTTTTTCATAACTAATAGAATTCCTCAACCAGTCCACTCTTGATGAATTACTAAAAAGCAAAATAAATTATAGAAACTTTTAATTATAAATAATCAATATAACTACATTACGTAAAGAAACTCATTCTGACCCATCACAACCTAATGAATAATTAAATGAAGATTTCAAGTAAGAAGTCATCGCAATGTATTAGCAACAACCAAAATTATAAAAAAATTACAAAGAGCAGCTTGATAATGAATCGATAATTTATAGAGATTATGTACAAACACGAGAATCCATAACCTGAAACATTATGAGGATTAGAATTTAAGATTAAAGTATAAGAAATTCGATTAAAGCTTAATGAATGATAGGTAAAGTATAGAACAACCGTAAATAATTAATATGTTCATTATTAATACAGTTTCTCGTAAAATATATTTATAATGAATATATTAATTCTAGTTTTTCATGTTAAATGAATTATTAATTAGAAAAGTTAAATTATATTTTTGAATATTCAATGGAAATAATTTTCAATTTGATTAATATTCACATATTGATAGTCTTAATCACTAAAAATTGCTATTATTATAATTTAGGATTATTATATTTTCGATAAATAATAAATCATTATTCTCTTTAATAAATTTATGTCAAAATTTATTTTAACTTTTCAATTATTGATACAAGTAATTTCCTAGAAATAGAACAAAGTAAAAATTTTTAACTATTTGAATTTTTTGAAATCTTATTTCATATTTCAAAATGTGTTTAAGATATTAATAATTTATTAATCTATTTAAGTAGAACATTTGATTATAATATAATTAAACTAGCTATAAATTCATTATCAAATATGCTTAAGTTGATTAAAAACTAAAGACATGGTCCTGTTATAAACACAATTCAACAATATAAGGATGAGATCAAATAAAATAAATCTAGAACTTAATCTCAATTATAGCCATTCCTTAGAATTCTACATATAGCTTAATTATGATAAATTTATGTATAGGTTTATCAAAAATTTGGTATATTATTTCAATTCTTAATAGGTATTCAATTAGGTTAGTGTTTATTTTCCTTCATAATTGATATTATTAAGTAACTGCAACTTTGATGTTTTCATCAAATAATTTTTTACAATAATCTAAATCATTAGTAAATGTGTATAAATAATTAAAGATTGGGAGATATTTATAAATTGAGTAGTAGGTGAAATTAGGGAAAATTATGTAAAGATTTGAAATAAAGAACAAACATAAAATAAAGTAACAAACATAATTAAATTTATTCATGAAATATTAACAGCAGTAGGATATAGAAGGAAGGCTTTCTCTTTTGAGTGTTGAAGATCTTACTGATTTGTTTATCTTAAACAAAATTAATGATGGACAAAGTATGAGCAAAGTGAAATCTCTTGGGGATGACTATGGTTTGGCTCGGAAGTTGAATTCCGACATAAAAGTATTAGTACCCTAAGAGTTTTTAGTAAGGTCTTGGAACAGAAGCAGATGTGTAAAGGAATAGAGAATGTTTTGGCGACAATATTCCAGTGGAGAAAGAACCAACAACCCTTTGTGAATTGATTATGGAATGTCTGGAGGACACAATGCTCAGAATTTTATTGTTGGCTGCACTTGTGTCAACAGTAATTGGAATAATAAATGAAGGATTGGCAACAGGATGGACAGAAGGGTAAATTTATTATTATTAATAATTATAGAGCAACTATATTCTTTGCAATATTTTTGATCATATCGATCACTGCAGGAAATAATTATTTGAAAGAGAAACAATTCAGATAGTTGAGAAGAAGATTGGATGATGGAAAATGTCAAGTAATTAGAGGAAATAAGGTAACTGAAATTGCAACCAAAGATCTTGTTGTTGGAGACATTCTATTATTTAATTTAGGGGATCTATTTGTTGTAGATGGTAATAGAATAAGTATATTATTATAATAGGTTTGATGATATAAGGAAGTGCAGTTAAAATGGATGAGTCAGCAATGACTGGAGAAAGTGATGAAATAAAAAAGTTACCATATTAAGAAATGGTGCAATAAAAGCAATAATAATTAAATCAAGATGCTGCAAGAGGCCATACCAGTCCATTTTTGATATCAGGAACTAAATGCTTAGATGGAACAGGTTAAATGTTAGTTCTTGCAGTTGGTTAAAACACAATCTCTGGACAGTTAAAGAAATTATTGATTCAAGACAATCCACCAACTCCATTATAATAGAAATTAGAAGGAGTGGCTTCAGATATAGGAAAATTGGGAGTTATTGTATCAATCTTTACATTCATTGCTTTAATGGGACATCTTGGCTACGATATTTATTTAGGTTAAATACAATTCCAAAGTCTTAAGACCTTATAAGTGATAGTGGAATCATTCATGATTTCTGTAACCATTATAGTTGTGGCTGTACCTGAAGGATTACCCTTGGCTGTTACAATAGCATTGGCATATTCGGTAGGTAAAATGAAAGATGAATAAAATTTGGTTAAGAATCTATCTTCATGTGAAATAATGGGTGGAGCCAATAATATATGTAGTGATAAGACCGGCACATTAACCCAAAATATTATGCAAGTAACTGCCTTGCATGTTGAAGGGAATACTATTTAGAATGATGTCCATACAATTAAATCTAAATTGAATAAGAATACTGTTGAATTAATGTGTGAAAGTATATGCTACAATTCAAATGCATTCCCATAAAAGGATAAAGTGACCAATAAGTGGATCTAAATTGGTAATAAAACCGAATGTGCTTTGTTAGAGTGTGCTGATAATTTCAATTACAACTTTTCATAATACAGACCTAGCGATAAAATCCTTAGATAAATCCCTTTCAACAGTAAGAGAAAGAAGATGAGTACTGCAGTATATAATCCAAAAACTCAATTTGTTAGAGTTTATACGAAGGGTGCCTCTGAAATTGTATTAAATCAATGCATCAAAATGGTAGGTGCCAATGGCGTTGAATAAGTCCTAGATTAAAATGCAAGAAATTAAATCTATAATACCGTAATCTAAAAATTTGCCTCAGAATCCTTAAGAACAATAGCAATTGCTTATAGAGATCTCGATCCTCATTCTTAAAATTCAAGTGTATTAGGATAAATTCCTTAACTTACTAAATATACTTAATCAATCTAAGAGGATGATTTAGATAAAGATCTAGTACTAGTTGCAATTGCAGGAATCAAGGATCCAATAAGACCAGATGTACCTAATTCAATTAAATAATGTCATGCATCTGGAGTTACTGTTAGAATGGTTACTGGTGATAATATATTGACTGCCACAGCCATAGCTAAAGAATGTGGAATTCTTCAAAGTGGCAAACAACCAGGACAATACGAAGTCATGGAGGGCAAAACATTTAGAGAGTTTGTAGGAGGACTCAAGACAAGTAAAGACAAAGATGGAAATGAAATCAAAGAAGTAGGAAATAAAGAAAACTTTAAAGTGGTTGCTAGAGAGATGAAAGTGATGGCAAGAGCATCACCTGAGGATAAATACATTTTGGTTACTGGATTGATTGCTGAAGGTAATGTTATTGCTGTCACTGGTGATGGGACTAATGATGCTCCAGCTCTAAAAAAAGCAGATGTAGGGTTTGCTATGGGTATCACTGGTTCTGATGTTGCCAAAGATGCTGCTGATATTATCTTATTAGATGATAACTTCAGTTCCATAATCACAGGTACTTATTATTTGTAATTTTAGCTATGAAATGGGGTAGAAATATTTACGACTGTATTAGGAAATTTATTCAATTTCAATTAACTGTAAACTTAGTAGCTTTATTTATGTCCTTTTTGGGTGCTGTGGTTCTCAAAGAATCTCCTTTAAATACTATTGAAATGCTCTGGGTTAATCTTATTATGGACACCTTTGCATCCTTAGCATTAGCAACTGAACCTCCCAATATTACAGTGCTTGAAAGGTAGCCTTACAAAAGAGAAGATAAAATTGTATCTCCAACCATGAATAGAACCATTGTAGGAGGTTCTGTCTATCAGATTGTTGTTCTGTGTGGTATCTTGTTTGTCCTACCAAAATATATGGATTTATCTATACCTTAAGAGTTAGTAGGATAAAAAGTAATAATTACATGTTATCAATTAAGTTCCATAAGAATGTTGTGTAAATGAGTATATTTTTCTAATCTTTTGTTGTTATGCAAGTGTTTAATTCAATTACATGCAGATAACTTGATTACAAAACTATCAACCCCTTTACAAATGCATGCAACAATCCTCTATTTTGGGGTGTCTAAACATTCACTTTGATCATCTAATGCATCCTTATTTAATTCGGTGGTAAATTCGTTAAAGTTTCCCATTTAACTGTTTAACAACATTTACTTTGCATAGGATTTGGAGTAGGTAGTATAATATTTTTGGCTCTTGTTAAATTAGTAATTCCTGAAAAGTTCTGTCAAAGGGTTGAACTTTTTAGGGAAGAAGTTGTCACTGAAGATAAAATGGATGATACTTTAGCAAGCAGATTAAGAAGAAAATCAACCACAAGACAAAGAAATAGAAAAACTGAAAATCAAGATTATGTCACAGTAAGAAGTATATAATAAAGTCATTAAAGAATGTGAAGATATATTCATATTAAGATAATAAATCAATCTTTAACTACTTATTAATATTTTTATAAACTTAATAACAATTGATTTTCACTAATGAGGTAGTTTATCTATTTGATGGAACATGTGGTTTTCGTTAATAAAATACTCTTTAAATATACTATTCTCACTCAATTATTCTAACATTCCGGGATGCAATCCAGTCACAAAAACTTAAGTGCTATTTTCTATCCTTAATAAATATTATACTTCTCATATTATCTATAATAATGGCCAAGCTATCAACTGCTTAAAAATCGATTACACAAACATATCTAAAACTAAGAATGAAAATGTCTGTCTTTGCCAATTCTTTGATTTAATCAATATGTCCTTTAATGTTGATGTAATTCAAGGCTCCATTAAATCTATAAACGGTATAGGTTCCTTCTATATTTGGAGGTATATCATTGCACTCCTCTTCAAATTCGTGAAGATTCGTATCCCTTAAATTTATTTAATAAACTCCATCCTTTTGATTGGTCATTACTTCTGCAGAAGGTAAACTCATTTTTTGAGCAAATATGATTAGAGCATGCATGCTTCCAATTAGAGTGCTTTAAATAGCTCCATAATTAACGCATAACCAAGCGATACAAAAAATATAGAATAAGATTAATTTTCTCTAGGTTCTATATAAGTTAACATAATAATGCCATGGTGGTATATTGATGATCATGTACAACAATTAACCGCTTATAATATAGAAAGGTATATCCATGAAAACTTTACTAAACACTCCATAGAAGAAAAGTATTGAAAAAGCGTTAAGAATGGATGACCATTGATTTGTTTTACGTAATTTGATATCCAGAATGTACATTCTTGAAGATGCACAACAAGGTAATCCACCAAAAATACCACTTAAAATATTTGCCGTTGAAACGCATTAGATTTCCTGATCGTAATCACATTTAACTCCACTTAAAGATTAGCCTGCCCTTGCACAGAATTGATTTTAAATCAAAATAAAAAGTGTAATTGGAATAGCTTCAGTTATAAGATGACTAACCACTTAAAAATCTGGATGAAATTTAGGGCCATCATATTCGATAAAATCAAAATAGATTGTGACTTCTCCATATGCTGATCTCAAACATTTTTCAGTTGGATAGACTATTCCCAAGGTTAATCCAGTCAAAGTTGTTATGAATATCCATGGAAATTATCTAAAGAATATCCTACCCATCTACAAAAAGAGGAAAACACACCATGCTCCAATCAAATAATGTATATCTCCTCTCTCTATAAAAGACTTAAACATGTCATAGTAAGACGAATAAAGTTCAACTCCCCTATTTGAATGATTATCAGTTAATCCAAACATGTAATCACTATAAGAAAAAAAAAAAAGGCTTGCAATACCCAGCAAGAATCCTTCAATAACATAAACTGGAATAAAATCTGATAAGTGATGCCACTTTAATAGTCCTGCTATATAAATTTAGATTCCTACTATTATTGTGATCCAAGGCATAACTTCGACACCATAAGTCTTAACTAATTAATAGTTTAATCCAATTACTACCCAAGATGGCATATAGATAGAATGATTACCTAGTAAATCTTAATTATGTACTTCCACTAAAAAACCCATTTGTGAAGGCAGCTATGAATGCCGTAGTAATGCCAACAGAAGCATTACAACCTGAACTACTTCCTATGGTTAAATGAAATGGCATATTTAATATTGCTTAAGCCATTCCACTCTTCCAAGAATCTCTTATATATGTTAATCCACTTTTAAAACTATGAACAGATAAATGATCTAAGCTCTATTATTTTGAAAGTTTGCTTGGTTTATTTTTCTGCGCTTATTATTAGTTGTTTTCATTTTAAGTCAGCGTTGGAATTTCAATTAAAGGTTATTAAGACATTAATATTATTAACATACACATGCTTAAGTTGGTTATTTTCACCTTATTCTTGATTACAATTTCAGCTAGATTAGACCAATAAGACCCTGCAGTTGGTAAGAAAAATACAAGTTCAAACAAATAAGAAAGCGATGTTATGAAATATAGAAGAGCTGCAGCCATGGCCAAAGAAGAATTCTAAGGTATTGAACTGTATTTAACATGTTTAGAACTATGTGGACTCAATGGTTTTGTGTGGAAATAGACAACATAAGTCGATACATAAGTCGTTTCTGGATTCAACTACAGCATTTATGGTAAGGTTTAGAAAGGCGATTAAACCAGAACTGTTAAGGTTTCATTCTACATACCAGCTGGATAAGATTCAAGAATTAAAGCTACCGGTTGCAGCATTGTTGCTTGAATAAAATCAAAATATATTTTAATAATGCCTTATTCATTTACACCCTAAGGTCACATCGTCCAACAGCAAATTGCTAATATCAATGTCACCTATCTCCACCTTTCAACTTTTCATCTTATTATTCTCAACTCAACTTAATTTTTATTAACTGAAATCTCCAAAACGAAATATATGATCAACATAATAATAATTTAGCCAAATCTTCCTCTATAAGATAGCATAATATGAAACTTACGTTAAGAGAAATATTGTTAGAATCATAATAGTTAGGTATAAAAAGGATTTTAGCAATTATATTACGCAAGTTGGTAAATGATAAAGTTCAAAACGAAATCTTACATTTATTATCATTTTAAAAACAATATTATCTAAGAATATACTATTTAACATGATTCCAGATAGTTAATTGAAAAAAGAGAAAGATAAAACTTATTTTAAAATTATAATAACAATAAAATAACTAAGAAGACAACTTAACAACTTTCTGGAATCTCATAACACAGATGAGAACTGAAGTTTATTAATTTTGTCTCCATTCTCAAGTAAAATAATTGTTTTCTTCAATAATTAAATCAATAAACCAGTCTACTCAACAAAATATAAAGTGCTTCTTAAGAAATGAAAAATCACACAGTTATTTTCCTTTAATTCATAACATAAATTGAATTCTATCAATCTAAAATAGTGTATGCAAAGTACTAGAATACACTTGAAAATTATAGATAGAATATATGAAAAAATAGAAACAATAAAGAAATAATGCTTGATAATTATTTCGTACTTTGATAAATAAAATTCTAGAATTATTTAAATATGAAATTGAGATGACAACATAAAAATATGAACAAAAAAACTGATTAGATAAAATTCAAATGTTTAATTGAAAGAACTTTCATTAGCAGCTTAGGCTTTAATATTTAAAGTTGTTCTTAGAAATTTTATGAATCAAATTTATACATTCCTGATGATAACTCATTACCCATTTTTTATATTTTAATTTATTTTTATTTCGTACGAGTAATGAATAAATTTTTGCACACCATTTGATTCTTCAAACGTATTATCTCTATAAAAATCTATTATTTTGGATTCTCTTATTAGATAAAGACAACCCTTATTAAATTAAATAATTATATGCCAAGTTGTTACTCTCATTTATTACATCAAAGTAAAGATATTAAATGAAAATATTATTTTAGAAGTGCTAATCCAAGTTTAAAGCAATTTTAACTCAAAATACCCATATTAACTAGATTTTACATCATAGTTTAACCTACTCTGTCTATTTCAGAATGGGCAAATTTACAATTTGGTATATGCTATTTGGATGCGTAATCTTCAAAGCAACATTATTCAAAAAAAAGGATTTCAACCACCATTCTGAATTTGAAAAAATTAGTAGAAAAATTTTTTTATTATTGAATAAATTAATGAGGAAGAAATTAGTATTTGAAGATTTCTAAAATTCTAAATAATTCAAAAAATAACAATAAAAACCGAATTTTTATACAGAAATTTGTTTTTATTTTAATTTAAGGACTGTTCTATTTCTGAAAACATTAAATACTTTTTATCAATTCTTTAAATTCATATAGTTCAATAATAATTAAAGTTAATGAATAGAAGTCAAATTTTATGAAGATCTTATTCTCAATGAGTTTTAATAAATTAAGATTATTGATGAATAAAAAAAGGGTTTTATTCCGAATTTAGTCTCTAATTAAAGTATATTTACATTAAATTTGTGATTTAAAATATTGATTATATTGGAAAATTTAAATATAGAATTTATGCAGTTTATTTAATAAATACTAGGTGTTTAACTAAATTTATAGCTAAAGCTAAATGAAAAAGTAGAAATAACTATCTTTTGAGGATTCCTTCTGATTAATAATATTGATTTCGCTTTTAAATAATAAAACTTCACTGATTTTATCAATTTATTTTCATTTGCAATATTGAAGGTAGATATGAAACATTGGAAGGCTTGTTAGACTTTTTAATATGAGATGGAGATTAGAATTCTTTATTTTTTATTAGAATAATTGCAACCATTTTATAGATTTGAAAGGAAGATTTAGATAGGGTTCTTTAATAAAATTGTTTAGAACAATTCTATAGAGTTATTTAAAAACTGAAGGGATGTGACAGATATTTGAATTTAATTAGCTGAACCTTTATATTATTGTTACAAGTAACTAATTTTGAAATCAAATAATAATAAAACGATATTTATATCTAAATTGTATGAGCATTTAATTATATAGGAGTCATAAGGCTTTCACTAAAGATCCAAGTTCTCAAACGAATGCTTTCTTTCTAACTCTAGCTTCCTTCCTTTTAAAATTAGTGGGTTGTTAAAAATGCAAAATTCATTTTCATTCACTTCTGAAGGGCTTACTTCATTGGTTGATAAGATCTTTTCTTCTTCATCTGAACCATCATTTTCAGTTTTTGATACGAAGACTTCAAATATTTTGGATTTTCTAATAAAAGAGTATTATTGAAATGTTACTAGAAGTGTTCTTGTTACTTTTTTAGTGGATCAGTTTTCATGATAAGGCCTATTTGTTTTAAGTATTTGATTATGTTCTATTCTTATTGATACAAGATAGCTTTATTATTATCTTTGTTGTGAAACATAGGTAGAAATTCATCTAAACTATCTTTGGAATTAAGTGATTGATGAGAAAACATTAATTATTATTTATCTTATGATACTATTATTATTTTTTATATTGTTATAATGATTCAATATTTTTATCTACGAACCCCAGCCAAACAAGCTCTATATATATTTCTTGGATTTTCAGGAAACATATCAGCATGAATTCTTAAATCTTCGATGTGATCTATGAATTTGAATTGCAAATAATTAATATACCTAATTCTCCTTTTTTCGTCCACATGGCTTCAGCAGTATATCTTTTGCACATGTCTTCAGCTTCTTTTCTCAAAACAGGATCATTTACTCTGCCAGTAGCATAATCGCATCCCTTCCAGCAGATTTAAATTGATGGGTTATACCATGAAAATACATCTTAACACATAGCGTAGCAGGTACCACCATTATACCTAAGAATTTATCCACCTATGCTTAATTGTTAAGATTACCTGTTGCCATTTTATGATAATTAAAAAATAAAATGTTATTGCATAGTTATATTATATAAGTTTAATAAATATTACTCACTTGATTTTGTATTTGTAGGAGCAGAAGATAACATAATGAATAATAATCAAGGCATAATAATTGCATATATAAAATAGTTATTATAAATGAGGGTATATATAGAGAGTCATTAAAAAATTAAATCTTTAAATTTAAATAAAAACAAACAATGTCCAACAATAAGGAATAAATCAAGGCAGAACTTGAAGAGAACAGAAAGAAATTAGCTGAAAAATTTGGACAAACAAAAATGGGCAGCACTTTGGCCAGAAGAAAGCATAAAAATGTTCACTAAACTTAAGTACGTAATGGAAATAATCATTATAGATAAATGACGATAAGAAGCTCAAATAAGTTATCAAGAAATTTGGAGTACAACAATTAGGGAATATTGATGAAGTCAACTTTTTCAAAGATGATAATACAATTATTCACTTTTCAAAACCTGAAGTTCAAGCTGCTATTGGAAGCAATACATTTGCCATTTTTGGAAATCCAGAAACTAAAAAGTTTGCAGAGTTGATGCCAGAGATTTTGAATCATATTGGTCCAAACTAAATGGGTCTTCTTTAAGAATTAATGAAAGAAAATTAGTCTAAGGTAAATAATTTAAAAAAATATTAAGGAAAAAGTTGAAAAAATTGCTGAGGCTGATCAAAAAGATGAGGATGATATTCCTGTATTAGTGTAAGGGTAAAACTTTGAAGAAGCAAGCAAGAAAGAATGAGTTACAATATCATATATTATGTATACCATCCAATATATTATTAACCAATTTATATTATTAAGATAAATCAAATGTAATCTAGCATCAGAGGAGGTCTTAAAGCCACATTGTTGTTAGGTATTTAATAAAAAAGTGACAAGATGGATTTTATCACTTTCGGGTGTTTACTTATTATGGTTTTGAATAATTAATCAGAATTGGTTGGAGGTTTGAGATGCTTATATAGAAATCAAATGGAAAGGAATCCCATTTGAAATTATTATTAATTTAATTATTATTATGGTGTTGACTGCTAGACAAAGGGATGAATTAAATTAAGCAATACATCAATATTTATTGATAAGCTATCAATAGAGTGCACAAATGTTTAAAACTGAAGCTGCTGTTAAGGATGGATAAATAGAAGCTGATTTATTGGAAAAAAAATGGAATTCTATAGTAAGGTTGTCAAAAAGAGTAATAACTTTGGAATAACAAGTAGAACAATTGAATGAATAATTAGCATAAGCTTAAGCTGGCAAAATACAATTTAATAAATGTACAACAAATAAAGTTAAGATATAGCTGATGATGAATAAAGATTAACACCAATTGAGAAATTTAAATTAGAAGGACATAGAGCAGGAGTGAATTGTGTGGCTTTTCATCCCTAATACTAAATTCTTGGTTCAGCAAGCGATGATGGCAGTATCAAATTATGGGATTATGAAAGTGGTTATTTCGAAAAAACCTTAAAAGGACACACAAGTAATGTAAATTGTTTGGCATTTGATCCTACTGGAAAATATATTTGTAGTGCTAGTAGTGTATAATTAAATTTGATAATAAGGATTTATCAATAAAAATATGGGAATTAAAAAATCATACCTGTGTAAAAACACTCATAGGTCACGAACATAGTGTATCAACAGTTTAATTTTCTGACCATGGAGACTTCATATTGAGCGCTAGCAGAGATAAAAATATCAAATTATGGGAAGTGGCGACAGGATTTTGTAAGAAAACATTCTCTGAGCATTAAGAGTGGGTCAGATGTGCTGTATTCAGCAATGATGAAAAATAAATGGCCTCTTGTTCTTAAGATTAAATGATTTATATTTGGGTGATAGATAGCGGATAAGTTTTACATTAATTGAGTGGGCATGAACATGTAGTTGAATAAGTCAAGTATGTGCCAGAGCATGGGGCTAAGCAAATACTGACTCAACAATAACAGCAAAATATTTAAACGATTAATTTATTAGTTTCAGTGTCAAGAGACAAGGAAATTAAAATTTGGAATACTATTTTAGGAACGAATATGTTTACATTATCTGGGCATGATAATTGGGTTAATGGAGTCTCTTTTCATCCAGATGGAGTCCACATGCTTTCAGTGTCCGATGACAAGACTATTAGAGTAAATATTCCATATTGATAATAGGTTTGGAACTTGAAAGAATAGAAATAAAAAAAGAAAATTGAAAATGCTCATGATAAGTTCATTTTAAAATGTGAAATAAATAAATTTATATTCGCCACATGTTCAGTAGACCAAACAATTAAATTATGGCTATTAAGTTGATCAAATAAATAATATATATCAAAAATATATTAAATACATCTAATTAAACCTGTGTTATTACATTATGATATATTAATTTATATTAAAATCAAAATCTCCTCCTTAAATTCCACACCGATTAAACATATTATTCAAATTGAATATCATTTCAATCAACACATTTAAATTATTGTGATGCCCAATAAATTCTTCGAAAGTTAGAAATGAACACCGCCTTTTTATACTCTTACAAAAACAATATGATGTAATTCAAAAAGATTCAGTAAATTCACATAACACATCATCATCTCTTTTTCTGTCGGCTCTAACATCAGGGTGATCTTTTGCATTGAATTATTCTATTAATCATTAAACTTAAATTACATTTAACTATATCAATAGTAGCCTTAGGAAGAGATTCAAACGCTTGTTAAACAGAATCAAAATTCCTTAAACTCATTGTACCTTATACCTATTTAATGAATCCCCCATAGTTCATAATTCAATTTGTTGAAATTATTAGAAAACTTCATCTAAAATTTATTCACTAACTTTCGATTTCCATTAATTAAAGCAATTCTTCCGTTCCTAATATGATACATCATTCAATTAAGATTTATCATACAACAAAAATCTATACTATATATTTATTAAACCTCGTAATCCTCTTTATGAGATTGTTTCTCAAATTGTAATACCATCCAACTTTTACTTGCTTGGTTTGATGCTTTATTCATATTATTTGAGATTATTATGAAATCTAAGATTAGGAAGGTGGAATTTATTAAAGTTGAGACCCATTTTGATTAACCTTGACATCCTCCAATGGTTTAAAATATTAAATGAAGTTGGTTAATTATTAATCAATCAAAGGTCTTAGGTAAGCTAATTATTCTTGTTTGGTAAATGTTCCAAATGATGCGTTTGCAGAAACACTTCCTCCTTATAAAACATATCTATGATGATCTTGTAAATAACTTCTTTTATGATCTGGTTCAAAAAATTATTTATTACCAGCATTATGATGCTTGCTTCCATTTTATAGCAATCTAAGGGCACTCACAATTATCTACTTAAAATATTTAGCATCAGGTTTTGAGCGCTAAAATTACTAAAGAAGTCTAATAGTTCTTCATTTAATGTATTTTCATGCCCGAATTCTCCATTAATATTATGTAACAATTATAATGGTTCAAAAAGCCTTAAATGATTTCATCATCGCTTTTTTTTCTAAATATAAATTTATTTCTTAAAGTTGATAACGTAATAATCGTTTGTTCGATATTTTTCAAATAGTTATTCTACTAATTGAGATCTCTAATATGGCATTTCATCACTTCATACAAAAATGAAACCCCATAACCCAATAAACCAGTTTACTCTCTATCAAAGTATTAGAAAGCCAGATCAATTTCTTGGTCTGTAACCTTGATTTTGTGATCTCTAATAGCCTTTCTAAATTCTGTTAAATTTAACATCCCATTATGATCAGCATCTAAGATCTTACTCACGCTATAAAATTATATGACCCCTCTTGCTCCCCTTGATATTAATCTATTCCTTATTCTTTAAACTATTAATTCAACTTATCTAGATGTTGATTACATCTATGATGCGTTAGATTAATGAGATTAGCCTTCCTTTTATTGTTAATACTTTTATTGATAAGATTTTACAGATTTAACTTAAGAAGGACAAAAATTCAACTATTACACAATTTTGAGGATTAGCAATTAATATCTATTATTCTGGAGAATCATTAAATTACTATGTGTAACACTTTTTGGAGGAGTACCGTATTAGGGACCTTATTATTAAAATTATTTTAGATCTTAAACCCAGGTTAAGATAGTCTTAAAGATTTCGTCATTGGTCACATAAAATCCGAAATATCAATAGAAATCAAAAAGTCTGGAATGGTTAGCACCTAAGTTGAAGATATACACTCAATCCAGATAAAAATTCTTCTCTTACATCATTAGGAGATCTATTTAATATTTTATTTTCAGGATGTCGATCAGCATTAAATCTATTGATCAATTATTGCGGACATATTTCTCTCTATTCATAATTGTAAAATAGATTAGAAACTACTCCATACTTTGAGTGATTCAAATATGGACCCTTTATGTTATTAATCAAGTTTGAAGCTCTTATATACTCTCCATTAAATACTCAATACATCCATCTACATCTCTATTATTTTTTTCTAATAATCTTGCAATTCTCAAGATGTAAACTAATTTGGCAAACTAATCACTAAGTTCAAAATGCCTAATGCCCCTTTCAATTTAATTTTCATCTTAACTCTTCTAATGAACCTCCTGTTTATACAATTCTTGATTCCGGCTAGTCTTACATCTATTGCTTACCAACCACTCTATTGATAAAATCTTTATATGATAGTTATTCATCTACAGAGTAATTTATCCAAAGCTTTCTCCAAACAAATACTACTATATCTTTATACTTCTTAATCTGGAATTGTGACATCAGCTTTTGCTCTTGCTTTCAAAAAGTCTTGTTTCTTCAAATTTTCTTCATTGTTTAAATCTAAAAATTTGAATATTTTTAGTAAAACTGTCTCAACACTAATTCTTGAGGAGGCTTGAATTAAAGTTTTGTTACAGGTTCTATTTCATTTTATTTTCCTTCGAATCCATCTATTTAATATTTTTTCTGATAATATAAACCATATAATATTGCTGTATTTATTTTATATTCTCCAATTACTATCTTATCCTTTATTTTGTTTCACTTAGGATTGGCAATTTTTGTTGTTTAGATGGTTTAGTAAGATCAGATATGTATATAAGCACTGTTGGTTGATCTTGATATAAATAGAAAAATAGTTCTGGTTTCATTAATATGGGAAATTGGACATTTTGGATTGATATTTTCACCATCTTTAATGTGCAAAGAAATAAATATTATTTGAATTCTAATATTATTTTACATAAACTATAATATTTATAAATGAATTATGTAATTAAATAAACAGAATAATTTTTAAGGGCGCTTAAAATATGCCATTCTATTGATTAGAATTTACATTGTTACTTTTCAAACGAAGGTATATTCAAATTTCAAAAAAATTAGGAATTTTATTATTAAGCAACTATGAATAGTTTGAGGATGTTGATACAAAAAAGCCCACTTTTTTTTGTTATCTCAACTCTAGTTCATTTGAATAAGTCCAAACCAATTCTATTCACTATAAGATGCCTTAAACATTGTCCCCTGATCTATAGATTAAACTTTAAAAGCTCAATGCATCATTGGATAAATTAGTCTTTGAATTAAACATTCTATAATTATATACAAGTTTAAAGCCCTTTAAAAAATAAATTAAAAGAATAGAGATTTAAGTTTATTACACAATTTCCTAATTAAGAGTAGTACAAAAATTTAAAATGATTGTTTTTTTTAAAGATTCATATTTTACTATCGAATGCCCAATTATATAGTTGGATGAAATTTAACAAATGGAATTGATAAGAAAATACATGGAAAACAGAAGACACCTTGATGTGTTAGAGGTTGATTCAGAAATCTCAGAATACTTACACGATTTTAATTAAAAGGAAGCAATTTAATTAATTTTGAAAAGAAATAGCATAGAAATCCATTTAAATAGTTAAAAACAAGAGACGACTCTTGAATTAAATAGCGGATTTTTAACATAATATAAGTTTGATGATTTCACTAATATATACAAAAATGTTAATACAATTAACATCGAACCAAATGTGTTAACTCCTTTCCATGGATATGGATTTAAAATTTCTATTTCAAAAGATATCAATTAAAAACCGAGGATATTTATATCTCAGGACTGGTCAGATTAAATCAGTATGGTGTTAAAATCCATTACCAGCCTAATAAAGAAAATAAAAATTATTTCAATTTTAGATGATGATTGCAATGAAGATGAATTGTAACTTTTATTTCTCTTATCATTTTAGGCTTGACATTATCGCTGAATATTAGACTGATAGAATGTAAGAATAAGAATGTTAATAAATTGAAGAGCAATAAGTCAGAAAAAAGATTAAAATGAATTTTAAAAGTTGATTCGCATTTTTATACAAATAAATGCTAATTTATTATGTAATGATAATATAGTGTTGAAAAGATTGTGTGAAAATTTAATTTACTATTTTTTAATAATAGCCTGATTAAATCACTTTTTCTGTGTGTTTTTAACTTTTGGTTATGCTTAAGTTCCTGCTCTAAAACCATTCTTTGCTCTTCTGGCAATTGATTTCAAATATCTCATTCTTCCTGTTCCAGTTGATCTACGTCTAGCAACCTTCTCTCCCCACCCGCTGTCTAATATTGTATTTATTCATTAATACAAAGTCTCAATCTTGCAGCTGGATATCCGCATGATGCGCATCTATTTTTTTAGATGTGGAATGTTTATCTGCCACACCTCTTGCAGAAAGTGTGAGTCTTTTAATGCCTTTTTCCTATTGCTGGTGTTCCTCTTGCCATTTGATTATTTAATAAAAGATTTAATTTTATGAAAAAAACTCTAACACATAGGAAAATAGATCATAAGAAAACCTTTTTTATATATGTAATATGAATTATTAGTTATAAACAATCCAGGTCATCATTAATCCAAAAGATTTCTTATTAAAAATATTCAATATGTTTATTTAAAACACATTCATTTTTTTTGGTTTTTGTTTTAATTGAACATTACTTTTTATAATATTTTTTTCAAGTCATATCACTATTTTCATTAATTACAGAACCATCTTCATTGTTGTTTTTATTTTCTTTATAAGTAATCTCCATTTTCCAGCAGCGTTATAATAATTTCAGCAATCCTATTATTTTTCATATATGAGTTTTATAAATAACTATAATCGGTTCTTTGTTTTAGAATATTTTTAAGTTTATAAATAAAACCTTTTATCCAATAGTTACTTCAATGAAGTCAAAAAGTCCTATATTTTACATCAGATTCTTACATTTACTTCTTTATTCTTCAAAATTATATTTGTAAATGAAATTTTCATAAGTCTAAAACAATGAATTGATTAAAAACTTTTTGAGAAAATAATTTAACCAATTTGTTGCAATTCTTTATGCTCTAACTACGTTATCTTAAATATTTTTCCAGCTCTTTGATTATAGAGACATAATCTTTGAGATGCTTGATATCAATAGGTTTTTGAATAAAAGAATATGACTTTATATCTTAAACAATTTTCTAGTATAGATTTATTTTATACTTTCATATAAATCCTAACAGATTTGTAGATTTTAATCATAAAAGAAATCCTATTATTTTATATATTAGAATGTATATGTAATATATGTACTGCTGCAATTATTTATATGTATAGTTCTTCAGAAATATTAATTCAATTATTTAAGTCAAATAGTATTGTTATGCTATTATATCATTATTTATTTCATCCGTTAAAGGCATTTAAAAATGGAGAATCTTGTTGTTTAATGTAGATTACATGTTGATTATTTTTAAAGACAAAATAATTAAAAATTCCTCCACTCAATAGAGATGAGACTTCCCAATCTGTTTACATTCAGCCGTTTTCCATAATGTATTTCCAAATTCACTTTTTATAATGAATTCTATAAATTGTTAAAAGCATTTTTCATAATTTTACAAATGACTAATCAATTAATTATCATATCAAATTAAATCTGAATATTTCTTTAAGAATTTACTTATTATGGAGTTAAGTTTATTATTTAGAATAGTAATACTTCAAATATTTTCATTCACAAAATAAAATTTATAACAAAAAGATCTACAACTAGTTATTAATTTTTAATAGATGTATGCTACTATTTAAAGACAAAAGATATAAAATTTTGAATTATTTTTTAACTTAATATTTGGAAAAGATTCGTTTTCCATATCAATTTATTTGGAGTATTAAAATAGAGTATTTAAGAGGAAATAAATAAAATAATGCAACTAAAATATTTTAATATTTAACAATATTTTCATTCTTTTTATTGCTAGAATTATTCCTCCTATATTTAAAATATTTATTATCCTTGAGGCTTTAGAGAGTCTTAAAAAATTGAATTCAATTATTTAAGATGTTCACTGTTTAAACAAGTTACATCAACTAGAGCTGCAGAAACCAAATATGGATCAATATTAGCAGCTGGTCTTCTATCTTCAAAATATCTAAACATGGTGATAATTAAAAAATACCCTTATCCTAATTCTTTTGTGATTATTGGTACTCTAACAGAACTCCCTCTTGATCCATCTCCCCAAGTGAATTAGTCATATTTTCCTGTCTCATGTCTACTTCTTAATGTAAGCTCGTTCTTTTATCCGTATAACCTAATCATTTCAAGATGATTTCTTTAAGAATAGGCATTAATTTATCTACAATATATCTATATCCTCCTTCAGATCTAGTTGTAACTGTCGAATAATTGCAATGAGCTCCACTTCCATTCCAATCACCTAATATTGGTTTAGGATCGTAGTTGATATCGATTCCAAATTCTTCCCCAATTCTTTCTAAATTATATCTTGCCAACCACATATGATCTCCTATTTCAATGCCTTCCGCAATTCCAATTTAAAATTCCCATTATGATGGTGCAACTTCAGCATTTAATCCAGCAATTTTTAATCCAGCATTCAAGCATGCTCTTAGGTGAGCCTGAGCTAAAGCTCTTCCAAAATTATTCCTTTCACCAATTGAGCAATAATATCTGCCTTGTGGATAAGGAAATCCTCCTGTTGGCCATCCTAAAGGCCATAAATGTGTTGTTCCTGTCCTTTTTAATAAGAAATATTCTTATTCAATTCCAAACCACGGTTTATGATCTCTGGCTTTCTCCATAATTTAATTTGCAATCCATCTAAACAAATAATTTCAAGCTAAAATACCTAAAGTTATATCTAGATGGTGTTTTTTTAGCAGGAAGGTATGTTTCACACAATACAAGAATATGAGGATCTCCTCTAAAGGGATCTTTAACTACTCGAACTGGTTTTAAATATATTTAGGAAATCTTGTCACTGCTTAATCCGTTGATGACCCATCATATGTCCACCATTCCAAATCTTCAAGACTTTTTATTTGAGTTTAATAAACCTATCATTTTTACACGTGTAAATACTTTTGTCTTCGATCTTAAAGCTTCTCCAGTTCCATCAATCCAAATGTATTCAGCCAATACATAACTATTATTCGCATTATTTGACAGTTAGTAGTAGTTAAAGTCACGTAGATTTTCAATGGTTTCTGTCATGAAAAAATGAAATAATTGGAACTTTAATTAAATATAAAAATTTTTATCCTTAATTTATATTTATATGGATTTAGGTTTCATCCTCATTTCCCTATTTTTGGGTATTTCTTTTTATAATCCTCAATTTTAAGTTCCATAGCATCCTTGATTTAATTTTTAAATTAGAGCTATTAAGATTTGCTTTATTACAATTTTTGTAGATATCTCATTTCTAATTCTTCAAGAGCTTTTAGTTCTTGATCTTTACTATCTAATTCTTATTATATTAAAGACTTTTCAATGTAATTTATATTCTAAAATGTTTATTACCTATTTTACTAATATTCTTTAATTTTCTTCTAACCTTGTTTTTCCAAGTTTATCACTTATAATCTATTTATATTAAACTTTTGAAATACCTATTTATTTATTTTTCATGAATTTGCTAATCCTTATTCATTTTTATTTTTAGTTTATCTTGTTGATGAATATATTTTATTTTAAAGGCTTATTCTTTCTTCTCCATTTAGGCATGCTCTCGAGCGAACTTTAATGCTTCATTTGAAAAACACTGAATCATTTCCTTTTTCTATCTTTTCTCATTATATTCTTTTTCCTTTTCACTTTAAATGAATTATTTATATTCTTATTCCTTATAATGAGTAAAAATACTTTCTATTTTATATCTTCATAGAGCCTTTTTGATTCCTCTACATTTTTTAGTAGTTTAGACTTAAATGGATTCGCTCTTTGCTATATGGTTTCTGATTCTTTTTATAATAGAGCCACCCTCTCTTTGAGCAAGAATATTTCATATAATTTTTAGTTTTTTAGGTGTTTTAATGCCGTACGTGTAATTTTCTCACTTTCAAAGGTTCTCATTATTATATAATTAATATTTTAGAATTAGGGATCAAACTAAAAATGATGGGTTAAGTTAATTGCTTGAAAATTAAATAAGATCATTGTTATTGAGTGAAAATTACTATTCGGATCTTTATTCACAAAGTTTAACATTATTATTGTAGAGAATGAAAATTGTTAACAATCCCAAAACCTATATTAATTATGCAGGTTTTTGGGGACAGACATTAATTATAATTTTTTAAATTTAGATATGAATAATAAAAAATGGGAAGTTTTATTTATTGAGCTTCTTAAGTCAAGAATTAATAAGAAATTCTACATAAGAATACCTGAAAATGTAAAAAAAAAACATCAAATCGATTCAGAAAAAGGAAACTAATAATAATGATCAGAGTAACTAATTTAAACATATTGATTGTGATTCTTTTAGCATAAAATTATAAGAATTGGAGAATTGCTAAATCTTTGTTTAACTTTTGAGAGGAAAAGAAAATAATAAAAGGATATTTAAGGGAAATTTACAAATAGAAGGTTAAAAGCTAAGAGAGATTAAGTAATAGAAAGAAACTTCTGTCATCAAATGTTGAGAAGAAATTACAAGAAGTAATTCTTATTAAAAATGATTTAATTTTATAATAAAACTTTAATTTGAAATAATATTAAATATTTGAATCATAAAATTAAAGATCCAAGTACAATAATTAAACTAAAGTCTGCAGTTAAAAAATAATACTAAAAAAGGTATTTAATATTTATAAACAAACTAATTCAAAAAAAAGTAGTTGGATAAAGTAAAAGTATGAGGATTTCTTTACTAAACAAATCCTTAAATATAATGAAGAAGAAGATTTAATTAGAGAATTTGAAGATATTTATTGTAAAATTATTTTGGATTAATTGGATTATTAATTTGGATTTTTTATATGAAAAAGAAAATAGAAGAAGTAGATGATTGTTATATTGTGCATTGTTAAACATAGTTTACATAATAAAATAGTGTGAAGTTAATATAAAGAGATATATTTAAAATGAATAAATTAGAAGAACATTCTTGTAAACTAATATCTGAAAAATAAAAATTACAATTATAACTAGGTAAATTGACAGTTAAATAAGAATTAATCTTAAACTTTCTGAATAAACTTAATTATCATGAAATGTTGAAGTTGATGGAGATTGCAAAAGTGCTCAAAGTCTGTTTATAGAAACAACAAATTTTCAACGTTTCTATAAACAGATTGCTTGTTTGAATAAAGTATTAATAATTAATTTTCATTATCACGCTTTGTTTTTCAACACAATTTATAAAATTCAGAATAAGGATGAGGTTTTGAGTTCAAGTAATTTTTGATTTCTTGAGGAGGATATAATCCATAAACAACAGCTCTATTGTATCTAATAATTCATGAATTCGACATTACCTTTCTTCTCTAGTCATACCAGAATAAGGACCATATTTTGAATCCCAATCAAATTCATCAATTAATACAGAAATTTATCTTAAGGAGGGTTATTTTTCAGGAACACTTTATTTTAATTCTTGAAAAGTACAAGTTCTAGAATCGCAGTTCATTTATTAAATAAATTTATTAATAAATTTTAATTAAAGAATAGCAAAATTTTTTTCAACTCTTTAATTTAGAAGTTGTTTGAAGAAAATCAAACTTAAGTAAATTATTTGAAATCGTTAAAAATTACCTAGGAAGGCAAGTAAAATATTAAAAATCCAAATAACTCAAAAATTTATCATCTTTCAAAGAGATACAAATTTAGTTATTAGAAAAGAATTTATGAGGAAATCTAAAGTAATTCAATAATAATATATCATAGCTTCTAAATGAATATTAATTTATAATTTGATCAATAAGAATTATGAAAATTAAACATGTAAATCCTGTTTCAATTACTTTTCATTATTTGATGTTGGATAAAATATTATATTTAATTACCATATCATAAAATTTAAATATTGCTTTTTTAGGATATATAATAATGCCCTTAATTAGCTTTTAAACTTATTAAGTTTATGTCGGATTCTTAATATTTAGATATAACCTTTCACTTAAGAAGTGATGAATTATTCAGATGAACAAAGAGTTCTATAAAATATAAAACTAATCAATTTTATAATTCAGAATAGAGGTTCAAAATAAGAAATATATCTCTTAAATTAGTTGAACATAATTAATCAATACAATTATTATTGATAGAAATTAGATTTGAAAATAAAATGGTTTTTTAAATTGTGTTAATGTGAACACTGAAGTTCAAACCTTTAGTTTTCAATAATCATTACAAATTTACCTAATCATGAAAAAATTACAGATTTTCATCCCAAGATTAAATCTCATTTGGCAAATGGTTATTTTAACCCACAAAAATGTTAAACCTATAATCTATATCTGCAGTATGAATATTGAAAACTTTTTCTAAATTTGATGATGTTAAAAGAACAAGCTCATTTCTATAAAACGAAATTATTTATATCTTCATATCTATCAATAAGTTTACTGAAAATGAAATATCTCTTTCTCAAGCATTATTGATTTTCTACTTACAATAATACAATAATTATTATAAATATTTAGTTATGTAAACATTAACAATTAACTATAAAAATTTATATAATTNCAGATTGCTTGTTTGAATAAAGTATTAATAATTAATTTTCATTATCACGCTTTGTTTTTCAACACAATTTATAAAATTCAGAATAAGGATGAGGTTTTGAGTTCAAGTAATTTTTGATTTCTTGAGGAGGATATAATCCATAAACAACAGCTCTATTGTATCTAATAATTCATGAATTCGACATTACCTTTCTTCTCTAGTCATACCAGAATAAGGACCATATTTTGAATCCCAATCAAATTCATCAATTAATACAGAAATTTATCTTAAGGAGGGTTATTTTTCAGGAACACTTTATTTTAATTCTTGAAAAGTACAAGTTCTAGAATCGCAGTTCATTTATTAAATAAATTTATTAATAAATTTTAATTAAAGAATAGCAAAATTTTTTTCAACTCTTTAATTTAGAAGTTGTTTGAAGAAAATCAAACTTAAGTAAATTATTTGAAATCGTTAAAAATTACCTAGGAAGGCAAGTAAAATATTAAAAATCCAAATAACTCAAAAATTTATCATCTTTCAAAGAGATACAAATTTAGTTATTAGAAAAGAATTTATGAGGAAATCTAAAGTAATTCAATAATAATATATCATAGCTTCTAAATGAATATTAATTTATAATTTGATCAATAAGAATTATGAAAATTAAACATGTAAATCCTGTTTCAATTACTTTTCATTATTTGATGTTGGATAAAATATTATATTTAATTACCATATCATAAAATTTAAATATTGCTTTTTTAGGATATATAATAATGCCCTTAATTAGCTTTTAAACTTATTAAGTTTATGTCGGATTCTTAATATTTAGATATAACCTTTCACTTAAGAAGTGATGAATTATTCAGATGAACAAAGAGTTCTATAAAATATAAAACTAATCAATTTTATAATTCAGAATAGAGGTTCAAAATAAGAAATATATCTCTTAAATTAGTTGAACATAATTAATCAATACAATTATTATTGATAGAAATTAGATTTGAAAATAAAATGGTTTTTTAAATTGTGTTAATGTGAACACTGAAGTTCAAACCTTTAGTTTTCAATAATCATTACAAATTTACCTAATCATGAAAAAATTACAGATTTTCATCCCAAGATTAAATCTCATTTGGCAAATGGTTATTTTAACCCACAAAAATGTTAAACCTATAATCTATATCTGCAGTATGAATATTGAAAACTTTTTCTAAATTTGATGATGTTAAAAGAACAAGCTCATTTCTATAAAACGAAATTATTTATATCTTCATATCTATCAATAAGTTTACTGAAAATGAAATATCTCTTTCTCAAGCATTATTGATTTTCTACTTACAATAATACAATAATTATTATAAATATTTAGTTATGTAAACATTAACAATTAACTATAAAAATTTATATAATTCATTTTGTATAGCTTTTAAATAAAGATCAATTTTGTTTCGCGATTAAATTATTCAAAGATTTTTATAATATAAATGATACGTTTTGTTCTACATTTATTAATAGTAATAAATCTTATTACAATTCTTGTAAGTTTTCCAATATCAAACAACTGTTAAAATTCCTTTCAAAATAAGAGCTACAAAATTGGATTTTAACATATTCTTACGATCAATTTCAACTTAAGAATAATATTAATAAATACTATTTTAAAAAATTAAGCGATTTTAAATTGGCAATTTGAACTCGGAAAGAAGGTCGTTGTAACAATTATCATAAGGTAGAATCTTTTATATTATTTTAACATCCCATAAAAGGATGGAGTTATCATTACTTCTAAAGGCTAAAGTAGTACCATCAGGAGAGTAGCAAATTGAATTAATACAATTTGAATGATCATTTAATTTGACTTTTTATTATCCTGACATCCCATAAAAGGATAGATTTATCATAACTACCAGATACTAATGTAGTACCATCAGGAGAGTAACAAATTGAATTAACTTTCCTTGAATGACCATCTAATTTGGCTTTTTATTATCCTGTCTTAACATCCCATAAACGGATAGACTTATCTGCACTACCAGATGCTAATGTAGTACTATCAGGAGAGTAACAAATTAAATTAACATAATGTGAATGACCATCTAGTTTGGCTTTTTATTATCCTGTCTTAACATCCCATAAACGGATAGATTTATCATAACTACCAGATGCTAATGTAGTACCATCAGGAGAGTAACAAATTGAATTAACATAATTAGAATGACCATTTAATTGGGCTTTTTATTATCCTGTCTTAACATCCCATAAACGGATTTTTTAATAACTACCAGATGCTAATGTAGTACCATCAGGAGAGAAACAAACAGACCAAACTTAATCTGAATGACCATCTAATTTATTTAACTCATGTATTTTGATGTTTTTCCATTTACAATTGAACAATTAAGCTTAATTCAAGTTGATTCCACTTATATCCACATTATCAAATTCTGATTCATTAAAATTGCATCTTACAAAATTTCCACCAACCAAAGAAGTATCTCTAATCCTTATATTCTCAAAGCTTTATTCTCTCAAATCCACTTTCATTTCTACTAATAAATTGAGTGCATTCGATCCGCTTTAGATAAATCT